AAAATGAAGTTAAATTATTGTACTCTTTCTGTTGCTTTATTGGGGTGATTATATTTTGTCTTTTTATAGATGTGCAGTCTACACTGGAAAAACACTGAGTAAACCCAAGAGATTCTAGTAACATGGTTTAGCCTCATGCAAAGTAAGAGTGCCCCCAAATGGCTACCTTTAGTTATTTTCACTTGTCTCGTTTCTCTTAGAAGATAAAAGGAGAAAATCCACTATATGCACATGCACACTTTTCTTTAAAAATATCCGTATGCATGTGAAGAAAAAATGGTCCAATAAAATAAGGAAATATGCACTTAAAATAATTGTTTTTTTCTTATTTTAATCTGCTAAAGGGAAACTTTTATTTCTGGAATGTGGAATATATCGCTAGCCAAAAGATTATAACAAAGACAAAACAAGTCCTTGGGCTTTTCAGGAGGCAGAATTTCCTGCCCCACCAAATCTCATGGCTGAACAGAAAGATCCTGAATGATGGTGTTAGGAAGTAAATGTTTCACCCTCCAAAAACAGTCTATCCACTTTACAATATATCCTGTAAAGCACTTTGAGACACCTTTACCCTGTGATAAGGCGGCATATCAAATTCAAGGATTATTATTAATGATTTCTGTAAAGCAGCATTATATTGCACATTTGCATACACACAGTGCAACTGTACAATGTAACATGGCTATTATTGCTGCTTATTAAAATTAGAATTTTATTATGTAACTCAGTGCAAGCAGCTCAGCAATGCGTCTATTAAAGCAATAAAAACAGGCTCAACCTTGTGTTCCTTTGGAATTTTATTTGCAAGATGTTACCCTTCTGGTGCATTCGAATGATCATGGCATCAAAACACTGAATTGCATTTCATGCAGTCAATACACACAAAAGTCATGCATTTAAATTGAAGAAAGCATTTGAAAATTTTAAATTAATCCAAATCCAGGTTACAGAAGACACTCTGAACCCTGTTTAGTAAGGATTGCATTAGAGTGCGTAAATACAGAGCATTGAAATTTTCTTCAGATATAGATGAGAAAACATGTACAGCATTTGGAAGTAGGCAAAATCATATTTTGGCAAAGGGAAGTTGACAACACACTGTTCTGTTCGATTTATTGCTGTGCTGTGCAAGAAAATATCAGTACCCACTAAAACCTTTATAATTGGAGCATAATAAAATCCAAACTAAACCTTGATCGTGCAAAACAAGAAGTTCCCATAAGATGTATTATTCCATATATTTCAAGAAACTGCTCAATTTCTATGATTAGCATTCAACGTCATATTACAATACCTGATAATAGGCTACTTGTTTAAATCATTTCTTCATTTGAATGTTTGTGACAGTTCTGCACTTTTGACATTTTCCCTTCACTAGGTGGAAGTAATCTTCGTTGGCAGGTGAGGTCATGAATCTTAGTTATAATGAAACCATACAGCATCTATTTTTATTTAGTGTCAATGCTGTTGTACAATTATGCTGATGCATCTCAACATTCCGCTTGTAGGCATTTCTGTCATGATTCGGTATTTCACAAAATATTTATGCCAAGTAAATGAGCTGGGACATTTTTTATTTAAAACATTTATTCTAGGTTACAAATCTTGGTTGTGCAGTACTACAAATTACTGCTTGGGGGCATCCAAAATATGGCCTGATAGTAGAGATGTAAAGATCAGATGTTTTACATTCACTGCATTACTATCCACAGTGCCATGATGAAGATAATAAATGTTTTTGATAGGATAAATGATGAGGGACTATTTCCATTGGTAAGCGATTCAAGGACAAGAGGGCATGAATTCAAGATGATAAACCTCGCGTTTCACATTGTGTCGTATCACATCTCAAGGTGCTTCACAGGATTTTACTCTGAAGCGAATTTATTTGTAGGCAAATGTAGCAGCCAGTTTGAGCACATCAAGACGACCCACAAATAACCATGAAGCAAATGACCAATTCTATCTGGGAAATTGTTGGTCGGGACACTGGGAAACTCCTTTTCGAGTAATGCCATGGGATCTTTAACGTCCTCCGGAAGAGGCAGATTAGACCTTGATTTAGCATTATACGTGAAGGACAGCACCTCCAACACTACATTGGAATTTCAGTCTAGCCTTAACTAGTTCAAAGATTTATTTTCTGCCAGTGGAATTTCAGAATATGTAAACATTTGCCAGTTGGCTGTTGGAGCAGTTAAAAGGTGGCATTTAAAAGGAATTAGATGAGCTTCCCAAAGAGTATTGCAAAAAAGCATGGAATTTGGATTAGGATTGCTGCACTGGAGAAGCAAAGACACTAATATAGTAGATTTCTATGGTTTAATGATGAACAAAACCTGTTGTAATATCGGCACTTAACTAATTCACCGCAAAATTCAGTCAAAATAATGGAAATTGATAAGTGGAAAACAGAATTATTTTGCATACAAAAACAGTAGTCGCTGGGAACACTCAGCAGGTCAGGCAGCATCTATGGAGAAAGGAAAGTGAGTCAACACTTCGGTTCTATGACCCTTCGTCAAAATATCAGCATCTGTAGTATTTTGTTTTGAATTATTTTGCATATTTTGTCTGGCAGTGAATTATTTTTCCAATCATATTTACAATAAAAACTTTTAATTTATTCTATGGCTGTAGTATATTCCGTTCTATGAAAATAGAAAAATTCCTTTCGTTGTATAGTTTGCTTAGACAGACTAAGCCACACTTCAGCAACATTGAACAGCTTTTTACAACGCAAAGCAGAAGGGAATTCCTTCAATGAAAAAAAACATGACTTCTTCTGCGCAGTGTATGAAGTCTGTATAAAGTAATGCTTTTTGTGCCACATGTAATAGTGTTGTGCAGGCTAACGCAGGTTTGAGTAGATGTTTGATAACATTTGAAGTGTTATAAGGCAAAGTGCATGCATAACTTTTTCAGTTGATCCACCTGAAATGTACTTCTTCACTAACACAAACTCCAACTGGAGTTACCATTACAATTCATACAGGTGCAGTTTATGAATGAATAACACTCCAGACAGCAATAGATGGTATGTTCCTGTGATCGAATCCTTGTGATATGGAGTTTCATTTCGCTGCCATGTTAGACATTGTATAGGGGTACAGCGCATCTCCGCTCACTTTCACTAAAATTAAGGCACTCTTTCCACTCAAGAGCTCAGTCTACAGAAATACATCATTTTAAAAATGAAATTCACATTTTTAGAAACTTTCAGGCTGAATGTGGAAATGAAACAAAATGTGGACTTGATCAAACACTATTTTCATGATCTGTTGCATAAAGAAAGCATTTATACCTTGCAAGTAAGAAAAAAAATCATGCAAATGTAACTTTAGTATTGCTGTGCATACGTGGTTCAAAATATGGGTGGGGGAATAAAGCTTTTTTTATTTGCAGCGTACAAAACAAATAGGACGCTTCATACATATTGTCATTTTACTTGCACGAATGAGAGGTATGTGTACAAATGAAAACAGGCATCTAGATCCCCAGTACCATTTCTTCCGTCATAATACTTCAAACGTTACATTGAAAGAAACTTCAGTGCAGTGCTTCTCATGATCACTTCAATCAAGACGTGAACCCACGAGATTACAATAATTTTCTTATGCTAAAAATATAACACACAGAGAAGGCCAATAGAATTTAACTTTTTTGCATACTTTGTTCAGGGATAACACTAATCAAAGGGAACTCATAAGCCTTCTTTTGCTTGTTATACACAATAATGCAATGGTGGTGGGAAGGTTAAGGCACATTTGCAATGGTAAATTAACAGTGCCAAATGGGTGTTGTTCACTGGTACACTACAACGTATATGCATTGAACTATCAAAGAATTATTAAAGCACTATTTAACCTGCACAATTGAAATGACAGAAACAATTCAATATTACAGAATATCAGCAGCAACTAAAACCTAAGTGTACAATCTATGTCTGAGGGTAACTAAATGTACCAGGGAAATAAATGTCAACATTATTAGGATTTAACCTAGACAGACAGCTTTGCTGTTGGGTGTTAGTATAGCAGTACGAGTAGAATAGGAATGAAATAATTTAAAATTAACATTTAAAATAATTAATAATGAACTCTTGTTCAGAGGTAGACTGGATAATTGATAAATCCAGCATTTCGTCTATTGTAATCAAACTTTGATTACTACTGACCTCAAAATATAGATTGAATAGACGACTAGTGCATCAAACCTATGCTGGTGCTTGCTCCTCGACTAAAGCAAACTCAGAATCCCAATTTCCTGTACACATTATCCAGTAGGATTATGCTCTGAGCCTCAACAGCTAGTTGTACCAACACATTCCATACTTTTAATTGCTCTCCATGTGAAAATATTTCTTGTAACTCCTTCCTCAACTCTTCCTGTGGCAATCATGAATTGATGCTTCTTTGTTAACAACCATTGGGGATATACTTTCACTATTACTCTCAAAATCTTTCAGGAGTTACAAACAAAGCATTAGATTCCCCCTTAAGCTGTCACTGAACACGGCTCTAATATTTCTAGCCTATCCTCATAATGATAACATCTGGTGCCTGCTAACATTCTTGTGAAGCTAAACCGTATAACAGTTTAGATTCAAAAGTGGCTCACCAAACATTCGCACTAGTCTAGGTAACTCTGTGTAAATCAATATTTTGTTTCCAGTAGCAACTGAGTAATGATATTTATGGTGTGGCCATAAATCAAGAAATATTCAATTAGGAAAAATTTATTTGGTTAGCCGACCAAAAAGGTTGGTCATCACTGCTGTGTACCTCGCCACTGTTCTGATGCTTTCTATGAGCTCCTGAGAACCCCAATGCACTACTTCAAACTGCAGCTTAACTAACATCTTGTGTAAACTTACTGACCAACATGTACTTTAGAAAACAATGGGAATTGTATGAAGCGGTCTTCTTTTCACTCTCAGTTTAAGTGAGCTGTCCATCATATCCCCAAATATCTTTAGAAAAAAATACATCTACAAGTTGTAATGCAAAGATACTCCTCTTGTGGGGTTTATTAATCATTATTCAAACTGAAGATTGCACGTTTAGATGCTTTGAAGGAAACCTCTCTGGTGTTTATAAATACACAGTAGTACAGCTAGGGTTCGGCCTTCAAAACACAGAAAGTCATAGATACAACATGTGTCTGACAAAAGTATTCACTCTGCCTAACAAAATATAGCAATTATTAAATCAAGTGTTAACCAATACTGTATCACTCGTCTCTTATTTTACTTAAATTTTCTCATTATTTCATCTAGATACACAACAATAGAACCAGATAGATGAACAACATATTGGTGCTCTGTATCACAAACTATGAGACCCACATTTAACTTGCAGCTGTAGCATATACCAAGTTTTATCAGTCATTATATAAAGCAAAATGCCTAAACCCACAGAATGAAAAGCAAGAATAAGGGTTCCTCAGATTTCTCTGCAGCAATTCATACTTGGTAACTGTGAAAGTTTTTGCAACTATACACTCATTTTCCCCACTCCAGGAAAATATGGAGAGGGAGAAACTTAGAACACAAATATACATCGGGGCCTCAAATGCATGTATTATAATTTACTGTTGCCGTTTTGGGTTGTTCCCAACAAGCGTACAACTAGACTGGAAACAATGCAATTAGGCAAGGAAATATCAAGGTCCCTGGCATGGCAATCAATATGATATATATATAATGCACACAATATATATTATATACATATTATAATAACAGTACTTATTACAATAACTTACTATTCAATTTTTTTTTTAAAAAATTGAATGGTCCAGGTATATTCGACACATAAGCCTAAGATATGAAATCTACTCTGCCTTAAATTTCAAGAATATAGCAGTCTAAAATCATTCTGATATGTCATTACAAATAGTGCAAAGCATGAGAGTCACATAAAGGCATAAAAGCCACACTACATGTATTAAATGGGTATGAGTATTCAGTATTCCCATTCATCTGTTTTCATGTCTAGGTAGGAAAGAATATTCTGAGCAAATTTAACAGCTTGTTTTCTGGCAACTTTAGCTCCAGCATCTCCATGAGTTTCGACAGCATCAAGTGTAAGAAGTTGCTTTGTGAGCATTTCTTCGAGTCTTTTATAATTCTTATCACCTCGGATTCCATCAAAAGACAGCACTTCTCTCTGATGTACTGACAGGTGGTGCAGGACTTGCCAAACAGCTTTCTGTGAAGGATGTTCCTCTTGCCCCTGTTGATCTAAGCTCTCTCTCTTCCCAAGGGCCTCCTTTAGGTCAACATAAGCAATCACAGACTGTACTTCGACTACCGATCTTCTCCTTGCTTCACGAATGCATGGATTTTTACCAATATCGACTTGATCCAACTGAGTAAGAAATCCTTGCAGCTGTGCCTTTGGTTTAAAATAGAGATCAGAGGCATTTTCCGACTTGAGGAGTTGCTTTTTCAATTCGGTCATTTTTTCACGGATATCTTCTATCTGTCTGATAGAAAGATTTTGCGCTAAATCATAACGACCTGCAGATTCTCCCTCGGACTCCATCTCCAAATGTTCCAAAAAGCAGTTGATTTCATGAACCACACGTTTTCGGTAGTTTCTCACCTCCATATTTCCAGTCACATCCACAGCATCCAACTGCATCAACAACCCTGTGAGAACACGGGATAGGTGTGCACAGTTCTCCAAGTCATTCAGGCCCATAAGCAGCCCGATCACATCCCACCTTGCTTTACTAACTTCGCATAAAACAGAGTTGATTTTGGAGACGCCTGGGTGCGTATTTGAAGACAGAGGCAAAGCCAAGGCTTGCCGACCCATGCAGTATTCGATGATGTCCTGCACAGCACAAATCCTTGTCAAAGCTCGGTACCTGGCTTTTCTTAAACCAAGTCTCCCTTCAGTTTTTACTTGTGTTAGTTGAAATATGATTTCTTGGATGTGATCAGCAAAATCGTCAGTTATCAAGCCTTCTGTTGGAGTTAACTCTCTAGTCACCAATTGTTGTGCTTCACCAAAGATCTTATCTACCTTTAACCGAGATGGATGGTTTGCAATTTGCTCCAGCTCTTTCAGCAATTCTTCCACATTCTTTGCTGCTAATTTGCGGGCATGCTGTATATCAGCCTTTCCATCAGTATCTACTGCATCTAACTCGAACAGAAACCTTGTCAAAACACTTTCCAGATGCTTATATTCTTTATCAGACTGGATACCGCTGAAAGAAGCCACATGTCGCCTAGATTCAGGAATTGCCTTCTGAATCTCTTCGATTCTAATCATGGAAGGATGTTGCTGACCCATGGCCATATTTCTTTTTCCCTAAAGAATCATTGTAGTTCTGAAATGAAAATGAAACATATTTGTTGCAGGTCATTTTTAGCTTCAAAACAAAACTTTATCACCAAAGCTTCAAGCAATGAGGAGGTTAGGAAGAAGGAGTATCAGAAATGTTCCAATTTGAAAAAACACCCCATGCCCAACCTCTCCATTCATTAGGTATGAAAATACTTGTAACCTTTATCAGGATTGCTATTTCATTGCTACGAATGGATGATAGAAATTGTGATGTCAACAGTATGTTATGCCCATATGCTATTCTAAATTCCTAATTTTTAAAAAATCATTTAATATACTGCTAGATTCTGCAAAAGAATAACTAGGAAACAGATTCTCTTACATCAGAGCGACATGTTGAAAGTGTCCAATGCATTATATATTCTATAGGAGAGAATGTAGATTAGGCATATTCTGTGAAGCGCTTTGAGACGTCTCGATGACGTGATAAGTCATGAAATCAAATGCAAGGATTATTATCTGCTTGCAATCTGCTAAGGAATATGCAAAATGATAGCCTTGATAAAAGTCACAAGAATGTTACTATTATGGTTAAAAAATTGGTGAGTTGACAGTGGTAGAAATTACAATTTGACAGAAAAAAGTATTACATACAATAAAATGCAGGAATACCATAGTGGTTCCTTTATTATATTCTAATCAAGTTCTCTCCACAAAGGATCCAATTGCTCCTATGCACCTTCAAGTGGTAAACTTCAGAATGCCATTAATGAAGATCCAAAATCTTGTCACCCACCAACTAACAACTAACTGTGCATCCGATTCAAGAAATGAAAGAAATAAAAACATATTTAAAAGCGTCACATTACTTTTCAAAGAATTAAGCTAATTCTTATTTTAAGTTATCTTTATTTGTCAGAAAGAAGTTCTGATTTGTTATCATCGTGCTCCAGTCTCACAAGAGGTTCCAATGTTATGATCAAGAAACATAGCGGGAGATTACACAAAAATAGTTACAAGCATGATCTACAGAATAACAAAGGGGTGGATGCATCAGAAACCATCTTAAATGGTTTAATTTTTAAGTTAAAATACAGTTTAAAAAACGTTCCTGGGGGTTTTATTTTTGTGCAGATATAAGCTCCTGAGTTCTACATTGTAATTAACACAGTAACATCTACTCTATTAACATAGTTTCGCGTTCAGGTTTGACAACATTTTCTTTCTTCTGTCTCACCATCTCTGCGCGTCATGCCCCCCTGGCATGAAAGGCACTATAAAATGTAAATTTGTTGTTGTTATGATGCAAAACAATATTATCAATTATGGTGCTAAACAGGGTTATACAAAACATTCATTTGATAGAAAAAGTCTATTTTATCCATTTAAATTAGAAAAACAGCATGTAAACCCAACATATTTGTGATGTCCAGCTGTCCATCTACTTAACGATGATTTTAAGCAAACCCTGGCAAATGGATTTATTGCAGAGTAAAGACCCATTGATTGACAAATCAATGCATCTTGTGCTTATGAACTGTAGTAAATGTAGGTAATTCTGTCGCTAAGCAAGTTAAGTCACAGCTGCTCCATTATCTGTACTGATGCTGTACTGATGACGTCACAATAAAGTAAAAGCCAAAGTCTTCTCACATTACACAACCATTCACAGCACAAGCAGCAAGGGAGGAGAGGTACTTATTTCTGGCTACCAATGTCACTCTGTAACTGGTGTATCAGAGGGTCCTGAAAAGACTCGCCTTTCATTCAGTCAACTTTGCATCCACCCAATTAGAAGTAATTATTGAGCGATACGCACCTTGGTATCGCTCCAAAAGATACAACCAAGATCAGAAATTAACCATGTGGTGAATAGCTGGGCCAAACCCCGATTTGCCCAGGTTTTGTTTCAACAAAAATCTCAAGTTTACCAAAATAACTTAACTCTTGTAATTTTATGGGATACAAGGGGAAATGGGTTACATTTGACAACTCACTGTTTGCACATTATTGTTGTCCAGACTTGTTCCTTTAAAATGTATTCTCCACGGCTTCTTTACAGTAACACACACGGGGTATGATTACTCAGCTAATGATGTCACATGTCATCATTCATTGTTTCTATCTAACCACATCAACACTTCCCATGGATATTTACTGCATTTAAACCTCTGACTATCCCCTTACTAAGAGAATGGACAGATGCCTCCGTTACATACTTCAAGTGCTCTGAGATGCTACCCAATGTAAAGGGCACTATATAAATGCAAGTTGTTGCATCTGCCAATGTAATCATCTAGCTGTTCTATTGGTAAATAAAGCACGACTCACTCTCTGCATGATGTTCTCTTTCTATTATGTAGGGTATACAATTATTTACCATATTACTTGTGGAGTCCTGTAGCTCAGTGGTTAGAGCACTCGCCTCGCAAGCGAGAGACCTGGGTTCGATTCCCGGCAGGGCGAAACGTTGGGCAATTTTTCTTACTCCAACGCCTCTGTTTACCTACAGCAAGTAGGAACCTGGATCTTAGTCGATTGGCGGATCGCTTTTCTGGGGGTGATAATTCCTTCAAAAAAAAACAATAAATTGGTCACTCAATCCACGACTGTTTGTGAGACTCTGCTGTGTGCAATTGGCTGCTGCGCTTTGCCCACAAAATAAAGTGAATTCACTTTACAGTATATTCTGTGAAGTGCTTTGAGATGTCTCGAAGACGTGATAAGGCACTATACCAAATGCAAGAATTACTATTATTATATTCCAGCAACAGGATTGTATCAGATCCCTCTGCCTAGCAATTAGTGGCTCACTATATAGGCACTTAGTCATTCTATGGAACCCTCACGTTCACCATTTATATCACTAAATTGATTGTAATTTACAATTTTTTAAAATCAGAATTATAATGGATTATTTTTAATGAACGCTCTCACCTAATCTCCATAGGTTGTTCATACTCCCCCTTCCTGCCTGAAGAATCAAAATACTTTGAATTACAATATTAGTCCAAGGAGATTAGTGTCATTTTTTGCCTGTGAAGTTCCCTGGGTAACAGAAGTGTGTATTTGAAGTCGTAAATCAATTTTTCAATTTTTAAATATACAAGTTATTTAATTCATTGTCTAAAGCCTTTTCATTCATTGTCTAAGGTATCCACCAAGCTTTCTGACCTCAGAATGCAATAACCTTCAATCAATTATTCACGAGCAACAATTAACTTTGACACATTTCTGTCAAAGAGCAGAATACCCAAAAATACTAAGAACAACATCATATTAACCAGAAAATGTGTTTTCGTGGATGAGCCTGGACCATGAGTGACAGTAGGTTGGTTATTCGACCGTGGGTTGCATCCCAGCTGAGCCCCAATCCTAACCTCAGCCATATGCACTTCCCAGCAAATGTGACTCTTGCAATCTACAGGAACTTTGATGTACACCCCTCCCTTCTCTTGCCGTCATGAAACCAATTGTAGCGGCAATCCTCACCCCGGCGAGCACTGAATCTCAACGCGTGGGCTTTGTGTGTATGTGCGTTTCACACTTGGCAAAGGTCTTCAGCCACTGAGTCATTCGGGAGTATGTGATACCCCGTTCGATCACAGGCCAGCCAGAAGCAGACAGACATGGAAGGAAGTCTTTCGGCATTAGTAAGCATTTCTAAAATAATGCTTTTGGAATATAGCTTTTGAAGAAGATGTGTGTGTGTGTGTGTGTGTGTGGGGGGGGGGGACGTGAATGAAGTTTGAAATACTTTGGGGATGTAATAAATGGAAGAGGATGCCAGTTCTGATGAAGGGGCCCCATCTCAAACCATCGTGTTTGTCTCTGTCGGATGCAGATCCCTCAGGACGCCTTTTTTTTCTCCAGCATTTTACAAGCATTTCGTTGCACTTCACAGTCGCAGCATATTATTCCCCCCCTCACCCCCAACCCCACCATTGCCGGTTTTACACACGGCTTCACTTCAGCCTCAACCCGGAGTGTTACCGTCAGAGGCCACTCAAAAGAGTGGATCGTCGTCAAAAACTCTGCCCTCGGAGAGAGGGAGAAAAATTTTTTTAAAAAAAAAATCTTAAAAGTTGATTAAACGCCAAACACGAGAGCGGATTACACTTACCTCCGGTATAGCCGTACAAGTGTGTGTGTGTGTGTGTGAGGGGGGGGGGGGGGTTCGGGGGGGGAGGAGCAGCCCGGCCCGGCCCGGCCCTCTCTGGCCTGAATGTGGTGCCTGTCGTCGCGGACTGTGATTGAAGTCACCTCACAGAGCCCACGGAGTGAGAGAGCCTTCCCTCAAGCGGTGGCGGCGGCGGCGGGGGACGGGGGGGACGGGACGACAGCAGCCACAGGCGCGTGTGTCCTGCTGGCGGGAGAAGGAGCCCAGAGGCCGGTCGGGTCGGTCGGTCGGTCAGTCAGACCGACCCTCCCTCTACACTGCGTACGTGAGGGACTCCGGCGGGAATCTACTGGAAAACGCTCGAGACACAGAGAGAGAAAGGGAGACGAGCGCGCGAGCACTTACCTACCTAGCGGTCGTTACCTCTTCGCGCATGCGCTCTCTTCCTCTCGCCCGTTGAACCTGCATGTATTTTACGACGACGCCGACGTACGGCTGCGCGTCTGTGTGTTTTATATCTAAAGTCTTAAATAAACAGAGGGAGAGGGCGATTGCGGACCGCCACACTGCCGTAAATCGGGTGGTGTGGCGTGAGGTGCGGTGCGTCCGCCCGCGCGTGCGCGGCTTTTGTCACGAGGCGGGAAGAAGGTCAACGGCCGGGAGATGCTCGCGGGTAAACTCCCGGGCACCGGCGGCCCGGCCCGGCTTCGGCTTCTGGCCTCCGAGAGGCTGTCAGCGGGGAAAACAGTCCCCCACAGCCGGGTGAAGGCGGCCGGTAACTGCTGCTGCTGCTGCTGCTGCCGCCCGGAGACTCTGTTGGGCAAATGTTATTCGACCGCCGCTCGCGGGCCCGAGCGCCCGAGGGAGGCCGACGAGAAGGTGAAGTGAATGAGAGTGGATGTTGATTCGCACTAATAAGAAGAATAATCTTTCTTTGCCGTTCGATGTAGCCGTCCTTCCCGGGGTCTGGAAGACTTGCCCAGAGTGTTTCGCACGACGTTGCTGCGAAGTGTGGTGACTGTGTATTTTGCTGCGGCCATGTGCCGCCGCCAACAACAACAACAACAGCAACAGCAAGAAGGTTACATTCGCACAGGGCCTTTCACGTCGGGAGGACGTCCCAAACAGCCTCGCAGACTTCATACTGATCTCTCTATATCTGGGGAATTGTTGGTCCACGCACTGGGAGAAACTTCCTTCTCTTTTTGAGTAGTCCCCGTGGGATCTCTAATGTCCACCTGACCAGACAAACCTGAGTTTGATGATGATAATAATAATAATAATAACCATGCTTGCGTTTGATATAGCGCCTGATCGCGTCTTTGAGACGTCTCAAAGCGCTTCACAGAATATATTGTGAAGTGAATTGACTCTGTTTATTTTGTGGGCAGAACTTCGCTTCTGAAGGATGGTGCCTCCAACACCTCTTGCCCTCCTCCCTCCCGCACTTCATTGTGGAAGTGGCAATTTATCCGGTGGTCTCAACATCTCAAAAAAAAAAAAAAAATTATTTATTGCTGTAAGCTTTCAATCAAACTTACAGCTTTTGAGATTATTGCTGCAGGTCGACACGGATAAGGGAACAGTTGTAATCGGTTTAGCGGTTAAGAGCAATTACAAGTTTGTCCTATTGCTTTGCGTGACCAGCACTGTATTGATGCCAACACTGGCATGATAGCAGCTGTACACCTCATGCTGGGATTGGGGGCCTGCTATGGCTGCACAAAATCATGCTTTGGCCGCGTACGGCTATCGTGACTGTGTTTCCGAAACTCTGACTTAAGACTATGTGAGTTCAAGTCCTGAAATAGGCTTTGACCCCACAACCTTCTGACTCAGAGGTGAGAGTGAGCTAAACTGACCCACAGAGATATTTCAGTTTTGTATCAGTCTTGAGGAATCTGATAAATATATTCTGGATTGTTATAATTATTCTGGAATAATAAATATTTTTCTAGGTTTCAAGTTTTAAGCCCCCTGTAGACTCGCACTTTGACTGGATTGGTCCTCCAGATAGAGTTTCAAACCTAAGGCCTATAAAGTTTTATGTTCCAAAGAATGAAACCAAGCTGGAACAGAGGCTGAGGAAGATGAGGCAAGAAACCCAGTATTGGAACCAACATTTCTGGTCTAATCAAAACCTAACTTTCAATAAGGTGGGTATTCTGAACCATTCAGTAAGGATTGTTTTTGCTCAGCAGAAAAGTGTTGTGCCTAAATGATGAAACAACAACAACAAGATTGCATTTATAGAGCACCTTTCACGTCGGGAGGACGTCCCAAGGCGCTGGACAGTTGGGTCGGGACCCGAGTAGGGGGGAAATGGTCAGGGTGAGGGGAGGGAAGGAGCGAGGAGGGGGTAGAGAGTCGAGAGGGGAGGTGAAGGCACGGGTGACAATAAACCAATGATGCTTTGTTGTACCATGCATTGTGGATTGCACAACAAGATTGTGCTCTACAAGATATTAATACTTCAGTTGTATGGATATGTTTCTGAAGTTGGGGCAGATTATTGTGAGTTTTACTATGTATCGAACAGTGCTTAGTCTTGACTATGTATACTATGTGCTTGATTTTGACTGGTTGATTGGAAATGTTCCTTCTTTCAGCAATATCCTTCTTTCAGTAGAATGAAGACAGGGAAGAGTGTAAGAGAAAAACAAATGTTAGGCATTTTTGTAATTCTTCAACAGTTCAAAATATCCCCTTAGGAGTTCACAACTAATATTGGCAAATTTGCATCAGTGAAGTCCTAAACAGAATAACCAATTAATCTAGACATTTTCTTTTTGATTAATAACATGGGATGGGATCTTTAATGTCTGCTCAAAAATGGGTAAAAAGCATTTGTTTTCTTGACATATCATCCAAAGAATGGTACCTCTAACATGCATTGCTCCTTCCCAGTATTAAACTGGAGGGCCAGTCTAAAATCTTGGAACTATAATCTCCCAGAGATGGGAATGCTGTCAATTAAGTTAAACCTTTTTTTAAAAAGGTTTTTTAAAAAAGGTTTAACCAAATAGATAATGTCAGTGACTCAGCAGTGTAATAATCCATGGACGATGGGGTGTGTGCAGCAAATCCTATGAATCATAATATGGTTTACTGAAATAACCTGAAGAGATGAGAGCACCCCTTGATCTCATCTCATCACCCCTCGCAGCTGCTTGCATTCTCTTTGACTGGAAGCCTTTTCAATCAGAATCTGCTTATAAAATATAATTCCAATGTTGGCACTTGCGCATTTGGCCCAGTGCCTAGAGTTTGGCTTGCAACTTTGTGCTTAACATTGAACTGGTGGCTCAGTCAGCCAAAATGTCCAAATGTTTTGTATACTTAGATAAATAGAGTTTTTTCCCTTGTTTTGAGGGGAGGTTTGATTATTTTGGGGCAGTTACATTATAAACACATCCACTTCTTTTCTGATGTATCAGCCCCAGGAGCTATTTTATTGCTGTTTGAAATAATCAGTTCCAGCCATTACATATTCAGTTGAGGATTTGTGTACCATTGAAATACCCTCTGGGGGAAGAGTACTAATTTGCACAGTGCTGAATTTCCTTTGAGCTCTATGCTGTCTGTCTCGTTGGAAGACCAGATTTGTTGATGAACGTTCATTTAAGTGTGCAAAGCAATTATTATAGGTTAATTTTCCATTGTTGAAATGAACATATCTTTAGCATTGGCTAAGAATGATTTTGTTTAAAGAGAGAAGGATCATGACTAAACAATGGGGAAGAGAGAAATATTACTTTGCTGGAATTCTTGTCAATTAAATCAATATCTCACAGGAAAAAGACCAGTTTGTACAGTCCCGGTTACAAGCAAAAGGAATGGAATTAAGAGATGAGGACGGTGAGTAAAGTCTACTTTGCTGATTTCAGTCAAGTTACATAAAAGGTTTTGCTTAATTTATAAAGAAAGTTTGAAATGAATATTTGCTCTTCCCCCTTAAGATATTTTTTTTACAACTGAATTACAAGCTATGCACTTTGTCTTGGATATAGCTGACATAATAACCTATTCAGGAATGCTTAAAATGGATGGGAAACTCAAAAATCTTTTAAACCTGATGTGTACAAATAATTTGACATTCTAAATGCAAAATTACTGTACTGAATTTGAAAATTGATCCTTAATTCTAATTTGGACAAAATCTGAATTAGGAATAGTTGTTGTCATTTTGGGTTGATTTTGTCCCTGCCCAACCCTTGGCTATTCAGATGTTAATCTCTTCCAAAATTTCTCTGCCCCTGCTTCCTGTATACATTTAAATTCCTCCTAAAAACCCATCTCTTTGTCCGTACCTTTGGTAAACATCCTTAAATCTCGTTTCCTGCTTGGCACTGACCATTAAATCTGTGAAACATTTTGAGGCATTTATTCTATGTGAAATGTACATGACAGGAAATAGCAGGAGGCACATACCTAAAAATACAATTGTTTTATGTAAGCCCATGTACAATAAATGTTATATAAAATGTTTAAATCTAATGAACTCTATACAAAATCTTAATACGATTACATTTATTTTATTATATTATGCTCTTAACAAGTGCATTGTTGCTTTGATGCTTGTGTATATTAAGACGATGACCTTCAAGAAAATGATAAATGGACTGGATTTACAATATTTTGTTTACTCGGTGCTCTATGAATGTCTCTGGAGAATGATCCTTGCTTGCTTCGACAATAATTTTCATAGGTTACTGACCATGAAATCCTTGCCTCTTGCAGTATACATGGAGTTTAATTTGGTGTGATATGAACTTTCAGGGAGAAAAAACACACTGGGTGCAGAAGAAATGGCTGAATTTTACAAGAACTTTCTTAGTAAAAACCACAAAAAACATGAGAACTATAACAAGTAAGTAAATCTAATCTTTATTGTACAGCAAGAGTTGCTGCTCTGTGAATTGTGAAACTGAGGGGTGGGAGAAATTTCCAATGGTAAATTATGTATCCCAAGGTAGTTTTCTGAAACGCAGAGTAAGATTACCTTAATTATTTAACACCAATGGGTACATATTGCCATTTCAAATAAAATATTAATTGAAGCTTGATACATGCTTTATACCAACATATGTGCTCCATGAATTTGCCTACATCTTAATTCATAGATGGCTTACGGGGCCAGAGGACTTTATGATAATAAAGGGTGATATTTTTAGAGGAATAAATTGATCATAGTCATTTGCCCTATTGTCATTGATCCAATGTGGACTGGCAGAGCATGGTAAGTAATTTGCATCCTTGTCTGCCCAGCTGTAAGAATTTGCATCAAAATGCACTACAATAACTACTGTTGGGTGTAGTGACCGTTTTTCTAGCTATCCAATCTAATAGTGGCTTTGTGATTAGTAGCGCAGCTGTGAAGCAAAGGGGAAATATTAAAAAAAGTTACTATCCTTTTAGTTAAATCTTACTGATCATTTGATTTGCTTTCTGGATATTGATAATGTAATTTTGCACATAGAATATACTGTATGATCAGGTGCAACTATTAAATTTTGATCTCACTTTCGGCAGAGAATGGTACAGACGTAATTTTACCATTACGTGGTGGATGGGTCAAGTGTTCCTGCAAAGAGCTTGGAGGAAGCTGCGATGGAGGAAGGAAACTAGATAATTATTCTGTTTTGCCAAATAGTTTAAAACATTTGGGATTTGGAATTTAACTGTACTTTCAAATAAATTACCCAGTGTAGCTAAAGCTCCAATGCCACACGATGATTGGAATTATATATTTGGTGCATTTTTTACTGTTAAGATTTTTTGCACAATTTATAATGCTTTTCAATAATTTAAGAACTTTAAAGTGTATATTAATTTGTGTACATTCTTTTCTTGATCTGTATTCTGGAATCTGTAGCATTAACGGTTGATCAAGTATCCACCATATCAGAGACTTAGTTCAAGAAACCTTGTACTTTTCCATGTTCCCAGTCAAAAGCCAGTCTGTTTCTCATCATATTGATTTCAATTAAATATTTAAAAATCAATGGTGTTTACCAATAAATATTTTTAATATATAGAAGTACTCATTTTTCAGTTACTATTTTCAACATGCATTTCAAATTATTGGTGCTTTTAAGGAAATACAATCTGTCTCAATTCCATGCTTAACAACATTGATATTGTTATCTCCTGCTATTGTACAGAAGAACCAAATACTGCAGAAGGGAAAACATGTTTCATTTCATCTGCTATTCTATGAAGTATGCACTACTTTTAAACTGTTGCAAGGACACTTCTAAACGTATTTATTATCCTTAATTACTCAAATGTTAACTGCAGAATGCTATCAGTAAAACCAAACAGCCACATACTCACTTTCACTTAAACTATTTATATCTGGTGTAAATTCATTTTTAATCTCATTTTAATAACATCTTCAGGGTGTTTATTTTAAGTGTAAAAAGCTGCCATACATATAAGATATTATTTAACCTTTATTTTAAGATTGATATTTTACAAACTGTTTTGAGAATGGAGAATTAAATTTAATTGTTTGGAGAATAATAATCCTTGCATTTGATATAGTGCCTTATCACGTCTCCAGCGTGAATTGACTATGTTTGGTGAGTGAAACGTTCTGATAAAGGGTTGCACCTGAGATGTTAACCTGCGTTTGAGATGCAGTGCATTTCCACCGATATATCATTGCATTCATATAATCGAGAGCAGTTTTTGTTTAATTTATCTACAAAAACAGGAAAGGGACCATGTTTCCTTTCCATCCCCTAATTGGAGTAATTTAAGGCTTGCATTCGATATGTGCACTACAGTACAGTACGGGGGAGAAGGGAGCACATTCAATCATAATAATAATAATAATCCTCGCATTTGATATAGCGCTTTTCACGACTGGAGGACGTCCCAAAGCGCTTCACAGAACACACTGTAAAGTGAATTGACTGTATATTTGTGGGCGAACGCGGCAGCCAATTGCGCACAGCGGTGTCGCACAAACAGTCAATGGATTGACAATAAACCAATTTATTATTGTTTTTTTTCATCCTTCATTCCCCGTCCCCACACAATAGGGGTGTGGGGGTGCTGTTTGTGGGGGGGGGGATGAAAGAGAGGAGGATGATTGACAGGTGGCGACGGTGGGTGATTGACAGCTTGACGTCAGGGCAGCGCGCAGAGGGCTGTGGGTAAGGAGGCAGCGCCATCTTTTGCCTGGAAGGTGTGGCGCAAAGGCGAGGAGCAGCGGCGGCGGGTGGGGGGGTGCGGCCTTCAGCACATCTGGAAATTACCATCACATACACACACACACAGCCCCGGAATCAGGCACCGAACCGAACAGCACCGGGACCGGCGGACGGTGGATGTGTAATATTAAAGTACGGCCCTGTACCTCCATCGTCACCCCCCACCCCCCCCCCCGCACCCCCCCCCCCCCACGGCCCCGCCTCACTGTCTCTCTATGCGGCGGTGTCGGTGTCTGTGCCTCTGAGGCGGTGGCGGAGCCGCTGATATTTTTTTTTACCGCGGGGGGCCCGGGTTTTGGCCAACGTTAGACAGACAGAGAGAGAGAGAGAGTGCGAGAGAGAGGGGAGAGGAAAGAGCGTCTACTTTTCACCGGTCTGAACCCACGAGGTACTGCCGCCTGCGCGTCTTCTCCCCTCTCAGCGGGACCGTTTCTTCTCATCTCACGGTAGGTTTGGACGGGGGTCGGCGGACGCCGAGCGATGGGGATGGGGATGGGGCGGAGGGGGAGGGGGAGGCGGCTGTCAACTTGGCGGCTTCGGTGCGCGGCGGATCCGCGCTCCATCTGAGCTGCAGCGCCCGCGTTCATACGGTGGCGCCTCCCGGGCGGTCCCAACCGTCCCCGCGTCGCTGTTGTGTGTTCGGTGCTGTGTGACGGCGCTCCGGTCGTCGCTTTCGTTCCCGAGATGTGTCAAACTGAAGTGGGGGCGACGGACGCGGCTCCAGTCCGGAGGCTTTGTAATTGTTCTGCCGATTGAATGGAGCCGGGAGTTGAGGCTGGAGTGACTGTCCCCTTTTGGGGGGCGTTGATTCTGAGGCAAAGCAGCTTTATAAAGTGCTGGTGTTTTAGTTGTCACAGTAAGTGATGTTTGCTGGTCACGGAGGACCAGAGATTTTTATTTTTTTTTCTGTGTGGGGGGAGGGAGAGGATTGTGCAACTGTGATTCATTTCCTTGTGAGACGGACACATCGCGATTTTTTTTTTGTGAACCGACGTTCATCCTTTGGGGGGTCGGTTTGTTTCACATTTGACGGTGTGTGTTCCTGACCCAACGTCTTGGCTTTTAACATTTGCAATTTGAAACCAGTTACGTTTGAGGATGGGTTGGGATTGGGGGTGTAACAAGATTTGGGGAAGAGGTCCTGTTGAGAAATCGTCACAAAACGTGTTGGGTTGGGTTGGTTAACGTTGACTCTTTACCTGGGAAGGCTTCGTGCTTTTTTCTGAGACGACAGGATGGTGTTTTTGTTCGCCACCACAGTGTTCAGATCAGGAATGTTGGAGTGCAATCTGCCCTGAACTATTCAGACCCATATTTTGAACAGCGAAACAAACATTTGAAAAAACAATGCCAATATTCTCTACTCACCTGTAATAATAATCCTTGCATTTGATATAGCGCTTTTCGCGTCGGGAGGACGTCCCAAAGCGCTTCACAGAACACACTGTAAAGTGAATTGACTGTATATTTGTGGGCGAACGCGGCAGCCGATTGCGCACAGCAATGTCCCACAAACAGTCGTAGATTAAAAATGACCAATTTATTATTGTTTTTGGTTTTGGAGGGATTATTATCTACCTAAAGGTATTTTAACTCCCTTTTTCTCTCTCGTGGGTGTTTTTTTTACACACACATTAACACAAGGTACTGATGGCAGTTCTATAGACCCAACTGCTGACTAATTTAGGCTCAACTAATTCAGCACAGGTTGGATTTTGTGCCAGTGAGTTTCGTGGCCTGGTGCTAGAAAGGCATACTTTGCTTTTCCACTGCACTAGTTGGTAGAGATTGGCTTTATCAACAAATAATAATATATTATATATATGTATTATAATATATAATATCAACTAATAATATTTATCAACTACAACAACCAGTGCATTAGAAAAGCAACACTATCTCTTTAAATTGTTTTGAATTTTATATTGCACACGATAAAGGTATCTAGTAAGGTTAGCTGATTTAGATTAGTAACAACAAAGTCATCTTATCAGTTGATACACTACGTGGTTTATGTAGAAAGTGGAAGAAATGTTTTAGCTTTCTCCTCATTTTAGAATACTAAAATCAGATCACTCCAATCCTGTAGACTGTAGACTACTAAAAAAGCAATGAGTTGTTTTACCAATGGAGATCTTCAGAGTTCTATGCATATTGGTTGATGACTGGAGAACCATGCAATTACATTTGAAGTTATTGAAAGTTCAGTTGTGTATTGTCTTGGAAGGGTGTTTCCCTTCATGGTTGACACACCTCCAACTGAAAAGCCAGTACTGATTCCTCACGATAACATTTTATTCAGCTTAAAAATATTTTTAATTGAAATAGAACTTTTATTTCCCCTTAAGTCAAATAGATCCTAATACAAATGTTTTTAAAGTGTCATTGATGGACTATTGAAGATATTTAAATCACTTGCAACTGTAAATGTTGACTACATGTGATTTGTAGCACAAAGAAGACCAAGCCTGAGAAAGACATTAGTGGCAAAAATACAGTATACATACTGCACCAGTGTATACTGTATTTTTGCCCCTAATGTCTTTAGGGCTATCTGGCAATCAATATCATATCGGTGACAGCTGAGCCAAATTTCATGTCTATTTTGCTCTTTCCATTCCTATCTAATTAGACTGAGACATAGGCAAGAGTGAAAAATCATTTGAATCCATTAGGGAAGACGGATCTGGGTTGTCAGTGATGAATGAGTGAGTTTTTAATGTCTTCCTTGCAAGTCAAATCAATGGGATTGTGACTGCTCTTTATTGGGTGCTTCTATTTATGCTGTTGGTGATAAAATACATGATAGCTTTGATATTGAACAATGAATATGCTTTGATTTTAGAGAGAATGTGGTGTTGATGATGAGGTGTTTATTGTGGCTCTAAAGTGATTATATCCATTGCAGAATTATATTAGTCATTTTTTGTTTGAAACCAAAACTCATTCCAACTTTCAAAGGGGAAATAATAGATTAGATTTAATTTGAACCTGTGTTCCAGTGGATTTGATCTTTTTGATGGCAGATTTCTGGTGTGTGGTTTGCTATTCCTGTGACTTCATATAGGAATCTATCCTGTAATGTTATACAATAACTTCTTATGAAGCTAATCACATAACGCCCAAGGGATGGTTGGCCTTGCAGGTAGTAATACCATATTCTCATTTGGCTTGTAACTGGGAAAAAATGTGTAGCCAAGAAATGTCATTTTGGTGAAAAAGATTTTTCAAATGCATATCATTTACAAATTAGGCAGCTATAGATGTTGCATTGCTCAGAAAATTAGATTAAAAAATTGAAATAAAGGTATTGCCAAGTGCAACACGGTTGTTTTCGTACAGTTTAAGTACTCTATATATGTATATATATAGTTTTACGTTTCTAGGTTCAATCTTTGGTCTATGCTGAATAAGCTGATCTCAATCAAGACACCATTAAGAATGCTACAAAATAGTCACTAGCTCTCCTGTTTATGGAGGAGAAAATCAGCCAGGCAGCGGTTATGAAGCCACCCATGATTGTACAGCCCGTCAAGACTGTCAGTCCTTACTAGCTGTACAATCATGGGGGGTCCATAATCAATTCTGGTACCGTCCTCACCACATTCACACATACTTTATAGCAATGTCTGTAAATCACCATTGATATTCTCATGACAACCCTGACAAAACTGAAGTCATTTACTTGGCTTCTGTCAACTCTTTCATCTGACTTCAGCAACCTCCCTGGATGCTCAATCTTGGAGCTTTGTTTGACTCGCTGATCTCTGTCAAAGCCAATAACTAGTTAACCAAGACTGCTTTCTCACCTCTCCAGAATATTGGCTGATTCCGTCCCTACGTCACTTCCAGTGTCAAGGAAACACATTTTTTTCTACGTGAAATATGCTCCACTGCTTAACTGTTATTTGGTAGTGATACCTACCTGCCTTTAATCCAAAATGGATCTTTCATGCTTTCCATACAATTTGCTAGGATTTCTTTAAAGCACCGTACCATACTTCAAATAAACACTTATTGCTTAAAATTTCTGAGCATCACTAACACTAAACAAATTGCAAGGGTATGGGGAAAGATCGGGGGAGTAAGACTGATTGGGTACCTCTTCCAAAGAGCGGCACAGGCAAGATGGGCTGAATGGCCGCCTTCTGTGCTGTGATATTCTATGATAATGGAACCTGTGGGATATGCAATACTAACGCAGTGTGTTTTGTGTTTGGGAAGATTTTCCAAATGAGTCATGCGACAATTCAGCAATAGCCCTTAGCTGGTGCTAAAATTATTCTGCTTAATTGCAGTGCTCAATGAATGTTCAAAAAAGGTTTTAGTCCAGCATGTGGAGTTAGTTCTGTTCAGAGAAGCAAAACAAAACATGGTGCTGCAGAATCATTTTGTACATCTTGTCTTTTCTGGTTATTTGTTAGTCCCTTCAGCTCAGGTTTTGAAGCATCATCGTTATACACCAGTGAATTTTCTAAAGCAGAAATCTTATTGTCTGTTCCCTAATGTGCAATTGCACTAATGGAGAGATTGAAATCTAGTCAAGTGACTCCATCCTATATTAACTTGTATTGTGTGCACCAATGTGTACAAATCCAGTAATAATAATAATAATAATCCTTGCATTTGATATAGCGCTTTTCACGTCGGGAGGACGTCCCAAAGCGCTTCACAGATCACACTGTAAAGTGAATTGACTGTATATTTGTGGGCGAACGCGGCAGCGAATTGCGCACAGCAATGTCCCACAAACAGTCGTAGATTGAAAATGACCAATTTATTATTGTTTTTGGTTTTGGAGGATTATTATTAGGCTCTGTGTGGAGTAAGGAAACTTGCCCAAGGTTTCGCCCTCTGCCTGGAATTGAACTCAGGTCTCTTGCTTGCAAAGCGAATGCTCTAACCACTGAGCTACAGGACTCCATAAAGCCTTGAAATATAAATTATCTTGAACTGTATTGGTGTTCTTTTCTTCTGTATGAGTGTTAACTTGTTTGCCCATTCTATTTGTCAAATCATGTTGGATTACCAAATTATGAGTATTTAGCATATATAAATTATTAACAGATCTTGTTTTTCAGGTAACGATTCAAAAGAAATCTGGTGTATTTTTATCTGCCAACTGGCACCCGATCTGATACTGCATAAAGCACTGCAGTGTTATTGTACTCTTTATCTTATGCTGATATTATCCCTTTTTGCAAAATTAGTTGGCAGTGTGTCAATAAAATACATTTTGGAACCCAAAAATAGTAATGAGAAGACGTACAAATAAGTCACCACAAAATCAATATTTCAAACCAAATCTGTTGCTTTTTGCTTGATAGCAATTCCAGCAACAATGCAACATAAATTGAAGGTAGGCAGAGAGTAAGGCCACTTAGAATTTGGGGTCAAATAGAAAACGTGTCTATCCTCCCAAGAGGGAAAAACTAGCAGAGCATCCTCCCATAAAATTTGAACAACCAACGTCATGTCATGTCTGCTGATGAGAACATGTTGTGTTATTGCCTCTGACACAAGGGACACCCATTCCCTTGTTCCTGGTGGGATAGTATAATGACTATTCTGCACAATTTGGCAATCCCAAGCAGTGCCAGAATCAGCTATAGTGTGTCTCTTGTGTCACCCAAAGATGAGACAGCTGAGTCCTCACTGTCTGGGGCAAATGGAACCTGTCATCTTCTCATTGTGTTGTTTTTCTAGGTAAGGTTCTTGGTGCTCTTTTGTAGGCAGAAGGGAACCTTTTTCTGCCGAATAGCTTACAGAACAAGTCTAGACATTTGACTTCTGTCTAATTTGGACAGAATCATTGTGTTCTGCTTCAATTTCATATGCACTGATTGTGCTGAAGCATGAGTTTCTTATGATTTTCTCGGCAGCCTACAGGATATAGAATGATTTAGGAATGCGACTTAAAATTAAAGCAGTTTGTTTTTTTCTAATAAAATGCCACAGTGACAAGAGTTAGCAGTCTGAGATTGCTTTGTACATAGAAATGCCTTTTTATAATTGTATCCGTTTCTCAACATAAAACAGTCTAAGACAAATTTGGGTAAAATGTGGGGTCATTGTGTTTACAATGTCAAACTGTGCCACAAAAGCTTTACTATTAGCTCATTTTTACTGTCCACAAAAGCTTGCCTGATAGAAGAGACCAAAGGAAATGACTAGCATTGAGTGCTAAATGGGGGAAAAAGAGACATGTTAGTGTGTCCTCTGTTTCTGCTGATACAGAATTTAAGAGCAGGAAGCTGTGGAGATAATGGCGCTGATTGTGTGTCCATTTCCTCACTGATGATTCTTTTATTCTAAAACTAGCTTTAAAATTCAACTACTAGGTGTTGAGAATTTTAATTCCTGTCCTGCCACTATAAAACAGCGAGCACCACAGAATATTTCCTGGATACTAGATTACAAACATGACAAACTCTTGCACCATAAACCAGTTAATATTAACCAGCACTGTAATGTTTCTACTAGAAGATGACTTGGCATATGATGATATACATTTATCAGAGAAAAGTAAGTCCAATGACTAAAATTCAGTGGGACATCTGCACAGGTCAATGGTAACGACTACAGAGATGTTTGTGAAAAAGACTGTTAACGTATGGAGAAGCAATTTAACTTAGACAATGTTCAATATGTTAATTGGGTTTTGAAACCTTCAAAATCTATTTCTAGCTGCTTATGATCTCCTCCCAATGTGAAAGGCGCTGCATAACTACAATTTGTTGTTGCTGACCTTGAAATTGGGTGGGTGTTAGCAGCAGGCTGGAGAATGAATGTGACATTTTGCATGTGTTCTTTACCATTGAAATGTTACGAGGAAAAAGTAGGGAGTTTGAATTCGTCGATTTGAAGGCTATTGAAATAGAAGTATTTTGCCAATCAAGTGAAACCCTGGCTATTGTCTCCGCTAATTTAACTTTTGTGAAGAAAATGAATGAAGCAGTAGAGCAGTTTATAAATCGTGCCACTCCTCAAGAACAACCACTGGGATTATTATCCTACTGATACACACCCGTTAAAGTCCTCATGCTGCTGCAATTTCTTAGATTGGCTTTAATACTGCTGTAAGGACGAAGCTGTTTTTGCTTGATATTGGATTTAGAGTATCGTTGTTTTGAATTCATGGGTATTCAGCCGTACATTCAGATTTAGATGAAAAATAAGTCTTGGTACAAAAGTGTTAATTTGCACTTACTGTTCAGGGGATGCTGTAAAAATAACTGTGTTCTCTAGTTTGTAAAGTGTTCCCTGTAGTGCCTGTGGCTAGTTGACGTCAGGTACCCAACTATTCCCAGCAGTGTTTTCATCTTCGGCATATTGCCAGTGAGCAATTAATGATGATCTTCGATACATAATGATGTTAGATGTACGTTGTGGGCAAAGTGCAGGAAGCTGCTGCTGGCTACAGTGAGATGGATTAATCTGGGGCAGATGAGCTCCTCAAAATGAATCCACAGCCATTCAAATTGCATTTAGTTGCTGTGCAGCCTGGTTTCATGTACAATGAATTCATGATGAATAGCGCAATGGAATTTTCTATAGTTTTTCGGGACGGGGTTTGCTATATAGAGTACTGTAGCTTCTGAAATGCATATTAGGTATAATGCTTCATTAAGGTGGTGAATAGAAAAAAACAGTGGTTTGTTAAAGGCTTCATCACCTTCAATTACAGAATGCAGGATCTATTTTAAGATTGTTAAAGGTAGGTTATTTTTTCAATATGTAACCTGTAGAATTTCTATGCAATGATTTTGGTTCTACGCTAGTGAAATATTTTGTTTTGAAAAATTTATGTTTCCAATAACATGTAGATGATGAATAATAAAGGTGTGTCTTCCCATAAGATTAGTAATTATAATGACAGAAAGGTGATTCTCTCTAAAAGTAGCACACCTGTGAAAACACCAGCGCAGACTTGCTGGGCTTAATGGTCTGTTTTTGTGTGGTAACATTCTGTGATTCCAAATCTGGCAATTAATTTGCTGTGAAGCAAATTGCTGAATTTCTTTTTATTGCAGCAACATTAGGGCAGGCAAATCAGTCTGTATATTGTAGCAACAGTAGAGCAGTCCCTTGATTCATCCCACTCACCGAGGTGCTAATGGTCCATCACTAACCTCTTGCTGAGAAACAAATGTCCTCATTGGAATCAATGCAATTTGAGAGAGGCAATTGGCATTTTTCTGTCTAGAGTTAGCGAGGAACTGCAGCTACGATTCTCTACCTGTGCACGTTTGTTAATCAGCTTCATTAAGCGGTTTGAAGATAACGGATCCTGATTTTTTTTAAAATGACGTGGCGGTCTAGTTTGCAAAGTCCAATTTCCTGCTACTTGCCTTTTGTGGATCTTTTTCACTTTGGGGAATCTTTGCAAAGTATAATGTGCCTCACCTGCTCTTGCATAGTTTAAATTTGATGGTATCAAGTAGAATAGGCTTGGCAGTATCAGTGGCGAATTAACTTTGTAGAGTGAACGTGTCGGTGTTGCATTTTCATTCAACCTGAGTGAATGGAATAACTGAAATTAAGAAATTATTATCCACTTTGTGGTATAAATACCAAACAGTACTTTTCCATTATTTAATCAAAGTGGACGAGTGGAACCTGCCTTTAACACCTCTAGATATTGATTCCTTCAGTCACAAAGCATTTGCACTCCCCATTGACAATGACTTGATTCATCTTTAAACCCGTATGCTCCAACTCAGCAAAACTGCCTTTCAGGATTTTAAATCCAATTTATGAAATATGCAGTCTATTTCAAGTTTTCCTTTGAACCTGTGTCAAGAATGCAGCGATTTCATGATGAGTTGTTTATTCTAAGTGAATTGCTGATTTCTTGTGCTTCATCAATCTGCTGGCAATGTTTAGCCGACTCCCCACTGTAATTGAATTTTCATAGAAACAGCGGATATTTCTCCATTTCTGTCGCTCCTCATGAGGCACATTAGAATTCCAGAGAAAAAGCTGAGAGCCCCTTGCAACCTCTGCAGTGGACACTGTCCTGCTAATTGCCATTATTTTATTATTATTATTATTATGTGTCATATGAGGTGAAACTTCTGTTCCTCTCCCTCCATCTCTATGTTGAATGTGCTGTGCCCAGTGATTTAGCTGAAGTTGGCAATTTAACGGGGAAGCCATATATTAAATGCCAGCCAAAGCAGAATTGAAATCTAGCATGCTGTTGCTTGACAATTTAACTGCCTTTACCGTGGATAATTAGAATGCAATTTGTATTGAGACGTGTAACAAGAAATTCTGCTTATCTGAAATTGACTTTGCTTTGAGACTGGAACATCATTTTATCTTGATTAATAAATATAATTGCTTTTAAAGTGTTTTTACAAAATAGCTGTTCTGAAAAAATAACTAGAGTTGCTGCATGTGGAGCTCTTCTGAGATATGTATGAACAATGAAGTTGTTTTGATGTGACTATTGTGTTCCCCCTAATTATGCTGCTAACAAATTATAGTTCAGGATGATCCCTTTCATGAATATAATATTTTCTCCCATTTCTTTTCTCCAAAGGATGCATGACACCATGTCCACAATGGTGTATTTGAAAGAAGACACACTAGAAAAGCTTTCGCAGGAGGATATAATTGCCAAAACAAAACAGGTGATCCAAGGACTTGAGGCCTTAAAAAATGAACACAACTCCATATTGCAGAGCCTGCTGGAAACGCTGAAGTGCTTGAAGAAAGATGACGAGAGTAACCTGGTGGAGGAGAAATCCAACATGATTCGCAAGTCCCTGGAAATGCTAGAGCTTGGTCTCAGTGAGGCGCAGGTAAACAAGAAGATAACTTTTTTTCATGAAAGTAGATTTCCAGAATTTAATCATCCATACTGCTAACCTTTCAAGTAGCTGACAGCAGGAGATAATATCTTTCTCCTCTGATCACTTTTCTATGGTGAAATGGTTTCTAGTTGTGAGACACCACCTAAAAATCTTACCTTCAGAATTTATTGAGACTGCGATTAATTTACCAAACTCTGGAGGGTAAACCTACTTTCTTGTGAGCTCTGAATTGAGAACTGTTAACCAGATAGGCTCTGGAGCTAAGCCTACTATCTGTGAAATGTGAATTTGGAAACTGCGCTGTCAGGCTACTTATGATCTCCTGAGCATTAGAGCTTTGACACTTCATTACAGGAAGCATTTTTGCAGCTTTTTTCAGGGACCAAACTATTCTATCTGTGAAAATGAATTATGATAGGATCACTAATTAATAGGTAAATGAAATCCCTGGTGTGGATTGTGTCATTTAGAAAAGAAAATCCAGAGGTTTGATTCCTTAATTGTATTTTAGCTGACCTCTGCTGAAGCACTGGCTTGTGTCCCTGAACTAGTCAGGACAAAATCTACCAGTTTCATTTGTCTAGACCGAGTGTGTGTTTGTGTATAGTTAAGTAAAGATTGAATTAGATAAATAGACTGCCGATCATTACTGATGAGGCTGACACATGAAGAATGGCCAATTGTTTGGACGCCAAAGGCATGTTGCCACCTGTGGAACTGCAACCAGGTGAGTCACTGGCTCCAGGAGAGATTTGTGTAACATTCATCTGAACTAATGTGGCCGTATTTTCAAGATTGCACATTGGTTTTCATGTCACTGGCAGACATGGCTACCTTCCCATATCTAGACTGTGAGCAACATCGTTTTTTTTGTCTAGGGACACTAAGTCCTCTTTACAAGGTATTAATAATAATAACAGTAATATACCATGTACGTTTTTTGCTGTCAAGTTATACACAGACTCTGCATTGCAAATGTAATTTTACAAGTCTACTATGGCTTTAGACAATTGATGTGATGCTATCTTAAAGTTTCAAAAATTCTGGGTTTGATGCCCATCTCTTACCATCAGAAAACCAAACGACCTTTGGACAAAGTAAATAAAACGGACGCATAAGATATTAAGTAAAAATGAAAGAAAGTAATTTTTACTTAAATTAAGGAAATGGCTACTTTGTGAAGAGTCTCAAAATGTTTAAAATCTTCTTACGTGAGCAAACTTGTTCAGCATTCTTGATTTGTGTGTTAAGGTGATGATGGCATTATCCAGTCACCTGGGTGCAGTGGAATCAGAGAAACAGAAACTGCGCGCCCAAGTGCGAAGGTTGTGTCAGGAGAACCAGTGGCTGCGAGATGAGCTGGCGAATACGCAACAGAAATTACAGAAGAGCGAGCAGAGCGTGGCTCAGCTGGAAGAGGAAAAGAAACATTTAGAGTTTATGAACCAACTCAAGAAATATGATGATGATCTTTCACCGTTGGTGAGTAGATGACACAATCCTTCACAATGGGGTATCCCATCATTTAAAGTTTCTGCACTTGTGGCTTCTTGGTTCATTTTAAAAATAACTTGTTCTGCCAAATGGGATTTAATTTCAAGTAACTTTTATTTCACCCTCCCCACCCCACAATGTTCCCTCCCTCTTGCTGTGAGGTGGGGTTATATGATTGCTGATTTGCCAGCCCTGATCCTGTTAGCTGAGTTTGGAAGTTAGGTTTACGAGCCATTGTCTTTCCACTTGGCATAAATCTTTGGTAAACCAATATGCTGTTCTGCCTCCACAGTTAGTTTCAAAGATGCTTCCTAAAATGCACTTTGAAGTTTTTGTTTAATTGAGGCAGTAAGGTCAATATAGTTACATTTTTTGGGAGGAGTTTCTCTGACAGTTACTATCCCAGTGGATTGGTGGGATTCTCCCATGAAGGAGTTAGATTCAGATTCACGCAGATTCACAACCATGGCTTGCCATAATCTTGAGAATGTCAGTATAGAGATAATTTGGTTGAATTGAATTAGTAGATTTAGTTGCTGGGAACGACAAACAAATGTTTATTAAGTAGGAACAGTACATTTATTAATCAGGTTCTTTACAGCTATACAGTTCCTTACAGCTATACACTGTTGTTTTTATATGAAAATCTTCTAGGAGGAAAAAGACAGCGATTCATCCAAAGAAGCTCTGGATGATCTTTTCCCAAATGAAGAGGATGAACCAGGACATGGAAGTAAGTGTTCAGGAAAAACTAGAAAGAGGCATTTGTCCCAGTACTTTATAAAAGTCGTTCAATTGATTACATTTGAGGTTTTGCTTTTTTAAAAGAAAACCAAATGTGCTGTTAATCTGTAGCAATGGAAGATTGATAGAAAAGCTATAGGGGTGCAAGTGGAAAAAATATTTAACGAAAGATAATCATTCCAGTGAGATTCAAAAGTCAGCAAAAAAAAGACATTGCTTTCAATAAGGAACTGGGCTCAATTGTGATCTGAGGTTTCTCCATTGTTGAAGCAGTCTTTGGAGCACTTAATGGTTCTTGTCTCTTCTGTAAAATGAGTGAACGGAAAAAATGTGTTCGAGTCAGCAACTCTTTATGTTTTGCTGAGTGAGTGGAATCAACATGTCACAAGTGCACGCATCAGCGTAAATCAAATAAATTTTCAGCCGGGTTGCAGTGCAGTTCTGTACTTTAAATGAGGTATTAACTTGCAGAATATTCATCGTTATTGTGAATATTTGCTGAAAGTTTTCTTAGATTGGACATTGTTTTATTTTTAAAACAAAAAGGTTAAATATTTGAATGCAAGCAAAATCTACAAAGGAGTGCAACATCCAGTGTTTCTGTACTATAATAATACTCATCTTTTTTTCTAATTGTTTTATCAAATTATAGTTCAACAGCAACATAGCAGTGCAGCAGCTGCAGCACAACAGTGTGGCTATGAAATCCCAGCCAGATTAAGGACTCTGCATAATTTGGTCATACAGTATGCATCCCAGGGCAGGTACGAAGTTGCTGTGCCGCTCTGTAAACAGGCACTTGAAGATTTGGAGAAAACATCAGGTCATGATCATCCTGACGTTGCAACTATGCTCAATATCCTTGCTTTGGTGTACAGGTTTGTATGATCTCTGTTTTTTGAAGGGCATACATTGTAATGCTTGTACAAAGTAAATACAGCTACCTCTAATGGCTTAATGAATGATTCATTTGTGCTCGAGACCTTCATTGATTAGACCATAGACAAGTTGCCTGAAGAAATTTAATGCGTAAATTTATCAATTTAAATTCTGGAACTTTTTCCAACTGGGGCAGAGTAGTTTATTTCACCTCTTGACAGTTCAATTTGAATCCTGTAGACACTGATAGGATGAGGTCATCCCTCTATATTATCTATAAACATCCAAAAGTAAGTGGCAGCCTGAATTAAATTTCTACAGAATGTGGCTCTGTAGCAAAGTAGTCTGGGGTTTGTTTTTCAAAAAAGAGATATTTGAAAGGAGTAAGGATGAACCTTTGAAAATATGTTTGATTCATTGCTGAAAGGGAATAGTCACTGGATTAAACAAAGGCACAGTTAAATTTTCTGTTTATTCTAATACCATGATTAGACAAGTTCTGTGAATCACTTCTTTTTTATAGTCAGTGGACATTGTGTGTGAAATATCTCCTTTTACCTACTTCATGACAAAGCCTAAAATCACTGTTTGTGGGACACTGCTATTTGCAACTGGCTGCCACTGTTCTCCCACAAAATACACAGTCAATTCACTTTAGTATATTTTGTGAGGCGTGTCAAAGACGTGATTAAGCACAATATCAAATGCAAGGATTATTATTATTATGATAGTCGCAAATAAAATGTAGCCATCAATGAGAGGATGTGAGTTTTGAACTTTGCGTGTGTTAAGTGAAAACTGCAGAGTTCAATATTTCTTTCAATCTGACTTAGGGATCAGAACAAATACAAAGAGGCAGCAAACCTGCTCAACGATGCTTTGGCTATTCGAGAGAAGACCTTGGGTAAAGATCACCCTGCGGTTTGTATAACCTTCTCATTCTATACTGCACATATGTACGTTACTTCCCTGGAATATTTTAATATTTCTCCATATTAAATTCACAGGCCGATGTTAACATACACCATTCCTTTATGACGACCAGGTCAAATTGTGAGTTCTTCAATGGAGAATTATTATGTGCACACCCTTGATAAGTGCATAGTCTTCCCAAAATCATGTTTACCTGCAAGTACAGTATGAGGAGGACCCAAGCTGATTTTTCATTTGATTTTTAAATGCTAATCTCCAATGCTTTTTGACAAATGTCCACATTCCTTTGTTATGAAAAAATATGAAATGCGTACTTTTTTGTTATTGAATGCAATTTGATCTTTTAGACTTTGATTCTGCTTTTGTTGATTACACTACTGAATATCGCTTGTACTCTTTCCCCCCCACCCCCCCACCACCACACACACACACCTTCTAAGAATGGTCTTTATATTTATGGATGGATTTCCTACAGGTGGCAGCTACTTTAAATAACCTTGCAGTACTTTATGGGAAAAGGGGAAAATACAAGGAAGCTGAACCCCTGTGCAAGAGGGCTCTGGAGATCCGAGAGAAGGTAGGCGTCGATGAGAAGAATGTCTGAGCTGCTGCTTTAAATCCAAAGTCCAACTATGAATGTTATGAAATATCAATTGATTTTCATCATAGAAGCTGCTAGAATGTGCAATAAGCATCAATATTAAAGAATGATTGTTCAAGAGTAAGTTTGTAGCTTATACAGTAAGACACAAGTTTGACTTGCGTGATGGTAGAACAAGGTCCTATACATTTCTCCATAAGCCACTTGAGCTTAATTTCCAAAAAGGGAAAGACTGGAGCTACTCTCCGTCAGCATCGGATACCAAAAGAGAAGAAACAATACATTTCACAGAGGTTTTTTTTTTAAAAAAGGCATAGAAAAGTAGCCTGATTTTGTTCAAAGGTGAATTTATCCTTTTAACAAAATTGGTTTCACCAATGTACTGTTCTTTTCTTGCTGTATAGTAAATGTCTTGCTTACAGTAACTGCTAAACCAATATTTTTATTTAGAAATACAAATCTTGTGTGTCAGACCTAATTAGACTAGATGCTTGCTTTTGTTAGCTGCTTTTTGACAGACATAGTTTTTTTTAAAAAAATGTGAGCAACATAGAAGCCCCTTGATTGATGATACATTTATTTAACATGAACTTAGAACCACATGCTAGCCAGAGGAAGGTTTAAAATTACTTTAAATACCATCTTGCAGTTTACTTAATAGCATTAGGCAGATTTATAGCAATAACATTAGACAGATATTTTGTATGATCTCAGTAGCGTACTTGACCCACTGACATCGCTGTGAACTGCTTGTGCAGTTTGATCTTGTTATTTCATTTGTGAGCTATAAATCTTAGCTTCTAAGCCACTTTTTTCTTTGAAATTGATCCATTACTAGATCTCTGACTGTGTCAATGCAAGTTGTGGTGTAGCCATTTTCAAATGATTATTTTGCATAGGACAGTTTTGAAACATTTTATTGTATATTGCATTTAGGCAAAAATGTGCTATTAAATGTGTTTGACCTTTATGAAGGAGTGTTCAATTAATGTCAAATGTGCTTTTCTCCTTAGGTATTGGGCAGGGATCATCCTGATGTGGCAAAACAGCTAAATAATTTGGCATTATTGTGCCAGAACCAGGGAAAGTATGAAGAAGTAGAATATTACTATGAGCGTGCACTGGAGATCTATCAGACAAAACTTGGGCCTGATGATCCCAATGTGGCAAAAACGAAGAACAACTTGGTAAGCCTTCATGATCGACCATGTTTTTCTTTTTTTGGAAAAAAAAATGTTAATTATTGTAACATATAACACAGCACTTTATTAACCAGGTGTATGCTTGGATTTATTTGAAATATCTTTATTTTGAAATTGAGCATTGGACCATTGCAAGGTTTTAGTATCCATTTTTATTTGGCCTCTTTCATTGCAAATCAATAATCATGTAAATGTTTAGTAAGAAAACACCAATCTATTTTACAATGAAGGGGTGGGGGTACGGCGGGGTAAGAGACGAAAATAAAAGCGAAGTCACTACGAAATTAAGTGCTCTGTGTTGATGATTTTTAAAATTGTGAACATGAACTAAACCTGAATTGTCATTGAAACTATGCCATTAGCAAGTACACATTACAATCAATGACTGTTTGTGGGAAACTGCTGTGCGCAATTGACTGACACGTTTTGCCCACAGATGTACAGTGAATTCACTTCACGGTATATTCTGTGAAGCGCTTTGAGATGTCTAGAAGACGTGAAAAGCGCTATATCAAATGCAAGGGTTATTATTATTATTCAGAACATCTGTTTATATGTTTTTAAAAAAATGTAGTTTAATATAAATTGAGATAATAATTCAAAGTGGTTTATTGCAAACTTCTCATGATGATGAGAAATGTAAAGGGTCCCAAAGTGAGTATGCTGGCAGTAAAACTGATAGTGTTGTAAATGGGTAGCACTCAGATTTGGTATCTGATACATGCTGTAGCCTATCACCAGATTATCGAAATGAGACTGAGTTCTACATATGCATTCAACCTAAGTGTGGATATTTCCTTTTTGTCTGTAATGAAGTGTGCAAAACATGGAATTAGCAAATTAAAAATTCCTTTCCAAAAATGTCTTGACAGTGATTTTTTTCCTTAGGCTTCCTGCTATTTAAAGCAGGGGAAATTCAATCAAGCGGAAACCTTGTACAAGGAGATTCTCACTCGTGCACATGAGCGGGAGTTTGGCTGTGTCGATGGTGAGTATTGTATTATGGAAAATAATTAGGGATGTGTTTTCATTTATTACAAGCATCTAGAGTTTCCTGAACAAATGGAAGTTCATTTATCTCAAGTTTAGACTTCAGTTTGGCCCATGGTAGAAATCTTTTCTCTTTTTTCCCCATTGGTGGAGACAGCAAATACATTCCCTGAGTTGGTGAACTAGCAATAATCGGGTTAACAAGTTTTCAATTCCCCCGCCACCAAAAGAATAGATCGCTGATGGTAGTCCAGAAAGTAAGCTTTTCTTTTCCCTCCCTGCCTTCATCCTACCCCACAAGGACCAGTAGTCATCCAAGCCCCTTGCATATTATTTATATCGAAGCATTTGGATGGTAATAGTTTCCTTCCACAAAATATTCAAAAGTGTCTCTTGTGAATTGAAAGGAGTGAACAGCAACCATAAATCTTTGAGCAAGTGAGTTTCGATTGCAAATTCACAGTGAAAAATTAATTAAAACAGCACAAATCAATTGGTACGAGCACAGTTGTAAAAGTATTTGTTGGAGCTCATGGACTTTGTAGTAAACAATTAATTAAGTGTAGTGTGTCTGAGGAGGCCACCGTGTGTGAAACGTTCACATTTTGAAACTGAAAATCTCAGTGATTTCATTTTTCGTCTTACAGATGAAAACAAGCCCATTTGGATGCATGCTGAAGAAAGGGAGGAGCAATGCAAGGTACTTTCATGGCTTTGCCTGTGCTGCATTTGGGCAGCTGCAAGACGTTTCTTGGGTTTGGGTAGCCTTGCTAAACTCTGTTTCCGTTTGTGGAAACAGTCAGGCTCAGTTCTACATGTTCTCTGGTTACATGGTTAAAATCAGGAACTAACAAAATGGGTAACACACCACTCCAAGGCAGTGTTCCCAAGAGTTTTGTTTTTAAAACACTAGTTGATCATAACAGACTTAATTTCTGAGTCTTAACTTATATTACGGATTACATATCACAATGTAGATTTATTTTTCACTTTTTTTTATTCAAGTGGCTTCAAACTCAGAAATACTTTCTTATCTGTTTGCCTTTTTAGGGCAAACCAAAAGACGGGACCACATTTGGCGAGTATGGAGGCTGGTACAAGGCATGCAAAGTTGATAGGTATGTTTCCACTTCATTTTTCATGTAGAAATGTGTTGAATGACTTGCACTTTGCTTAGCATGAGCTCTCATAAACAGCTCTCATATACAGCATTTATATAAGTTGTCAAATTAATTGTTTTTACTTTAACATCACCCAAACATTGTTTTCTCTTCTGTTTTCAATCTGGGTGATCTCCTGCTCTATGGGTTTTGGCCCTTCATCGAGGATCTCCGTAAACCCAGATCAATGTTTTCAAATGTACCAAAGGCAGCTGAAGAAGAGGTCAGAAGTTCAGGGTTGTGAAGAGCAAGTTTAAGAGGAGGAAATATTTCTTTAGATAGATAGTAATGGATGGAACGATTGTAAGGTGATTGAGATAAGCCGATAAGCCTGGAAGAATTGGGTCAAATAGGCCAAAGGATCTTTGGAGTCCGAACCTTTCTTGAGACAACATGCTTATGGTTGTCTGTTGGTATCCTGAGGTGCAATGATTCGATTGGTTTCTTTCTATTCTTGGTGTCAGCATGTCTTGGTTAGGTAGTATACAAACTGACGGTGAAAAAAGAAATGATCCCTTGTCCCTTATCTAATTTACAGATCTATTTTGGAGCATTCAGGAATTGGGTTTCTCTCCCAATAGAGGCTGGAATGCATTTGATTTAATTTTTTTATTCTCTTCGGTCTTAACTCCAGCGTATACAAATAAATATAATTTTGCCAAAGTTACAGCTAAACAAGCATTGCTCATAGTTGGCAAAAGAGGAACAAGTCCATTCAGTTTATTTTTGGACAGCTGTTCACATTGCTTGTAAGTATAGGGACATTTTTGACTTTGTAAACAAGACTGGTGTTTATATGCAATTTGAAGTTTGAGCACCTGAATTGTAGGTGAGCACAGAAATCCAGTTTGCTAAGAGCTAATCTATTTGAATCATCATTTATAATAAAATAAGAGCAGCCAACAGTGAATATGAAGTATCTGGTGCATTGGAATTCTGTGCTTGGATCAGTCATCTGTTAAGTTACATTTGTCAAATAAATGTTCAATTATGAAATGTAAATAATTGATGGATGCATGTGCAAAACACTGCAAAAGTGAAAATTGTTTTTTAATTATGATTTATTTCTTCTTTTTCAACAGTCCCACAGTGACAACCACCTTAAAGAACCTTGGGGCACTTTACAGGCGTCAGGGCAAGTTTGAAGCAGCTGAAACGCTGGAGGAAGCAGCCATGAGATCTCGTAAACAGGCAAGTTAAACTAAACATGTAGGCTGTTTCATTTTATTATTGTGTTGACTGTTCAAATGCAGATACAAAACAGGGATTGTAGAAGTCATCAGTGTATGGCAGAAAGAGAAATTGGGAAAAATTTGGGCAGTTCTAAACGTTTTCATTAACAGGATGAAGTCTTAAATGTTATGAAACCTAGACCATTATTGATCTTAGCTTTAATGACTACTGCAAATTCCATTTTATAGCTAGCTGCCTTTTACATAATCCTTTAATAAATTAATTGCATTGTAGTTCTGCTATTTCTGTTGCTCCTAAATTTATATTATTATTAGAAAGGTGATATATTTACTGCAGTAATTGCTTGAATTGTGAAAGAAATTCAAGTAAACTCAGTGTCTTTGCTCCCGCAGGGTCTTGACAATGTTCACAAACAGAGAGTGGCCGAAGTACTTAATGATCCTGAGAGCATTGAGAAAAGAAGAAGCCGTGAGAGTCTAAATGTAGATGTGGTAAAATTTGAGAGTGGTCCTGATGGTGGTGAGGAAGTGAGTATGGGCGTAGAGTGGAATGGGGTAAGTACAGTACACAGTCCACACATCTAGCTGCGAATCAGCTGTATCTAGTACAGCAAAGAAAGGAAAAGAAAGCTGTCTCTCTAATTAACCAGTTTCAATTTTTAGTGGTAAGATATGTTGAAATCGTAATGTTTAACATTCTACAAACCTCGTAGCAATTGAATAAAGAAGCATTTAAATCTGCTGGCGAAGCTATACCATATTAATGGACAGTTTGACATTCTATGAACGGGAAAGACACTTTGGGGACAACTTTTGTTTGTTGTGCAACATTTGACAAAAAGACCAGGAACTGATACTAGTGCGTAATTAGTGGGATTTGCCAAAAAGGATTTGCAAACGATGAATTACGGATGTGTGGTGATTGACATTCTATGTAATTCCTCAGTTCCGGGTGGAATTTCATAGATGGTTAGCCATGATGACACACCTGAGATTCACTGTTTACAAATCCTTTTGCAAATCTTGCAAATTAGACTCCCATTGTTACAGTTGTTTTTATGCCTCTGAGCTGAGATACTGAGATCTCTGAGTGGAAGAATAATACAGATTTGTTGAAATTGGGATTTAAAAATGAGCTTTCACACAATTTTATGTGTAGATAGAATTTGTTGTAAACGGGCCATGTGCATTAGTTTAAATCTCTAATGTTATGATGAGGTGAAGTGGCAGAATATGTTACTATAACCGTAATATATAAAATGTTTCAAACTAGCTATGGGCAATTACAACTGACTTCTTAAATGCATTTTGGTATGCTGACTGCATTAACCCCTCCATGCTACTGTTTGCACATTCTGGCTCTTGCATTCCATTGCTGTTTAACATTTGACACCAAAAACTGCAGTTTTTGACAAAACACTACACCATTTTTAGAATATGGGTCTTAGTTTAAAAGTTTCTAATTTAACTATAAGAAGAGAACAAACCTAACCTTTTTATTAGTGATCTTTCAAAGTAAAATAACTTTCAGTACCATGAATAATGGAACAAATTTGTTTGTTTAAGCCACTTTTTGCAATAATTCTGCAGAAGATCATGTTGTAGGAAATAAGTAAAACCATTTTGAATCAAGGCATTAATATGATTATTATAATTGTATAATTTCTGTGCACTATGTATACAAGTGGAACAATAAATTGTGAGAGGGAAAATCTGAATCTGCTTGACTTCCTGCACCTTCGAGTAGTTTGTTGTGTGGATTGTAACATTCAATTTCATTGCCTACTCATTGAATTTTAATTTTGACGATTTATATATGAATTTATGATGTCGCAAAATCTTCCATGAATAGGATTATTTAGTTACAGGAATACAAAATTCAAATATAAAACCTTGAAGGAATTATTATTTACAATGAATTTTTTTAATGGATAGCTTGAAATATAAGGAAGAACACTTCTATACAATTAGTACATTATTCCATTTATATTAGGAACTTGAAATATAAATTATTTATCGCACAACATGATATACAAACCTTTACTTTTGGTTGAGAGGGGGTACCCAAAATAGATTTGGGAAATATGTTTGTGCTTGAATTTCTTCATATTTATACAGAAATGGAAGCAACGGGTAATTCCACTGTTACAATGTTGACCACTCTCTTTTGCTTCTGCTTTAATTCTCTTTTGTCTTTAATCCTTGTGATCAAAAGATGATGCTGTTTCTTAAAAAACACTATCTTGCTGCCATGAGAACCACTCAATGTGTTTTTGACTACCCAGTTTCATCTCCTTTCGAATATCCTGAGGAAATACTATGCCAAGCTATCGATTTGCCTGTTATAAATTGTGTAGTCTGTGTTGGAACTGTGTACTGTACACCTCTATATTTCTGCTGTATTTGACATGCAAATCTTTATTCCAGTATATAATCACCTTTAATCTAGGTTTGTTCAGAGGGATTTGTGTGTGCTTATATCATATGTTGTTACTAACACTATTTCTGGGTCTTATCTCATAATGGCTGACATGAATGCCTTTTAAACTTGGTTCATTTGTATCTAATACAACCATAAAATCAGCTGTCTATTACTAATTGCCTAAAGCAGTTCTGTTTCAAATGTTTAATTCAAGCTCATATTTGTCTCCAACCTGCTAGATGTTTTAAGTGCCATTGAAACTAAATCCAGTTTTGAAAGCTTAGCTGTTTCAATAAGTGAACATTTTTTACTGCTTTGCCCATACGCATATAAGATAAGATTATCTAATTGGAGGCAGTGTTTTCCATTGATGAAAACGTATTTGCACCCATAATTTGTAACATCATATCTTCTCTTGAAAGAGTTAATGGTTTATCATTAAGTTATTATAAGTAAGACCAAAGGTGGTCATTTTAAGTTTGATTTTGCTAATTTTAGTAGCACTTTGCATTGAATATTGAAATTAGAAATACATAGAAATGTTAGTACAGAAGAAGGCCTTTCAGTCCATCAGTGCTTCACAACATGTCCTGAGAAGGTTAAGAGCAATGTCAAAGTTAGAAACTGTGGTTGAAAGTAGAATTGAAATAATTGCGAATTCAGCGATTCCATGTCAGTTGACCTGACTTGGAAAGAGGATACTGTGCGTGCGGTCTTAATTTCACTGACCAGACAATATCAATTTTGTTTCCTATAAAAACATTTATTTGTAAAAGAACATTACTTTGGAATTAAAGTGCAGTATTTTATTTTCCCCACGATAATTTTGCTCTTTTGTAAGGAATGATGCATGAAGTTGCTGTCTTTTTAAAATTGAATACCAAAATATTAGGATTTTGCGCTTGGCCACCTGCCCGGGTGGATTAATCTCTAAAAATAGAACTGTGTATCAGAGTATTCTCTGCTGGGATAGAAATGTTGCAAGTCATTATTATCTTTTTTGCCTTGTCTACCATCATTCTTTTTGCACCTTATTTTCATTTATTCATTTTACACAGGGCTTTGCTCTCCCCCCCCCCCACCCCACCCCGCACACCCCCCGATCTGCTTGTTTCAGTGCTTTTTGGGATATCCTCCCGGCGTGAAAAGCGCTGTATAAATGCAATTTGTTGCTCTCTCCTCTGTCTTCCCCCCCCCCCACCCCGGCCGGGTAAATATCTCCATTCAGAGCTATGCTCAGTTGATATTGGGGATATTAATTGGGGGGAGTTGCCAATGAGAACTTGCCCTCTTAGAATCTTTGAATGCAAACTGGCTGCAACATATACATTCCAGTCAACCTAATAATAATAATAATAATACTTGCATTTATAACAATCCTTACATTTGATATAGTGCCTTTTCATATCTTCGAGATGTCTCAGAGCGCTTCACAGAATATACTATAATGAATTGACTGTATATTTTGGGTATATTGACTGCACTTGTGGGAAATGTGACAGCCAATTGCACACAGCAGTGTCCCACAAACAGTTGTGGATTGGGTGACCATTTTTTTAAAAAAGAAAAACAAATTTGAAGGGATTATTACCCCCGGAAAAGCGATCCACCAATCGACTAACACCGGGTTCCTACTTACTCCTTCTAGCTGAACAGAGGCATGTGGAGTAAGGAAACTTGCCCAATGTTTCGCCTTGCTGGGAATCACCCCGCCCAGGTCCTCTCACTTGCGAGGCGAGTGCTCTAACCACTGGGCTCCAGGGCTCCAGGAGTTCATTGTACTTTTAAATGCTAATCACAATTTGAATTTAAAAGTACAATTTATTCTGAATTATAAATCTGAATGGAATAATGATCAATCAACTAGACCGGTTTAATTGCCACGTGACTAATTTTCATGTGCTAAAATATGCTGCAATCCTTGTGATGAAACTTGTGTGTTTACAATTCAATCCTATGGCATGAAATAATACCAAGAGGGTTCTGTTCCTCCCGATTGTTAATCCTACATATGAATCCCAATGTAAGTTTATTTAATTCCAATTTATATTAATAGTCCCAGCAACTCGTACACCATTTGTTGCTTTTGAATACATATGCTTATTTACGCTTTGGAGCTACCATAATATTTTTAGTTTAGACTTTTCCCCTAGCTGTGAACCTATTTAGTTTCCTCGTTTCTTCCCCCCTCCCTCTTCCCTCCTTCCCACCACCACTCTTATTCTTTTTTTTCTTTCTATGGTCACAAACAGATCAGGTCGGTTTGAGAGTTGAATGATTTTAGGCTTAATGGAACCTCTCATTGGTACCTGAGGTGCTATCCTCTGATCAAAGCACAAATGAGAGCAGCACTGTGATAAAGCCATGTGGTGAAGCACAGCATAAAGGAACAGTAAGCTCTGATTGCATCCGTGTGGAAGGGATGTAGTTTTTAATTTATCTCTCAGAAAAAAAACTTACCCTAAGTTTGGAATCGCCCACTTCTGTTTTCTCCTTTGACTAAAGTATCTATTAATCCACACGCCTAATCTCATCTCTTGAAACCGCAATCTATGGCATCAACAGCAATATTTTATTCCACACACCAACCATTTTTCAGTGTCCTCACAGTGGTATTGTGCAGTTATTGCAAATTACGGCTCCTGTTGCTATGGGCTAATACTGGGTGGAACATCCAAATAAATTTCACTCACAGTGAGGGAAGGTTCTGAGCGGAAAGGGATGAAACCTTAAGAGCTGCTTCAGACCTGAAATGGTTGCTCTCCACAATCCGAGATTTCACTCGAGGTACATATATATATATATATATATATATATATGCATTATTTTCTGACAGAGATGGAATGTGTACTTTGAACAAAAGGAACTCCCTCAGGGTTTCCTGTATCTGCAGTAGTTTGTGGCAATAAATAAAACATTAAACCAGTTGCCAGGTAAATCCCATAAATTAAATTTAGCATTTCAAATGCTTTTATAATCCTGGCTGATGGACTAGTACCATGACGCACCATATATGTGGCCTATATAGAGGACCTAGAAATACTGTTCAAGTGGTTTCCTTAAACAATTGAAACTGTTGAAGATTTTGCAACAGTTTTGACTTGTTTTTTTCGCTCTCTTTCCCTCTTCTTGTCTGGCAGGCGTAGATGCTTTTTTGTGATTCTATTGCTGTCTCCGGCATGAAGGGGCTTGCACCATCTTCAGGCTTTAACTTCTCTCTGCAGTGCTTAATGTGGCAGTACTTCTATTCGTAACTAAACTATGCTTCATTTACTGAGCACTGTTTCAAGGCTATTATAATACTGCAGAGTTATTTTTCATTGTACAACTATAGCCTTGATATGGTTATCTGTGGATTACCACAATTGACTTTTTGTGCTGGAAGAAATGCCAAAAGACCTGTAAATTATGGGTCAGACTTACTTGTAAGTCTAATGCTTAGCTATTCAATATTACAACAAATGTTTGTTCACCAAGTCATGTGGCTTGAGTGATTTGAGCCTAAAAGGGTTGGCATCTCTCCTATAATAAGAACTTCATTGACCCTTAAAAGTTGTTTATCCTATGTAATGGCTAGTGGTTGTAATGATTGGTTTCAAGAAAATACTGATTGAAATCGCATGATGTAGTATACACCCAAAATTTGTAAGTATGTTCTTCTATAAGTGCTTAATTTATGAAACCACTTGTGCTCAATTTTAAGAGTGTTTTAGAAAATGGTGTTGAAACTCTGTTTTCCTTTTACTCTGAGGTGTAACTCGTGTCTAATCCTGGTGTATTCTTTTACTGATCTCTGCTTGTCTTTAGTGTCCAGTGGTGTGTGTAATTGTCTCTTTCCTAACTTTTAATAAACTAGCTCAATGTCTAACTGACCTGCCTTTTGTCTCTATGGTCTGCTTTGCAGTGACTCCTTTTCTATGCATCCTGCAACTTAATTCTGGAACACCAGGGCTTGCCACATTTACAGATTTGTTGCATTAAAAAAACTTTAAAGAAATTCTAAAACGTTGACATTATAAATTGAGCACAAAACCATATGGAATAAAAACTATTAAAACGCTAGATTTGTGATCTTCCATCCCCAATTGAATAATGTTTGGATCAAATTAAGTTCCAGGAGCTCATAGTAACATAGAAATTTACAGCACCAGGTGCCATTCTATCCATTGTATCTATGCTACTTCAGCCTCTATTTATGAGTCATTCTTTTCTTAATCACACTTTCAACTCTTCCCTGTCTCTTAATGTTTTTATTTCTCCAGTGCTTATCCAGTCTCTTGAATTATTCTATTAATCAAGCCCAAATAGCCACATGTAGTAACTAATTCCACACCCTTGAACCCTATGAGTGGGGGAAAAAAAATCCTTCTAACCTATCTCCTTTTCAATTCCTCTCAAACTCGTATGCATCAATTTCAGTTCATCTTTCAAACAGAAATATAGTGCTTAATATGGCACACAAGTTCAAACAAGAGAATATTGCTGAAGAGTAGATTCATTCTCCAGACTGATTTATCTGCTAATATGAATGTTTGGCTTACTAGATATAACATAGCAGCATATTTGCTAATCCTTCTTGTTCGGATCCTGAAAATTGGTAGCTGTTTTGCCCACATTTCGAAGAATCCAAAATGTAAGCTTTGGAAAATTATATTTTGTAGGGTATTTGGTATGTTTATTCAGTAAATAGTGCATTTAATAATCATCCTTCTTTTTATACTTTATGCAAAGTGCAGATCCTTGGTAAACATCTCTTAAGGCTTGTTTTATGAACTCCCACTAAGAGCCAACCAAACATGATTTACCAGCAAAAGGATACAGTTTGGATCTATCAAAATACAGAACTTTAAATTCACATTGCTATAGAAATCTGGAATCGAACAGCAATAATAAAGGACATCAATTATTGGCCCTATTTAATGTTCTAAAACTTTAGTAGTGGAAGAAACATTGAAATCTAATCTTATAACAGAATATAAATTTCAGTAAAGCATAGTTTATTTCAAGCAAGTGCTTAAGTATGTGCACTGCTCTAATCATGAGTCAGAAACATTTAAAAATGTTTACAAGTGTTTTAAAATAATTTACTCAAATAATGTAAGTAAATGCAATTATCAGATACTGATGCTAACTCCTTCCTATTGAGCAAATATCAGTAGTGGTAGAATTTATTGATTATTGTTGTTGGCCATGTGGAGGAGGAGGTAAAATTATTTGGGGTCTTTGACCATATTTTAGCCTTATCGCCCAGTTTTTTTTCAACTAAGTAATATTCACAACCAAGAGAATTTTTCACAATAATATAGCAACTTATATTTCTGCAATTGTGTTGTATGATCATCATGTTAAGGATGTTGCAAAAAGCAAATGATCAGTTTCAGCAAGTGTTCAGTTTCAAATATTTTTAATTAAAAAAACCTGCATTGTCGGAACTTCAGGTTACTTTGTTTATTTCAACTAGAATTTAAATGTACATAACTTGTACGTCACAGCAAAAAGTGATGTGAATGTTTCACAAATCCTTCTGTCTTATAAATCCATTTGAAATGCAATCCAGAGTATTGCATGATAAACCAAATTTTGCAGAAAAATAGATGGCACGTGTCAAGGTAATGCTTTTTCTTACTGTTACAAGGCATGCTTGTACAATTGTGTAATAGGATGCAGAAATATTATCATTTTATATTCAATGTGTTAAATAATCAGGTTGATGTATAAAATTAAGGATGTTTCTACTCCAGTCTATGTGGGAAGGGGAAGATGCTTAAACAATAGGAGTTTCGATCACGTATTACAATTCATTACTGACTGGCTCGTCTCATCTTGTTGGGGGAACAGAGAATGTAAGGGGATGGCAATATTACTGAGCAGCTTTATATACAGTCTTAAGTTATTACTTTTAAAACAACTGATTTTGATTTAATATTATCACTCGTATTAAAAATAATAATTTTGAGAGATTTGTGTGCAATGTGATTTTTATTATTTGCGAGTGAAAGTTTTTTTCGTTATAGTTTTATATATCTCTTTACGTCTTGTTGCAGAATGGAAGGTGATTGGATTCATACTGAACAATTGAGAAGAAGGGGTGGGGTGGGGAGGTGTTTTAAATGAAATATTGATGATATGAGTTCAATATATTTTTGTACAAAATGATGGTCTCCTGTTCAGGCAATACGATGTAGTCAACTTTGCTGATTGTAAGTTTGCTATTGGTGCAGGATGGAACAGGATCTCTGAAACGCAGTGGCTCTTTCAGCAAACTCCGTGCCTCCATCAGACGCAGCAGTGAAAAGCTGGTCCGCAAGCTGAAAGGTGGAAGTTCACGAGATAATGAGCCAAAAAATCCTGGGTAAATATCCATTTCCTGCTGGGCTGCCTGCAACCCAACTTTGTACTTGACTTTGTTTCTTCCAACTGGCTCTCTTGCTGTTAATGCAGTACAGGTCACTGTAAGACTCGGGTGTTAACCAAGTGTAACTGAGGAATGTAGTGAAATGAAGTTTGACTGCCATGACTTCATCTCATGGAAACAGGAGATTGGGCAATCATCATTTGAATAAAGAGTTCTTTTGTTAGGTTGGTTAGGTTTAATTCATTAAATGCCGATTAACCATTGAAGGCTTTTTTTGCATGAGTGGAATCCAATCCCACAATTTTAAACCGTGGCTTGGTATATTTTGCAGTGACTTTTTGATTGTCTGAAAACAGTCATAAAAGATTCACACTTGTGATCACTTGAATCTGTTTCAAGAGAGAAATTGTGGCGATTACACTGAACAGCTTTGTGGGTGTGCATTTTCAAGTTGCCTCAACTATCTTGGCGTTGTACTTGCTGAATGTATGTTTGAATTGTTTCCAGTCATACCTTTTGTTGAACTGGGTGGGGTGGGAAGGACGAGCAAGAAAGAGGATAAAAATAATGGTTGCTTATTCACCCATTTATCTGTTCTTCCAACGGAATGAGGATGTGCAAGGTGGTTAAGACCTAAGGCAAGTACTGTAGAGCCATAAACTGTAAGGGGACATGGGGGAACCATGTTGTTTTTGTTACTGCTCCTTCAAAAAACATGAATTTTTTCAACTGTGTATAACCTCTATCAAGAATTGTGATGAATGGATATTCATAAAGTGTTAAATTGGAATCTCCTTATTTAGTGAAATTTCAGAACATATAGAGAGTATGTATTCATGATGCTACACTGTAGATGCCAGGATTTATACTCCCATCTGAAAAATGTACCCATTTATTTTATTGCCCTTGGGTAAATTACATGTTATTCTCAAACTGGTGTGTTGAATCATACAGACTGGCCCATTCTTTAACTAGCCTATACTTATGAAAGGCCAATTTTAGTAGAGCAATACATTATCCCAACCATCAAGCCTTCTATTAAGAGTGTTGGGTAAAAATGGAAAAATAAACTTTTAGAGACGTAAATGTGAATATTGAGTTTCACTGCGAGTTAGTGCACTGTTAGCTGATCAGTTTGCACTGTAAGGAATGCAAGGATTTATAAATACTACAAATGCCTCAGTCTTTTTGCTGATGGGGAGGAATAAAAGTTCTTTTGAGAGTCAGTTTCTTTTTCTGCACCGCCTTGATTTTTTTCTGGCTGGTATATTAGTTTCCTGATTTTTGTGCTCATTTTAGAACAAACAGATTTTTTTAAATAGATTTATATATGTACAAGTCTATTCTGGAAATAATTGCACTTCTAAATTCCTGCCTCTCTTGTTCATTGCCCTCAGCTCCCATTGTGCTTGAGCCTGGCTCCGTTGGTAGCACTCTTGCCTCTGAGTCAGAAGGTTTTGGGTTCAAACCCACGTCAGGACTCGTATGGTCTACGCCAATAATTATCAAACATTGTGTTCGGCTCCCTCCCTTTGCAGCTTAATGTCTGGATAAGACAAGAAGAAATCTTACCCAGTAACCTGTTCTCGCCCTTTCCAGTTTGAAACCTCCTTGTCCCGGCTGAAACGCCAACAATGATAATAATGATAAAAATCCTTGTATTTGATATAGCTCCCTATCACATCTTCAAGACCTCCCAAAGCGCTTCACAGAATATACTGTAAAATAATAATAATAATAATCTTTGCATTTGATATAGCGCTTTTCACGTCTTCGAGACGTCCCAAAGCGCTCACAGAATATACTGTAAAGTGAATTGACTGTATATTTGTGGGCGAAAATAAAAAGTGCTGTGCGATAATTCAAGCTACAGTCAAGCATAACAAAGTGAACAAAGGGAGGGCTGTTCAAATCCTATTTCTAATCTTTTGTTTAAATGTTTTGTTTAGCAGACATCAATCTTTTGCCTCAAGATCACATATTAATAGTCAAATGTGATTATTTTGGAAAGAAATTCAACAGATAAAAGTAGATTGAAAGAATGGTTTGGTAGGGAAATCGTGTGATTCTGAGAGCTGCTTGTTTTTAGATCATCAGTGAGAACTCGTTATTGAATCATGGAAGTGAATCATGACAATGGAATCCAGAAACATGGGCGGGATTGACTCAACACTGGGATGTTTCTATTGTGTGTTTCAGTAACCATAGAAAGAATAATTCTGTAGAACAAAAACTCACTCTAAAATAGCTTAACTTTTAAAAATATATATTTTATTTTCACGAGGGACTGAAAATTACTTAATGGTTTGTTTTATTATTTGATTTTGAACATTATACAATATAATGCAGGCATGCTTGTGTAGAAATGGAATAGTTGCAATGTGATTTTCATTCTGGAGTAAAACAAAGAGCTTTATATCTTGAGTATTGTACTTGCATCAGACACACACTCTTTGAGAACCTTAAAGAATGTTAATTAATTTGTGTGTGGTCTAGGATTTTCTTTTAACAAGTTTCAGTTTCCCGGCAGACTATCAATCAAACTCGCTTGACTCAGATGCGTGAGTTTCATCGGTTTTCTGTGTGCTCCTAGGTGATGGAACGCTATGCAGAACCAAACTGGGAAGCCAGAGGAGAAAACAAAGGGCAAAACTGACTTTGTTTGAATTGTATCTGCTATTAGCTGGAGCTAGGCCATGGATTAGGACTAGAAATGATTTATGGTGCTGATTATAATGCTCAGGGAACACCTCAAATATGTTAGAACAAGTTATGCTTTGTTCCTTCATCTGAAGATTTTAGTAAAAAGCATTTTACTGGTTTTAAAATGTCCTTTTCTTAATAAACCTGTTTTGATAGAGTTTGGAAACCCAGTCTGAGGCACATATGAGCGTTACTGAGGAAGAATCCTTTGAATCCAGGCTGTCTCGAGGACAATCAGGATTACACTAACTATCTTTGAGTTCAGTCCAGTAAAATATAGGTGAGAGAGCACTGAAGATGGATGCTAGTCTACTAGTCCATGTGTAAGCTTGGTTAGAGATTCTCAGCATTTTACATGGACTTAAAAGTGAGGTGACATCTGCCCGAGAACCATTTCTATTCTAACACTCCTGATCTTTTTGGCTTGAATGTTTTGTTGTTTCCGTGTTCTTTTATAATTTGTGTCATTAATACTATCTGTCAAATATGTTCAGACCTCAGTGTCCAAAGAGAAAATATAAAATGGGGAGGAAGATCTGTGGTTCAATCAGATGAGTAAATTAATCCCAAACACCGAAAATGTTGAGTGTTACTAGATTAAATATTAACTGTTTTACAAAATCTTCTAATGGTGACTAAGCATAACTGTTTTATTCCACGTTGTTGAAAATATTGTTAGAGGTACTTTAATTCAGCATTTTCAAAAACCTGTTAGAAAATAAATAATAATCCTTGCATTTTGATATAGCGCCTTATCATGTCTTTGAGACATCTCAACGTGCTTCACACAATATACTGTAAAGTGAATTGACTGTATATTTTGTGGGCGAAACGTGGCAGCCAATTGTGCACAGCAGCGTCCCACAAATAAGGAATTATTTCCCCTGTAAAGTGAACCTCCAATCGACTAACAACTGGGTTCTTACTTACTGCTAGATAAAACATGTGAAGTAAGGAAACTTGCCCAACATTTTGCCAATAACAAATGTCTGGATTTCTCATCATGATAGGAATACAGAATTAATTTATACACAGACCCCAATAAATATATTCAATTCAGAAAAAATAAACAAATATCTTGTCACACTTAACTAAATACTGATATAATAGGTTGACAAAAAAACAAGTTACTGTAGCATTGGGCTCATAAATACTCAATAAGTGNTTTTTTCCCTTTGTGTTTGAAGAATAAAGTGTCATCTTCAGAAGTTAACAATCTGACAAGTTGTCAGTGGCTAGTTATTAGGTGAAGATAGAATACATTACTGTATTTTAAAATCTGATGTGCATCGTTTAGAACATTAGTTTGCAGTAACTCTATGATTGGTTTATCCTTGCATGTTGCTGTCCTGGTTGCAGCATGAAGCGTGCCAGCTCTTTGAATGTACTTAACACGAGTGGCCAGGCTACTGAAGAAACTTTTCAAGTAAGCCCTATGCATTATATACTAGTGACAGAAATTGGCATCAAATTCATTGCTTTCTCCAAATTTTCTAGTAAACGTCAGTGGCAGTGTCTGGGCTGAAGAATCTTATATACTTTACATTGCCTTTATTTGCTAGAAGGATTTTTAAAAAGACATCAGGAGTTACTTGTTTCTCATTGTCTTTGTTACTATTTAACTTCCTTTGTCTTCTCCTCCACACCCAATAAATCAGGTCTTATGTTTTAAATTAACATTGTACGTCACATTTAATTACAGATCTCTTCAGATAAGACACTGCTACTCCCACATACTTTTTCCTGTATTTCTGTCTTGTCTTTGTTAAACGTAAAGAATGCTGTGGTTTGTACAGAGTTCAGCATATATTCAAATTTGAAACACATGGCCAATAGTTCTAGAATTCAATAAGAATTTCTCCCTGACAAATATTTCAACCCTTTTCTCCATCCAGCACACACCAACAACAACCTTCACGTAGTAGAGAAACCAGTGAATTTGATGCCAATTTCTGTCAACCTATCTGAATTGACTTCAGCATTCTGTACTGTGTATTGTGTAACATTTAATCAAACTAATTTATCAAAATAACCTGAATGATATGCTTCTACTCTTTACTAATTGCTAGCTAACCTGTGGATGATAGTCGAAATATTGCGTTTTACTAATTTAAATATTTTCTTTGCTCACACGTACAGCTTAACCTGCAGGAGATAACAATTAAGATACTGGTACATGTTGTACTTCGTTCAGTGTTTTTCTAGATCTAAGGTTATTAACATATTACAGGTCCATGTAGCATGGTCACAACCTTGTCCAAAGCAACTTCTCAAAGCTTCTCTGCTATATTTCCCTCTTGTTGAAAGGGCAAATCTCACACTTTACTTTAATAGTGATCAAAAAAGGTATAATATAATTTCCTAATAAATGACAGATGTTTCTATATTTTCCTGAGAAAGATCAGGCAAAGCTGAGTCAGTGGTTTGCTCTCAATGGTAGAGAAGATGTGGTAACTCATGATTGATTGTTATTTTAATCAACTGTACATGATCATTTACTGGAATTAATTTCTTGTTGTGAAGGATACTAGTGGTAGCTGTTTGTGGGATAACAATGGATCTATGTAGCATCCTTATGAGAAAATCGTTGGAGGACAGAAATGCAGAGGGATTCCCCCCCCCAAATCATTTATTGGAAAGAGTTGTTTGAGGAAGTATCAGGTATTTTGTATTTATAAACACTGAAACATATATGCTCAGTTTCCTTTGGTAGCAGTGTCAATTGCATCAATTAGATGCATGCTGCACCACAGGTTAAATATGAGGATACGATAGTCTAACATTGATTTGAAGCAATGGCAGCAACACCTAGTAGGCGCTGTAGTGTAAACCCCTCCTTTTTGGGAGATTGCATTGATTTGACATCAAGGGCAAAATGCAACATATTTCAAAATCTTGGGGTAAAGTGTCAAAACTGAAATTTGAACTTGTCTTAAAAACCTTGGTTTATAATAAATGCAGGTGCCCTGCTGAAGATGATGGGGGTTGGGGCAGTGAATAGGGCTGATGAAGAGGCACATATGCACAAATTTCATTTAATCCTACCTCAATGGGCTTTGTGTGGATATTGGGGCTGATTACTCACATTTATCTAGAATACAAGATGGCGGAAGGTGTGTGAAAATGAGGCCCTTTAACCTCTTAAGAAATTTGGACTCCTATTGAAATTTAAATTTGTAGTGTGTTGAAAAGATCATTGAGAGTGCTTGCATGTGTATTGCCCAAACGTGTGAGGAAGTTACATTAATGCTGAAACATCTACTGATAAATTCAGTTTCCTTATCTATAAGTCTTAAGGCAGTTCCCAACACCACTGGTAATCTCAACTCACTCTTCTTAAACCACCAATGCTAGATGAGTGACAAGAGCAAATGAAGGATGCTGTTTTGCAATATTTGATTTCAAAGGGATCCTGATCATCAGGATTCTAAAAAAATACTATTTCTACATTAACTGCGTGAAATAAATCAGTCAAATTTACTGTTTAAATTTCTTTTCGGAGTGCTTGAAGTATGCAAAAATGCATTGTATTGCTGGATCTGCAAACTTGACTGAAAAAAAGAAAATTGCTAATGTGCTGATTGATATTCCACAGGTTATCTAGCAATTGTGGGGATCTGGTTACTTTGTCTATTGAGATAAATTGCTAAGTATTGTCAATATATAATCATACAAATTGAAGATTTTTTTTAGATCTCTTTCTCAAAACATTTGTGCTGCTATCAAATTAAGGTATTGATGTGGTTAGGTTCACAAGACATGTTAATTGGCAGATTAATGCCAATGTTTGTTGCAAACTAGAATTTAATAGGAGTGAAATGTAGACTAAGGAGGTGATGTGATCAAAATTCATCATTCAAAAGATTCTTTGCTGCTATTTTTACAGCCCTGATTTGGACAATAATATATTCTTGCAACACCAATTTGCTGGTTTCTAGATAGGTTCTTGTTTTATCTGTTTAACATTTTAGATTTTTTTAAAAAAATATTCAAAATTAGAAAATAGCAGCAGAAATCTTGATGTACTGTTATATTAATGGAATATCATTATTGCTAGCCATGTAGAACTACACTTGTTTTAAACTGCAGGACCTTCAAACAGCTTATTGTGAAGAAATTCTTGGTCTAGAAGACTTTAATCATCCAAATATATTGCCATGCAAATGTACCTCGTTGTGCAGCAAACTCCAGTTACTGAGTGCCATTAATTTTTTGCAGCATGAAACTATAGAATAAATCCATAAACATATTAGAATATTGTGTTTTGTTACAAATGCTTACTTATGTATCTTTTCTTGCCCTTTCGCAACACACAGCAACGAAATAATCGTCTGACAGAATCCAGAGGTTTGAGTGCCAGCCATACTGACCTGACACACCTCGGTTCACAAGTTGGCACCAAGTGTTCTCCAACGTGAAAAGATTGAGAGACCTTTATGCCAGTTTCTTATCCCTTTTCAATAGGATTCTCGGCCAGTGAAAGTACAATAAACCTCAGCTATTGCATCAAAATACTTCAACTGTACTCTTCTGGGTTGTTCATCCTTTATATTATTTTATAGATAGAGGATGTGTTGCTACAGTATTGATAGTATTAGGAAAAAATCCATTTTGAAGAACAAAATAAAATTGTTCCAGCAGAGCTTGAGCTGGTTAAGATATGTGGGTAGACACTTGTAAAATCTTGTGGATTAGGTTGACTTGTACTGCTTCCTGTTAACGCTCATTTGTTTTAAAATAGTCTCGTGAGTTAATGTGACTTTAAACCACTTTTCATATGTGTACCCAATGAAGGTGACTACCTTTTAAGAACAATTGTGGTTTACTCAAGATTGCGAGGCCAAGTACCCGTAATTACATAATTTGGAATTTCAAGCATAAACATTAAGATTGTTATCAATAAGTTTAAGGAAATGTTACTTTGAGGTACTTGTACAACCTCTCTGATCCTTGGTTAACTATATACTTGCACTATATTTCCAGATTCAGATAGACAAAATATGCTGCTAATGTGTGTGGGGGTCACTTTTATAGTGCCTCAATCGTCTGACCCGACAACTTTACATGAAAGAACAAAGCATACCAAATGTGGTGTACTGGTTAGATACAGATTGCAAGCTACTGGTCTAATGGTTGTAATACCAGTACTATGTGGACTATGTCTTTTTTTAAAGAAATATCCAAATATCCAGAATATATTTTAATTAGCAAAGTGTTCAATTGAATAGAACTGGACCCTATTTAGTTCATTTAAAATACTTTACTATTAAAAGAACAAAACATGACAGATATTTAATTGTATGCATTACAACTGTGTATAGGCATATAGATTCTGTGGAGACCAGTAAGACTGCAGGAAATTAGGAGCTGATAAGGTTACATGAATATATATTTTTTAATTTGGAAATTGAGGGCCTTACTTTAGTTAATTTAATCCATTGTTGCCTCATTATCTTGCACTTGTGTACATATATTGCATGTCTCTTGTGTAATCATGTCATGGTCTGTTTAGGCAGTACCTGGTGTACTAGTTTTGTATGGTTTTATTTGTTTAGTTTTGTACTTGTATATTAACAGAACTTGTATTTGCACATATTGAAAACCAGGAAAGAAAGTAACTAGGAATTGCAAGTAGACATTGAGATCTTGAGTTAGTGAAATAGAAGTGCAGGTGGAGATAGAATAGTAGCATAAGTTAATAGCAATGTAGATTCTCAACTACTGTACATTACAAGGTTTACATGTGGTGCTACAAGCACTTGAGTTTTGAACATTATGAAAAGATACACTGCAACTATTAAAGATGCCACAAATAGAATCCTCACTTAATTACTAGATTAGAAAACGTGTGCAAGGAAAATTAACAAAGTTTAATATTTCTGAAGTGAAATAAATCCAGTTATAGATGCACAAAATTACATTAAAAGTGCAGACACAAATATAATTATCAGATTTTCTAAGGTACAGCCTCTAATCTAGAAATTCGGTTTGAATCTGGGATTGTGTTGCAATCTTGAGGTCAGGCAATGACATTTAAAAGGCTTGAAGGCAGTTTCTTTTAATTATTAGATGAGACTGGGACAGAGATTTAAAGCAAGTAATGGATTTCAGCATCTGAACAGGGAAGCAATTTAATTTAGCTGTATTTGAATTCAGTTAACAAGCATTTAGTTGTGTAATTGCACTTTTATAAGGACACCTGTATAACTGTATTGCAGGGAATGTAGTAATACTATTCACCTGAAGCAGTGCAGGTGTTCACAGTGCTTACCAGTAAGCATGTGATCTAGTTCTGGTAAGGATATACTGTATTATCTTGATTTTTCTCAGAACTGAAGGCCTGTACATTATTAAGTGGTGTGTTGGTTATATTTGACTTGTTACAATATTTATGTTCAAAATCTATAAAACTTACATCTTTTGTGAAACTAGTAGTGAGAAATAAAAACAATTTTAAAAAGTCTTTTTATTGATTGTTGTATATTTACTGAAAAAGATTGCTCTTGTGCACCTCAAAATCAAGGCATTGGGACTCACAGGAGGTTCACTCTCCAAGAACCCTTTTTAGGCCAAGTTGAATTATTTCAAAATCTACCAGTCCCTTTATTTTCAACATTGTAACTCATTGCTAGATGATTGTTCATTTCCATTTAGTATTTTACTCCTGTAAACAATTTGGATAGTTACCAATGTCTTGTTATACTGCAAGGCAATTTGCAGCAATGCAAGGGTCAGCATGCCAAATCAGTATCACTTTGGAACTAACCAAGGAGGTTCCTTCACACCAATTTTATCATAACTTGTGGAACTGGTGGAAAATCACTGTGCAATCCTCATTTTAGTTTAAAAAGCACACGCGGCAGGGTACTGCTGTTGAAAGGTTCTGATGGAGAGCCAACCATACATTCAGCACTTTACTGACATAACAAATTCACTGATGACGACTCTCAAATCACCAAAATTCCATCAATCTCTTTATATGAAGGGATCTGCTTACCACGATCCACCAAACAGTTCCCAATCTTGGCCTTTTCAGAGAAAAGGTGACTAAACATTTGTGCTCACTCACATCCACACAACCTAATCAATGATGATTTTTTTTCAAATTAGGTATAAAAGCTAAATGGTTTATCCTCTACTATTTATAAAGTAAAAATAAAGTATGCTGTTGACCTCAGCTTGCATGTTTTTGTTAGTCTTGCCAGCCTGCTCACTAGCAACATCAAGGGTTTCAAACCTACAAGTAGGGCTGAGGAATGAATCTGTAATAATGGAGAAAGCAGAGGTAAGCAATGTAATAATAATAATAATCCTTGCATTTGATTTAGTGCTTTTCACATCTTTTAGACATCTCAAAGCGCTTAATAATAATAATAATAATCCTTGCATTTGATAAAGCGCTTTTCACGTCGGGAGGATGTCCAAAGCGCTTCACAGAACACACTGTAAAGTGAATTGACTGTATATTTGTAGGCGAACGCGGCAGCCAATTGCGCACAGCAATGTCCCACAAACAGTCGCAGATTGAAAATGACCAATTTAATTATTGTTTTGGGTTTTTGGAGGGATTATTAGGCGTGTGGAGTAAGGAAACTTGCCCAAGGTTTCGCCCTGACCTGCCTGGAATTGAACTCCGGTCTCTCGCTTGCAAAGCGAGTGCTCTAACCACTGAGCTACAGAATTCCACTTCATAGAATAGACTGATAATGAATTGACTATATTTGTAGGCAAAACGCGGCAGCCAATTACGTACAGTCGTGGATTGAAGTGACCAATTTATTTTTTTCTTGAGGGATTATTATCAGGCGAGTGAAGTAAGGAAACTTGCCCAAGGTTTCATCCTGCCGGGAATCGAACCCAGGTCTCTCGCTTGCGAGTGCTCTAACCACTGAGCTACGGGACTCCAATATTGCAGCTGGTTAGCAGTCAATAAAACTCCCAAATCACTGATTTTTTAAAATACGTTTTAACAAACTTGAATGGCTGACAGACTTCATAATATGCTCAGCTGGTGGAGCACAATTGAGTAAGGATCAGAAGGCTTTGGATTTAAATCCTGGTTGGATCATTTAGGTTTAATATGCTACAGGACACAATATACCGTAACCAAACCTGCTTTGATGGGGTTAGTGTGCTGCCTGCTGGTCAATATTATGAACAGGCACTCCTAAGGAAAAATGTGGAATACTTTTGGGCAGATTTTTTTAAAAAATTGCCTCTTGTAAAAGCTTCACAAATCACATTTTGTATAAGAGAACCTGAAATATGATTATGTTAACACTGCTATAGAAATTATCAAACTTAGAGTAGCCTGACAAGCCTAGCAAACAGTCAAATGGTCAACAGAATAGCTTACAAATTGTAGATAAAATATTTAGCCTTTATACTTCATTTTCAAAAAATCAATCGTTGACCCCAGCCTTAGCTCCCTCTATGTTCTAGTTTCTCCAGTACTGTACTTGAAATACACATATATAGACATCAGTGCAACTAATTTACTGTGACAGAATATAAATATTTCACTGAGGCTGTTTCTTCACAGTTCATGAAATCAATATTATAACAGCATAAAATATTTACATTGCCTCAATCTATTATTCGTTGGTCCTCATTTGGAGGATCAGGTTTAAGAGAAATTGAAACACACAAAGACAATGTCCAAGTGACCAGCAAATACTTTGATTCATCATATAGAGAAAATGCAATATGAAACAATAAATATTCAGGATTAAGCAAAAAAGGAAACATTGTACAAATGTACATTTTATTGATTCTTTGGACAACATTCCTATATAGACACTATTATGGACTTTCTTCTTTTTCACCTGATAGATTGTGGCTATAGATCTAAAGCAGTGTTGAAAATCTAAAATGGTGCACAATATTCATTTAAAAAATTGTTTACAAAAATACTTGCTAAATACGTTTAGCTATCCTTCCTACTCAAAATTCCAACCATACGTGCAAAAAGATTGTTTCTCCATCCAAACACAAGATGGAAGCACTTTCCTTATGAATGAACTTTAATTTCCTAAAACTCTACAGCACTGAATGTATAATTTTTGAATATATTGAAAAAAAACACAATTTTGCAGAAAGTTTTATTTGACCCTGAAGCTCACCTGTTGATTTTCAGAATTCAACTTCCATGGCTACTTGTCTATTTAGCTTCGAGCCCCAAATAAATCTTATCAATCTCATCCCGCTCAGGGGTAAACAGATTGGCATTCACAGTGAGCATGGAGCAACTGGAAGTCTGTGGTTGGGACTGATCCAATCGCCTGGCTGGATCTTAATTTAATTAAGAACTTAATTGCCTTTAAATAATCTTAATTTTAATTGTCTTCCCTAAACAACGCAAAAACAAGTGTAATTAAACATCAGGGTTGATTATAAATATACAGAATATACAAAATGAGTGTGTTATAGGGAAGAACAGTGAAAATTTGTAATGTTTTGGCAAAAGTTTACAGGAGATTTATGTTTTGGCAAAAGTTTACAGGAGATTTGTTTGAAATCTGCGCACTATTCCCACCCCAACCCCCAAAAAGCTTCCAAAATCCCAAGATGCAGTCGCTCGCTGGAGTAGTTCCACAGGCACTAGTATGTACCTCCCCAAGAGGCTACCATTAATCATGTGTAAACATCGATAGTGTTTACAGAATAAACACGGGGGGTGGAAAAGAGAGAAAAATCATACAAGATAGATATTATCCTCATCCAAAGTTGTTGTTGCACAGTTTCCAGTAAGTGTTACTAGACAGTGATTATGAGTGGAGACCACGGTTGTTGGGAGTGAAAATTCTGGCTTAGTTTAACCCTGCGAAGGGGAAATAAGGCCAAACTGCTGCCTAGGCTGCGATCAGGAATCAAACATGCAGTCTTTTTGTCAATATAGCTTTTTTTGTTGTCAATATTGGCATTTTTTAATCTAGTATGTCATCAAGAGAACTGCTATTTTATTTGTGATTGATGTTTTGACTTGAGAGAATAAGAATTGGAGTAATATATGGACCAAAACAATTGTTTTCAACTGTCTGGTATTTTTCTTAGTTATGAACATACTTACATAACATACATTGGTAAATGTTTATGACCATTTTTGTGGCAAACCATAATGGGGCAGGTGAGACCAGCCAGCGTTTAGAGAAACAGGAAGAATCACAGAAGTAAAATCTTTCAAATATAACAAAAGTATAAATGATCACCATTTTAGGTATAAAGCAAAATAAAATTCAGAGAAAATTAATTATTGGCCTGCTGAAAATGTGGAGAAAAAAGCAATAAAAAATGTACCATCCTCCTCATATCACACACATACACACAATCCACACAGGCTTTTCAGTGGTTATAACACATCTTCCTTCAATCCTCTTACACCTTCTTTACTGACTACATAGTAGCAGAATAATTGAGGCAGATGAGGTGCAAATAATATTTCCATTGTTCGTAAAATTGCCCCAGAACACGAGGCAGGAACTGAGATGCCAGGGAACTTATCCTCCACGTGCAAGTGAGTTCGACTAACCATCAGCCTCATCAAGAGTTGATTGGACCAGGTCAAACCCAGAGATGGCATCACCTTTCTATTTAATAAGCTGTAAATCAATAACAGGGCTTTCAGATACCAATACTACAATATGAATAGAAGAGATTCATATTGTAGAATACAGTTCTTCCTTAAAGTAATCCATACAACATTCTGCACAGCCATCCCCTCGCCACAACAATGCATATCTTCCTACTCTATCTCATAGGATGTTAGGAGCACAAAAGGTCCCAACACTATTTATTAGAAAAATTATCAACTCAAAACCACTTCTGTTCTACACATTATTGATAAACAACATTTAAAGCATAAATTCTTGTATGTAAATATTAATTCAGATCGCTTTACAAATGATTAGTTTTAAGCGCTATTCTAATGGTTATTACACAATTAACAATATAATTGGGGTAAATACATCAGCTAAAAGGCCTGAAATGGGTACTTGCTCAGACGAGAGAAAAAAATAATTCACTTCTCCTAGACAGAATGCAAAGACAGAAGGCATTTATCAAAACAAATTACACTTACCCCAAATTGCTCTGAGGCAAAGCAGAGTCACTTAATGCATCTGTTACCTGCAACAGATGAACACCCAGTATTTATCTTACAGTGTAGAACATTGCTCTGAAATTAACCTTCACTAATTTACATACAGTTTACATAGGTATTACAAACAGCAACCACAGTATTACACATTTATCTCTATCCATGAAAGGAAGTCCACATGGATTTGATTTACTATAGACTAAATTTCAACCCAAGTAATATGGACCTAGATTTAGCTATAGCTAAGCTTTTGTAATTGCAAATTTTTCACAGGATTCACATTCACACTACATCGTTCACTTGCATAGATGCAGATTTCTAACCATCAGTCAAAACATTCAGCCGCAAAACATAAAATTGTATCAAATCAGCCCCAGAACTTCACTGTAGTTCTAAACTACATCACAAAATTATATTAGGGCAATATCAGATACACAGCAGCATCCAGTAAATGCACCTCTAAGTGCTCAATAATATAATTCATAGAAATGTTCATACCTGATTGACACAGAGAATGGGAGTCCTGAATCTGGTGCTAAGATGGTGCAGTGTGGCTCCAAACTTTTGGAGACATTTGCCTTGACGATCGAATCACTTACTGCAAATTCACATCGGAATAAAGCTGCAATTGAATCGATCACCACCAGGTGCACCAAACCTCGTGAAAGTAATATCGGTAACTTTTTACTAATACAGTTATTCAAGGCGTCCTAGTGAACCAAAGAGACAAAACAATTCAAATATACAATACTCCACTTACTCAAAAAGTACTGGTCCACACTTACTATTTTCATGTATATTTAGCACAAAGTAGTTCAAATTGTGGACCGACATTATTACTATAATACATACACTATAAATAATTATATAGATACTATAATAGATATGTAATATATAAATGCAAGGGTTATTATTATATGCTAAATTATTTCTGTTATGATGAAAAGTTTACCATTTTGCTGTGCTACTGTATTCTTTGCACAAATTTCTCTTTAATATGAACTGATAATAGTACAGTTGAAGGGGACTTGCTGACTCACCACATCTGTAGCATGTTCAATAAAGATGTTATCACTAAACCTAATTTTCTTGATGATGTCAGCAGGGACATCAGATCTCAATGTGTGCTGATGGTCAATCAGCTGCTGCAAACGCTTGTTGGGGAAAATATCTTCTGTACAAATATACAGAGCTCCTAGAAAGATAAGAGTTGACAAGAAACAATTATGTGAACATACTATTTTAACAAAATATTCTTTGCACCCACACTCTCTATGCCTTCAACTGGATGGTCTGATAACATTGCTCTATTCCCGAGCCCTTAGCCCCATTGTCCTCCCAAGTGGAGCAGCTCACCAGTGAATTGTCTGCCACGGAATGACCTAAACGACAAATGCATTCCAGATACAACAGGTAGCATGTGAATCTGCAACCATATAAGTGAATAGATAATTACACTCCTATCATTCACAGGCTTTGAAAACACAAGCTTGGTATCACTTCAATCACTTCTTGACTTATCTGGTTTCCACTGCCACTTTCCCCAGGATAATTCTGAAATACTTTAAATCCTACACTCTGGATAGTTTTAAACAACAGGATTTCCCCCTGTACATTGTTCCACTAAATCAGGGCAAGATTCATTTTTTTTGTATTAATTTGAACCACTATTTACTCTGTTAAATCATAATCTAGTCCAGACATAAATACTGGATTTCTTAAATTGAATTTAAGCTGTTTTTCAAGTGTGTAATCAGTACAGTAAACCCTGAGCACGTTGTTCACATAAAATGCCTCTCCTTATCTTTTCCACATTAAATATTCATTTTATTATTTAAGATGTATGTCATGTCTCTTTAATCTTTCTTCCAGTGAGTATAGATTAAGTTCCCCTGTAATCTGACCAAGGTTCAATAATGGAACATTTCTGTAGGACTGTGACCTGAAAAAGTAAAGAGGAAGCCATATGTCTGGTTCAGTATTTTACCTGCCTCTTGTCCACCATAGCTGCAAGGGTACTGCACACACAGGCAGAGTTGCATGCAGATCTGGGTCTTTCCTGCTGAACTCTCACCAGCAATCTCTGTTATTCCCATATGTGGAATTCCACCTCCAAGTAGCAGGTCTAAGACTGGGCAACCCAGGCTAAGTCTTTGGTTCTGGGTTGGAAAAGGGCATTCCCCTTTATATATCTGGAGTACTGGGAAAAAGACAACATACAGTAAGAAGCTTGTGCCATTATCACAGTAGAAGTGTAAAATGGNAAAAAAATAATGCAGTATTTATAAGACATATAAATATTTGTTGGAATATTTCAGAGACTATCCTTTGAACTCACTCCTTGGGACGTCTTCCCAATGTGAAAGGAGCTATATAAATGCAAATGTCTATGTAAATTTGTGTATTCTTTGCAGCCATTGAAAATATCTCATTCCCACCGCATTTCATGAAGTTTATAAATCCTGGATACTTTAGACTTTTACAACGCTTTAAAATAAATTAAGCTTAAAAATAAATCATAAAGCTCTTCAATCCTCAATGTCTCAGTTTGCACTCTTATTTCCCACTCACCTGTTACCACTGGATTTGTCTTTACTGCTGCTGCAACAGTTTTATGCAAATGCTGCACGTCAGTGAGCGATAATTTTGTGAGTCTCTGTAGATCTGGTCCTGAAAGACTCAAAATTTCCTTGATTGATTGGATATTTGCTAGGATAAAAGGAAACTCTTTTGAAAATATTCCCGACACTGGACACATGACAGAGAGAGAAGGAAACTATCCCTTGATGGCGAGCTGCTGGTGACCCCTGTGCTCGGCAATGGAATGTCGGAATTGAGTCAACCCTGTGTGACGGTCTCGATTCCGGACTCACAGAGTTTTGTAATAAATGTGCATTGTGAAATTCAGTAAAATTGTCAAATAATGCTTCTGGTCTGCTCCACACCCCCCCGCCCCAACCGCCCTACCATCGGTGGTCGGGCCTTCGGCCTCTCAGCCCCGAGGCTCTGGAACTCCATCCCCCAGTGCCTTCGCCGCCTCCTCCCTTTCCTCCTTCAAGGCCGGTCTCAAGACCTTTCTCTTTGACCGAGCCTTCAGCTCCCCTCTCGACTCTCTCCCCCCTCCTCGCTCCCTCCCCTCACCCTGACCATTTCCCCCCCAAAGCTCGGGTCCCGACGCAACTGTCCAGCGCCTCGGGACGTCCTCCCGACGCGAATGGGCGCTCTGCGAACGAACTCTTGTTGTTGTTGTTCTATGGACAGCGTAATTCCGGCGTCGAGGAGAGTCCGCTTCCCGATCGGGGTCCACAGTGCCCCGGGGCAGTGCCGATGACGGACCAGCCAACGCGGCTCACAGCCAGGACCCGGAAGGGCAGACGAGCCGCCGGGGGGCCGGGGGGACCCTCCCCACTCAGCTCCTGTTAACAATGCGAGTCCAAGGCCCCAACGGGGGATGCGGCGGGAGGGGGTACCGGCTGGAATGGCGGCGGGAGGGGGTACCGGCTGGAATGGCGGCGGGAGGGGGTACCGGCTGGAATGGCGGCGGGAGGGGGTATCAACTTGGGTTCAACCGGTTGGACTCCGGCAGTTAACCCCCAACACACACTCTGGGGGGGTTCCCAAGCCTCCGCTCTTTTCCAACCCCCAGCTGATATTTTCCAGATGTGTAGGGTCCAGGGGGGGGGGATGTTTTGGATACTGTTAATAATAATAATAATAATAATAATAATTGTTGTGATTGCTGTTGAACGGGGCGATGGGTTCCAGGTGGAGGTGGGTCCTTCCTCCCGTGACGTGACGTGACATCTCACTCACTCACCTCTCCTGACTGCAGCCACCACTTTAGGATTGAGGACTAACTGATCCCAGTCCATGGCGGACACGAGGGCTCAGCTCAGCCCATCAGCCGCCCCTCCGCCGCCTTCCTCCGGCCACGGGCCTCGCGACCAACGGTCACCGCGGCTCGAGCCAGCACTGGGCCGCCCACGTGACCGGTCACGCGGTCACTCCCCCCCACGCCCCACCTCCACCCGCGGGCGTTACCACTTTTCGATGTGGGGGGGGTTGGGGGAACTTTAAGAGAAATAAAAACTCAACCCGTTACCACGACCATCTTCCATCAGAACGCATTGCTCTACATCACTGTTACCTTCTTGCTGAGCTTTCCGAATAGTTACATCTATATGAGTCTTAATGAAGACTACACCTCCCACCTTCTCTAACTCCCCCACCCACACCCCCCCCCCGCCGCCGCCTGGTCGCGTCCAGATTGGCGCTGATTGGCTGCGCGGGTCCGGGCTGCGCGCGCGGGGGGGGGGGGGGGCGAGGCCTCTCACTCGGGCAATATGGCGTCCACGACCGAAGGGAAGAAACTAGTGCGCAGTCCGAGTGGGCTCCGCATGGTGCCCGAGAACGGCGCGTTCAGCAGCCCCTTCTCACTCAGCGAACCTCAGTGGGTTCCGGACAAGGAGGTAAAAAAAAAAAAAAAAAAATCGGGGGGGGGGGAACCTGGGTGTTTTGAGGGGAAAGGCGCCGACTGGTGAGCTGTAATGGGAGGGGTGGGGGGTGTTACAGCAAGGCCTCCCCCCCCCCCCCCCCCGCCCGCGAGGTAAAACTGTCATGTTCTCTCTACTCTCCAGATCTACTGTAGTTTGTAAGTTATTTTACCTTCCCGATGTGCAAGAAAAAAGGGAGAAACGCACCCCCCTCACACTCCCGCCCCCCCCTCACACTCCCGCCCCCCCCTCGCACTCCCGCCCCCCTCACTCCCCCCCCTCCACACTCCCACCTACCCCCCCCTCCACACTCCCACCTACCCCCCTCACACTCCCACCTACCCCCCTCCACACTCCCACCTACCCCCCCACACTCCCACCTACCCCCCTCCACACTCCCACCTACCCCCCTCCACACTCCCACCTACCCCCCCCACACTCCCACCTACCCCCCCCCCACACTCCCACCTACCCCCCCCCACACTCCCACCTACCCCCCCTCCACACTCCCACCTACCCCCCCTCCACACTCCCACCTACCCCCCCTCCACACTCCCACCTACCCCCCCCTCCACACTCCCACCTACCCCCCCTCCACACTCCCACCTACCCCCCCTCCACACTCCCACCTACCCCCCCCCCCACACTCCCACCTACCCCCCCCCCCACTCCACCTACCCCCCCACACTCCCACCTACCCCCCCCCTCCACACTCCCACCTACCCCCCCCCCACACTCCCACCTACCCCCCCCCACACTCCCACCTACCCCCCCCCCCCCCCCCCCCCCCCCACCTCCCCCCCCCCACACTCCCACCTACCCCCCCCCTCCACACTCCCACCTACCCCCCCCTCCACACTCCCACCTACCCCCCCCCCCCCCCCCCCACACTCCCACCTACCCCCCTCCACACTCCCACCTACCCCCCCCCTCCACACTCCCACCTACCCCCCCCCCCACACTCCCACCTACCCCCCCCACACTCCCACCTACCCCCCCCCACACTCCCACCTACCCCCCCCCACACTCCCACCTACCCCCCTCCACACTCCCACCTACCCCCCCTCCACACTCCCACCTACCCCCCCTCCACACTCCCACCTACCCCCCTCCACCCCCCCCCCTCCACACTCCCACCTACCCCCCCCCTCCACACTCCCACCTACCCCCCCCTCCACACTCCACCTACCCCCCCCCCCCCCCCCCCCCCCCACACTCCCACCTACCCCCCCTCCACACTCCCACCTACCCCCCCTCCACACTCCCACCTACCCCCCCCCACACTCCCACCTACCCCTCCACACTCCCACCTACCCCCACACTCCCACCTACCCCCCCCTCCACACTCCCACCTACCCCCCCCTCCACACTCCCACCTACCCCCCCCTCCACACTCCCACCTACCCCCCCTCCACACTCCCACCTACCCCCCCCTCCACACTCCCACCTACCCCCCCCTCCACACTCCCACCTACCCCCCCCTCCACACTCCCACCTACCCCCCCCTCCACACTCCCACCTACCCCCCCCCACACCCCCCTACCCCCCCTCCACACTCCCACCTACCCCCCCTCCACACTCCCACCTACCCCCCCTCCACACTCCCACCTACCCCCCCCTCCACACTCCCACCTACCCCCCCCTCCACACTCCCACCTCCCCCCCCCACACTCCCACCTACCCCCCCCCCCCCCCCCCCCCCCCCCCCACACTCCCACCTACCCCCCCCTCCACACTCCCACCTACCCCCCCTCCACACTCCCACCTACCCCCCCTCCACACTCCCACCTACCCCCCCTCCACACTCCCACCTACCCCCCCTCCACACTCCCACCTACCCCCCCCTCCACACTCCCACCTACCCCCCCCTCCACACTCCCACCTACCCCCCCTCCACACTCCCACCTACCCCCCTCCACACTCCCACCTACCCCCCCCTCCACACTCCCACCTACCCCCCCCTCCACACTCCCACCTACCCCACCCCCCCCCACACCGCAGAGTAAGAGAAGCTCAGAGCGAAGTTACTTGCAGTCAGTACAGTCGAGTCAGCCTTGTCTTTATCGCGTTGGCTGCTTTGACCTGTTATCTCACACAGTATCCTGTATTCAGTCGTACAATTAAAACCTCGCCCCGATCCAATCGGCGTTGGTTCTAAAGTATTATGGATCAGATCTTCGCACACAGCACTTTTTCAGGGTGGGGGGGGGAGGGGTATGTTTTTTATTTCGTTTCTGTTGTTATTCCTGTTATTAATTAAAAGAGTGATCGGACTATTGTGGTAGATGTGTTGGCTTTGTTTTGGAAGATGCACCGCCATTCACCGCCAGTTCACTCGGGTCTCGCACGTCACCAGCTGAAGCGGTCAAAATAAAAGGTTTTGGCCTAATTTCGTTTCTAAAATGTGCAGTAGTTGTTGGGGGAAGACTTTTGCATCCCAAGTCGGTTGGAAAAAAAAGTACGCTCGAGCATTTAGACCCCCAGGGTACATAGGAAATTGAGCTCTCCCATATTCTGATCCGACACTGTACTCGAATCCCAACTTGATCCATTCCTGTCTATTGTTTAATTGGTGTAAGAAATTAGTTTGCATTTGCGAACGTTAACCACAGCTTTGTGGCTTTACTGAGCGAGACCTGCCAATAGTCACAGTTGGTGGACCCTCGCACGCAGAGAACTGAGCAGAGTGGTCACAATTCTTATATAATAAACTCCCCAAAATGGGAGAGAGCGAAGAAAACTGTCATCCCATCAATTTGCGTCGTTAGGGGAGGGGAGTAGGAGGTGTGCTGGCTCATGTGGAGCATAAACACTGTCATAAATTAGTTGGGCCGAAAAGCCTGTTCTATATAATGCAACCTGCACTCGGTGCTCTTAGTTGTTTGTGTTGAACAACCTATTCTTGTGGTTTATGTTTATGTGATACAAAATGCCTCGATCCAGCAACTCACACCACATTTGGTTATTTTGACCTGTTTGTTACCAGACACTTGTCAGCGCTGCTGTCAGCTGAGTTGCAAGGGGAGGAAGAAGGGTGATGTTACAATAACCTGAAACTGTTCCTTAGTTTTGCTTTAAAATGTTATTGTTAATGAATTTGCGGCTGTAACATCTTCAATTTATTGTTGATAAAATGGCAGCTGTGTGCATTAATGTACATTGTTAGGCTGGCGCACAGAAAAGGTGGCTTAAGAGAATCACAAATGTTTGTGTGCTATCCACCAGCCTATCCATGAGTCCAATGACCCCATATTGAGTTGGGAAATATGTTTAACTTGGCTGTAAAAAAAAATGCAAACGCATATTGGAGGATATAGGGTATTGTTAGATTCACTGTTTCGGAGCAGAAAGTATGGTATATTGATAGTGAAAGATAATTACATAACAATGCTGTATATCAACAAATATTTAGCAGTGTTTTACAGACTCATTTTACAGTATGCAGTGGTAAGAGTGAAATCCCTCAAGAGCAAAATTTTAAAAAAATCCAGAGCAGATACTCATCATACTAATAATGGCATATTTAGTTAAACAAACACAACTAATTTAGGCCCAAGTATATTGTGGTTTAAGAGGTGCTTTATCTGTATACCCCATTTGGAGATGCATTGGATTCTTTAGGTGTAGATATCTGTTTTTAAAAAAAAGTGCTAATCTTCTAATTGTATCTCTTGCTGATGCAAATCTTAATTAATATTGGAGCATGGTTAGAAAGTTCAGCATTTTTCCCATAGTTATGACTTTAATGTTTTCTGAATTATTTTTTTGCGGGAGGGATGAATTGTATATCTAATTCAATTAATTTTAAATTACATAATGTTTGCTTCCATGAAGACTCATTTGATAAAACTGTTACTTAATATAAAAATAAGCACTACAGACCAGGAAGGTCTATGTTTGATCTCCACTCTGTTGAGTTAACTGATTTTCCTTTGGAAAATAATAGAGATGCAGGAGAGGGGGAATAGTTAGTCAGTGTTCCTGCTTTTGACTGCTGGTTATTGACTCCTGCTGGAATACTACTACTAATAATAAATAATAATCCTTCTATTTGGTATAGCACCTTTAACATTGGGAAGATATACTGTAAAGTGCTGTTATTGTGTAGATGAAACATGGTAGCTAATTAGCGCACAGGCATGAAAGTGCATATTCATGCATATCTTGTGGGTTTTAATCAGGCTCGATTCTTTTTTTCTCTCCCACCACTGACCAAATAGCCCCCTACACTCACAAATAACAAGTGAATATTACATTAGCAAAAATTGGCGTCAGTGTATAGCATGACACTATAGCATGACATAGCATGACACACAGGATGGCCTATAGATTGTGTGTGTAATGAAGAAGTAACATATCCAACCATTAGTATTTGCCCTGTAGCAGAGCAGGGGTAAAATCTCATGGCAATAGCAGTGGCTCCTCAGTTGTAATAAAAAAAATGCCAGCGAGATACTGAATCCATCTTTGATTCCAGCCTGATCCTGACTCCATTTGATTCAAATTATTATTGTGATAGCAGTAGAATGGTGTTGCGGGAGAGGGTTACAAAAGGTTGAATGTGTTTGTACTGAGGATGACTGAAAGTGTAATTGGCAAAAAGGACACAAGGTCATAAAAGTAACCTCTGTGCATAATAGAAGAAATAAAAGCGATTTTTCTTCTCACTAGAATGTAAAATTCTGCTGGTTTAAATTTTCATAATGTATGACCAGTTGTCATATCGACTGAATTTCTTTTTTCTAGTGCCCAAGATGTATGCAGTGTGAAGCAAAATTCGACTTTCTTAACAGAAAAGTAAGATTTATTTTGGGGTTTAGTATAATTGTGCCGTGTCAGCAATAAATTGGGATATGATACTTTCAAACTGTAGAGTTGTTGCCATTTTATATTGTCATTAGATCTGAAATTTGTATATTTGCTTACTTTTTTAAGTTTAGCTGTATGAATTCCAAGTTTTTTTTTCCCTTCACAACTATTTCTGAAATTGGCAGCATCACTGCCGGAGATGTGGAAAGTGCTTCTGTGATAAATGCTGCAGCAAAAAGGTCCCTCTTCCACGGATGTATTTCATAGATCCAGTGCGCCAATGTGCGGAATGTTCTTTGATCTCTCAGAAAGAGTCCGAATTCTTTGACAAACAGATCAAGGTGCTCATAAACGGTAAGACTTGGATTACTCTTGACTTGGTTAGTCCTGTTTATAATCGGAAGTACTGATATTATTTAATGGCAATATATTTATAAAAATGGAAATATAAATGCAAATAATGTCTTATTTGTGAAATAAGACATTAGAACAAGGTGAAACATTGGACAAATTTCCTTACTCCACATACCTCTATTTACCTAGAAGTAAATAGGAACCCGGTTGTTAGTTGATTGGCAGATTGGTTTTCTTTGGGTAATAATCCCTTCAAAATTGAAATAATAATAATAATTAGGTCACTCAATCCACGACTGTTTGTGGGACACTGCTGTGCGCAATTGGCTGCTGCGTTTCGCCCACAGAATATACAATCAATTCACTTTACAGTATATTATGTGAAGCGCTTTGAGACGTCTCGAAGACGTGATAAGGAGCTATATCAAATGCAGAGATTATTATTCTTACCTTATAAATAGATGCATTAGTACTTTGAGACCTGCCTTTGATGAACTATGGTGTTAAGGTTCAGACTTGATTCTGTCGAGGGTTTCATTTTTAAAATGTCCCAATTTTAAATACTGTAATTATAGTATAAAGTGTACACTAGCAAACAGAATTCAATAGAGGGCGTTGTAACCACATGCTTTCCCTAAACCGAAAAATATTGGCACCAAAAACTCAAATCAGATGTTAGGAATTTGAGCTTGTTTTGTATGTACAGTCATCATGGCCCAGTGAGTTTATGCAGTGAGCAGCTGAGCAGTATATATTGGGTAAATCTTCAGCTTAATCTCACGGGGCAGTAGTGGGGGTGTTATAATTAATCGGCTCAGGGCCCTGGGTTAGTGAGGTGAAAATGAACCAGTGTTTCTCTCTTCTTGACTGTTATCCGATGACCTCTGTCAGAATTAAGCACTCTTGTAAAGAATTGGTCTTGGTTGTGATCCAAGCTTCACTGTTGATCGGTCTGACAATGCTTATTATCAAGACTCAAACATGAAAAATGTAGGCGGCAACAACAACAACAAAATTACATTTGTAGAGCGCCTTTCACGTCGGGAGGACGTCCCAAAGCGTTGAATAGTCAGATGTTGGGGCCCGAGCATTGGGGAGGAGTGGTGTAGGGGTGAGGGAAGGCAGAGAGGTGGGAGGGAGTCCAAAGCACGGTCGAAGAGAAGAGTCTTGAGACAGGCCTTGAAGGATGCAAGGGAGGAAGCGAGGCGAAGGGACCGTGGGATGGAGTTCCAGAGTGTAGGGGCAGAGAGGCTGAAAGCCCGGCCACCGATGGTCGGGCGGGAGACATGGAGCAGGCCAGAGCCTGATGAGCGGAGGAAGCGGAGAGGTTGGTAGGGAGTCAGCAGATCAGAGAGGTCGGAGGGGCTCAGTACCCCAGTAAAAGGAAAAAAAATCAAAGCCCTCTTAAGAAGAGAGATTTCAGGCTGTAATTGCTCTGGGAGATTCACATTTTGCTTTTGCTGTTTTGCCACCTGATTTAATAACAACTTGCATTTAGAGCAGGATAGTGTGATTGTAGCGCTGATTGCCAACATTAATGCTGTCTTCTAATCATTGTCAGGTGCCCATTCACCTTTTGAGAATGAATTGTTACTTGGCAGTAGTGTTATTATCAATAAGTAAAGTCCTCAGAAAAGATTTGAGATAATAATGTAATTAAAATAGCATTTCTTTGGGCTAAGCAACTTCAATTTTAAAACCATCAATGATCAAACCTACCCCCCCCCAGAAATTAATCCCTAACCTGTTAAGCACTGTGAAATGTTGAATCTATGTGAAAGGAGCTATATAAGTGCAATATGTTGTAAAGCATAGTCTGTACTTATGAGTCTCGGACCTACTTGGAAATATTTGGATATTTATACCAAAATGTAAATCAATGGGAAAAAATGCTATTGATATAATTGGCATAATTTTTCATGCGTTCAAAATTTGAGTCCCAGACAGGAGGGTCTATTTTGGTTTATAAAGCCGAATGGTGGGTGGGTGGGGAATATAAAGGATACTTCCTCTGGTTTGCTGAGGTAAAATACTTTACGCTTCCAGAGCATCTTCTAGTCTGCTTGACCTTCCCTTCTGTTACGTGGTAACTTTGTTTGCCTTCCCAAAATCTTTAGGGGCTACATTCCTTGTTACCTCTGGTTCCTCAGAGAAAAGTGAAACAATGGTTTGCCGACTCTCAAACAACCACAGGTAAGTGCTGGCATTCTAGCATTAGAATATCAAGTTTGCAAAAAAAAAAACACTTTGAGGGAAACCTAGTTTGTACAACAGAAAGAGAGCTAATATAGAATCTTAATAAGATTGTACATACTGGACATCATGCAGCACTGTTACTTGAGTAAATAATGGAAATGGTTGAATGTCATAAGGATGAGGTCTTGACTCAGAATCCCTCTAAGGTAAGTTTATATAAAAAAAAATGAATATTTAAGTAAATGTATTTGTTCACAGTATAATGGTGTGGATGTTTGCCTTTAAAATAGTCACTGCACTTTGCAGAAATTCTTGTGAAGTGTTTTGAGACATCCTGCTCATATGAAACGTCCTGTATCAACTGGAAGGATTATTACTTATTATTATAATGTCAAGTTTTTCTGAAGATGCAGAACTAATAATTTATACTCCTTGGGTATAAATATATATGGATTGGTTGGTGGGATATTGACATAATTGCCATAACTGGGATTAAACTATTAGTTGCTCAATACTTCTAGGACAGTGTTTCTGAAACGCATCAATTCATATTGATGAAAGTAATGCTTTTATAATGTAGGAAGAAGTGCTTTATTGTAGGTAGGTTATATGGTACTACAGTTGCACTCCATTTTTTTCCTTTGTCACTGTCTAAATGAGTTTTCTCATATATTGGGGAAGGTCTCAGCAAAAAGATGCATTTAAAATGGCTGTGCTTGCAGTGATGGTGTGCTCACCAAGTTTCTCTTATTCCACAGATAGTCTTAATTTCTACAAATCAGTTTTTGGTAATTATTTTGAACACCTGAAAAAATTATGAAGAAAATGTGTTTGGATTCTTTTGCTTGAAATTTCTAACTGTTTACATTTGATAGGTATCTTTACCTGGATGGAGAAAGTCGCTTTGAAATTGAAGTTTCCCGAATTATAAATGTTCAGGTGCTAACTGAAGGTTTTACTCCTGGAGGTAAATTCATATTGCATAGATCCACGCAACTATTATTGATTGCAGAAGTAATCGATTATAGCAATGAACTGCTAAAAACAGGAAAATACTGCTTTAACATTGTTTTTTTTTGCCACCTGGACATATAGCAAAACAGTAAATGATGTAAAGCTTAATGTGTAAAAGTGCAAACTTGGATGGATATACATAGACCTCAGGTTCGAAGTATTGATTTTCCATTTAGGTGTATTGTAACCACAGGAGGTCATGGGTTCAAGTTCCAGTGCTGGCTGGTTTCTCGAACAGTATTTTTTTTTGCTACTTTAAATGTCACATTGAGGGAATATTTTTTCTAAAATCAAGGAGCACCATTGGTAACTGTATGGAGCACTTGACCATCCTAGCTATAGTATGCAAGTGAGATTTTTTAAAAAACAAGTTGAATTTGGATAGGTGGCTAATTAAAATTATAATATAGATACAGAATTGAGTTAGTTTTTCGTTCTGGCGCAGCTTATATTTTTAAGATAGAATGGCCTCAAACTAATCCTTCTTTTCAATGCCTGCTGCTGCCTATCGTCTTGGTGCAGAGAAAGATATTCACACTTATACGAGTCTACTGGAGAATCCATACATTACAGAAGGTCAGAAGTATGATTGTCATCTTAACCAACAAATAAGCCTGTGCTGAACTCCCTACATATGGCTGCAAGGACCTTGGCTTCTAATTTACTATGTACTAATTGATTTGCTAGTGAAGATTCCATTGGAAATACTACAACATCATAAATTACATAAATTGAATTTCTGCTGTATCATGTCAAATACAGTAGACACTTGTGAGGTAGTTCATTTTGTTTGATAATTTTGGTTTGTGACGCATAGTGAATTACAAGGCAAACTCCCTGAAATCCTAATAACTTTTGTCTGCTGACCTTATTCATCAATTGCTTGTTTTAAATTGCATGTGTTCTTTTATCACACAACAGTCAGAAATAGAGTTTCCGCTTTCAAAAACAGCACGCTGGGATCATGTATCTGCTTACTCGCTTTCTGTGGTTCAGTCCATCATCATCCAGTATATAGTGCTGTAAATATCTGATTATATGAAGCTTTTCTACCTCATCATTGAAACCAAATGCTAACTCCTGCTAACAAGACAAATATCCCAAATTTGTTTTGGTGTAATGATAAAGGATGTTGTTTTTGTTGGTAAATGTGTTGCATGCCATTCCTAGTTTGATGCTTTTTCTCTTCTGCTAGCCAATCCTAGGGTGCTAATGTATATAAGCAACCCCAGATGAGAGAGGAGAAAGGGGCTACTGGTGATTGCTTAGCAACCCCTGCTGGAAATGCGGGTCTGTGTGCATGATGAGTGAGGTCCATCAACATTCACCACCCAGGCTCACACATGAAGAATGAGCACTAGCAAGGAGTTAGCAGAGAACTGCTTGCCTGTGGGGTACACTATGAATCTCGCCCTTCAGGAGAGAAGGGATCAGGAAAGCTTTTTTTAAAATAAAAGTCTCCGAAGCATTCACAAAATGACCCATGATTGCTGCTGCATAGTTCCTGTATGGAGAAATTAACTACTTTACAATTATCTATCAGCCGTGCGTTTATTCAATGAGTTTAAAAATAATTGTAATGCTAACTGTTTGAAGCGTGCTTAGCATTCTCAAATCTAGTGACGTGGTTTTCTCTTTAAAGATGTCTGGCTAAACTAGCCTCTACTTTGGAACCTTGATCATTTGCCATAATCATTTCTGCATTCTGCCTGGCTCCACAACTTGTCTCCCAGCCATCACTATTCGTGGACAATAATACTTGTGAGGAAGGAAAGAAGGTTCCAATATGGCATATGTTGAATGTTCCATTGTGAAGTGGAATTTAAGATAAACCATTTAGGAGCATTGCTTCACGAAAAGAGATTCATAGATATGAACAGTAACAGTGAATTTTCAATGTACGTGTTCAGTAATATTTGATGGTTATAGTAGTAAAAAGCGAGTTTGTGGTTGTGGTTCTCCACATTGCTGGTAGGAGTGGAGGCCAAGAGTTTCTGCAAATTAAAGAGGACGAGTCTCATACAGTTTGGTAAGAGTGCTGTTTGCTGGAGATCCATGAATGACCTGGGGAGACATAGAGCAAGAGAAAAAATAGTGCATTTAAAAACAGTTCTACACGGTATATTACAAACAGGAAATACTGATATTTCACTGTTAACATTATCAACATTGCAATACAAGACCATTTGAATAACTATATTAATCAACTAAAACAGCCTTTTTGTTAAAATTGTTCAGTATAAATTTGAGAGGGAGTAGTCCATCATAGATTAGCAGTTTAAATAATAATTGTTTGTTTATATTTGAGCTGTTACTAAATTATACAGCCACGAGCCTTATCCCGTGTCTGTGGGTAAATGTACCAAATGAGTCAAACAGATCAGGAAGCTTCCAGATTCCATCCTCTGTGCTGTGTTGCATGATCTCTGCAAATGCAGCAGTCAGGACACTACGGTTGGCCCCAGCAATCCAGGTTAGGGATTGGGCTAGAATGTACTTTTGGGCAAGGTCCTGTGAGATTTCTGGAATGTTTAGACTCTTGCTCCTTCCCTCGGGAAAGGAATGTAAATATTAAGTGTGAGAAATTGACCTTCCAGATTTTTTTTAATAAACAGAAGCTAATTGTATCTATTATTGCAGGAAATAATACACGTGCCACTGGAATGCTGGTTCAATATAAAGCTGTGAGCTCCCAGGAATCCAAGCAGCTGAAGCTAACTGCAGCTGATGATTTCAACAGTAACAAGAAGATGTCTGTCAGTTGGTTAGCTGCTATGCATAAGGTAAGGTATGCAGATGTACCAGAGATTCTCACCAGGTGAAAGACTTTTACAAAGCCTTGGCAGGTGTTAAAATGCACTCAATTTTTGTGATCTAGTGTTGTGAATGCAAAGTTTACTTAGACGTAAGACACACTAAAGGAAAACACCTTTATTGCCATCATGCTATACATTTTCACGATTATAATCCTGATAAGCCTACTGATAAAATGGTATCCCCTATGGAGGAAAGTCAATGAGTAGGACATTTGTTGGAATGTCAAACACTTGATCAGGAGTAATGTGCTGTATATTAAAAAAAAATCATATGCATTCTTGAAATTTAATTAATTAATTGATTAATTTAAATTTAAATCTAGTGCAATTTTAAAACATCTTCATCTCAAATTATTTTTAGCTGTGAGAAATGCACCTGATATGAAGGACATGATATAAACTTAAATTATTTAAAATTTTCATGAAATGTACTGCCCTTGGCAAACAGGTGTGCATAAGCATCCTTATAGTCCTGTAGCTCAGTGGTTGAGCACTCGCTTTGCAAGCGAGAGACCTGAGTTCAATTCCAGGCAGAGGGCAAAACCTTGGGCAAGTTTCCTTACTCCACACAGAGCCTAATAATAATCCCTCCAAAACCAAAACAATAATAAATTGGTCATTTTCAATCCACGACTGTTTGTGGGACATTGCTGTGCGCAATTGGCTGCCGCGTTCGCCCACAAATATACAGTCAATTCACTTTACAGTGTGTTCTGTGAAGCGCTTTGGGATGTCCTCCCGACGTGAAAAGCGCTATATCAAATGCAAGGATTATTATTATTATTATTATTATATCCTTAGCCACGAAATTGCCCAAATCAATTTATATGTTTATCCCATGAATCCAGGCTAATCATCCACAGTAATAATATTTAATAATTACTCAGTAGATTACTGATTGTAGATCTAATTGTTCAAAGTACTAAATTAGAACAGTTAAGTAACCTCAACAGGTAGGTTTGTTTTCCTCATTTAAAACCAGCTGACCATGAGTGTTAACTGCATTCTGTTTTCAGGCTGCCAAACTTCTGTATGAATCAAGAGATCAATAACCCTTCCTGAGTTTTAATACATCAAGACAAAATGGATGCCATACTGCAAAGAAATGCAAACATTTTATCCAGTTTTGCTTGGTCTTTTTTCCTCACTCCTTTGAGACGGTGAGGTTTTCTTAGTGCTTTTTGTATTGAGTGATTTCTGAAAACACTTCTTGGGGAAAATGCAACAAATATTTCAGGAATATTTTTGGTGCATTGAAGTATTCACTAAAAGTATAGTGCAATATGTAGAATTTACACAATGATGTTTTAAATGTAAGGTTTCACATTTAAATTAAAATTTTGCTAAGTATTTTTGTTACTAATCAAACAACCTGCAGTTTAACCAAGACTGCTAAAAATGAGCTTTTTGTTACGAAAGACACGATTGATGTAGAATACTTTATTTTACTACATTATTGGTGTGAAGTCTAAAGTTATATTGAGGGAAATAGTAAAATTTGCATTAAACTTCAGAAGTTGACAGTTCAGCATTCTGCAAATAGCTTTTGGCAGAAACTGCTTGTTTTCATTTTTCAAAAAGAGTTAGTCACCATAAATTAATAATGGTTTCAGTTCCAATTGAGTGTCTTTGTCCCCTCCCTCCCAACGAGTGAAATTTCATCTTAACATGCCAAAGGAAATAACTACCTGTACAAAATAGATGCACTATTTAATCTCATTTCTGCTCATGTACTGCCACTTTGCAAAGTCTTCAAAAGGAGGATGCTTTATTTTTATTCTTGTAATTTATTTGGTAATCTGTTAAAAATGCTAGATATAAAATAAGTAGCATGCAAAAAAAAAAAACACTACTCACAAACCAAATATGTTTTGGAGCAAGGCAAAGTTTAAAACTAAATTGAGGGGGGAGAATTTTTTAAAAATAATTTAAATTGCTAAAAATACAGATGACCGACATTTGTTTTAGAATTTGAGAATTCCACTTACTTTTCATTGATCCAGAGGTATAGGGATTTTCCTGTGAGCTTTACGGTTAGCATTAAATGCTCCAGAAAATAAAGTAATGCATTTAATTATAATGGGGGAAACTTGATATGAAATGTTTTCTGGACCAAAAGAGCAATATAAAAGGCATTTTAGTATGAGACTTCTGGCTATGTATAAAAATTTTGATATTAATTACTGCTGTGTCAAGTTTGTGTTCACATTTTAATTGTGGACAATAGGTAGCTCAAATTGTTGTAAATATTTGAGCAGATCTTAACTTCCATAGTCAATAAACTTTTGCATTTCTGGTTTTGCATGTGTTTGTTTTAATTTATTAAATATTCTCTTGGAACCTCTAAGCCAAAAATTGAAATGAAACCACCTTTTGCAGTTTATTTGTTGAAACTTTTCAGGAATGGCTTACTTCAGAGAGGTGCACAGCAACAGAGTTGGTGGTGATTAAGATTTACTCTGGGACAAAGCACTTGCCTGGGTTTTATTCATCCCATTTCAACTTTTAAAACTTAACATGGCTAGTGCCTCCTGTAACAAGAGGCAGGTTTGCTACTTGAAACACAGGAGGCATTAATAATAAAGAAACTAATAAATAAACAATGTAGTTAAAAAGCAATGTTCTCAGGGGAATGGACTAAAGAGGTTTTTTTTAAAATGGGAGATTGAATAACAGCAATATCTTCGGTAAGTGGTTTACAACAATTTCTCAGTCACATCAACTCACATATAATGTATATAACTGTTTTCCACAGGGAACAGCCATTAAGTTTGAAGTTCAAATATTCATCCATAAAATAAGCACATAAGCTGTTTCTGCAGTGTTAAACAATGGAATTTAGTGTTTCTTATTTTCCAGTGACAGAAGGCAAACGAATGACATGAGGAAATATGGTGCCAGTGAGAAGCACACTATTAAAATTGTGGGATGTAGTTTCAATAGAAATTTTACCTGTTATTCCTTTGGACTCCCTGTGACGATGTGCCTGTGTTTCCATATTGAATTAGCCTATGGCTGGATGGATATAAATCACATCACAAATGTTAGAATTGTACCCATAAATCCCATCATGAGTGTAGTATTCAGTTGAGAGTGGCTGTTTGGGATGATGGCACTTGAGGAAATTTTCTCAACAAAGAACATTTCAACTAAGTCAGACAGAAATTCAAACATTCACCATCAAGGAGCAATAAACTGCAGGTTCAATTGTCCATGCTGTAGTGTTTTATTGTGCACGTTTACATAACACTTAATAAGCAGTGTATCACTATCAACTATGAAAAATTACAAGTCAGTCACTTATTCATACACAATATTGCCTGTCACTGTTAAGTCTTATACACCACAATATTTACACTCAATACTACAATGTTCAAGCAGTTAACAGAACTGCTTTATGAAAATTAAATTGAAATAGAAGCCAAAGGTTGATTCCAATTACAGTATATGTATAAATGTAGCATTTATTAGGATGTGTGACTAATTTTAATTTCAAAAACTGACTGGAAAAATGGATGAATGCTCTTTGATTAATACAGAAATATACTTGAATACATTAATTTCAGTGCTACAGTTTGCACCAAAAAAGACAACTAAAAATGTCAGACTTTTTTCTGCTCATTCGTCTGTCCCACCTTCAGTCACATACTCTTTACCATCTCAAAATGACTTATAGTAAGCTTCATCCTTCACATTAAAACCCTAGCTCATTCCCCAAAACTGCAACACAACCACTTGAAATTCATTTCATGTCAAAGCAAACATGCCAAGATTCTGAATTGTTTTATTGCAAATTAACCTTCATGCCTACATAATCTCAATTACCATTACAACTTCCTCTGAAACCAAAATAGTATTTGTCTTATGATTAATTCCACTAAATATGCAACATTTTCCATAATACTGACATCCTCTTTTTCAGTTAACTCCATTTTCTGTGTCTGAATTGTTCTTAGAATATCGCAATGTGACTTTGTTCAGAGCAAAAGCACCATAAAGTAAACTACTGCATATCTGTATCATAGCATATAAATATTTGTATTTGTCTCATCCCAGACAAAGATCTTGTACTCTATTGCATCTGCTCCCAGTTGTGACGAAGTCAAGGGTCCAAGCACAATAGTAAGCGTTCTAAGCCAGAGATCGTTGCCGGGGTTTTATTCTAGGATACAACTGTAAAAAAAAGTACAAGGGTGACATCTTTTTTCCATTATTTTCACATTTTAAATTGCTGGTTAGGCATTTTACAAACAGCTTAAATGTAGAAATCCTCCTCCAGTAAGTCTGATTTCACAAATAGGTCATACATACATACTAGTGGACTATGGCTAGTATTTTGCACAAGCCTCTTGTGTAACTGCAGATATCTCCTTTTAAGTCTAGGAACGTGATGGTTCAGCCCACAAATGGGCATTATTAACTATTGTCAACATGCACGAATATATGTCCCAACCACATGTATGACTTTGGTCTCTTTCTTCTGAAGGTACCTGATAGTTTTTCCCTGATTTCAGTCAAGATGCTAAGTTAAAGCTGAAAGTGTGAATGCATGATGATACTGGTGTAGACTTCAATTTCAGCAGTAGTACATTGGTAAACAGTACATCAATAATCCCTGCAGATTCAGACCACCTTACTCCAACTTGCTTCTCCTTCCAGGAATTGATACCTCAAAAAGTGTGTATAAAATCAGTATTTCTTGTTGACTTATATAACTTTTCAGGCAAAAGTAAGTCATTGCCCTATCTAACCAAACCACTTAACTTCCCACGAGACTCATTTGATGTATATTTAAATTCAAAACACTAAATTTGTTCAGTAGACAGGAAGTTGTCTAGGATCTTTATGAAACACTTTGAAGTTTCTTTTCCACCACCTGTGCTGGAAGTCTGGTTCACATGTCAATCAGCCTTTCATTAAAATAAAGGTCTCTTGAATTTCCTATTCTCTTCACTGTCATTAATTTATGTACATTTGTTAGTTTCTACCACTGATCAAGTGCTTTGAGACAGCCTCCCGGTGTGAAAGGCATTATATAAATTGCAATGATCACTATCAACTCCTGTTAAAATGTGGTATGGGTGTGCATGTTGAGCGAGGACAGAATTGGGTTACTTTGATGCTATATTCTCCATCAATTAGTCTGCTAACACTTAGTAACAAGGGTTAAAAATGAATTATATTCATTTGTGTGAGGTAACAGTTTCATAAAGATCCTAGACAACTTCATATCTATGGAGATGTACACCAGCAGAAGATAAAAAAGCCGAAGACGGGAGGGGACAGAATAAATAAAAGTTAAAATACAGATGCTTGTATTTACCCCCAACAGATTACGAGGAACATAGCCTTCCTTGTCATTCAAACGAGCCCACCACCAATCGGTTTCATGGTCATCTTTACGCCTCAGGATTGTCAGAGCGTCTCCTTCGTGGAACGATAACTCATCACCGTTGTTAGCTTCGTAGTCCCATAAAGCATAAACCATTCCTTTGTTCATGACGCCCATTTTCTCTTGTACTCCTATTGTGGATTGTGCAGTTCAGTTATTTGAGACATGGATAAATATTTATAAAAGATGTCCTATCTTTCTGCTCCAGATTGCGCTAATTTTTTTCCCTTCCAAAGTCCAAGTTCAAGCAAGGATACATTTAAAACTAATAGTGAGGCCTTCGCACAATATTTGTTAATAATACTAGTGGCTAGTTCTTTTCCTCAAAGGTGAAGATTCAAACTAGGGTACAGTTCAAAAGACATTGCTCATCCTCTTGAGAAGTAACCCTTCATTTGTGAGTCTGGACAGTGAAGGAAAACACAACCAATCACAGGAGTCATTCCATATCTACTCCCCTCCCATGGGATCGTGGATACAGGTATATTGAAGGACTAGACATACAAAGATTCCAGATTTAATTCCTGGCTTAGCTCCCAGGACAGCAGTCGGAGTGCTACTGTCAGTCAGCACCATGGATTGAAGAGTACCAGGGTTCTGCTCCTGATTGCTATTCTGTAACAACTCATGGGCAATCATTGCAGGGCTTTTGAACAGCTGAAGAGTGATTGAGAGTGAGGCCAATCAACCTTCCCACTGGAACACCAGCTAATTTAGTATACACCAGATGAAACCTTCAGACCACCTAACACAATATATGTTTCTGTAGATTGAAAACTCCTCCCTTGATGTATTCACAAGCACTGCTCTGATACTGGATACCTACTTCAAACTGGTAGCCTAGCAAAGTTGGATTAATAACTCAATTACATGTGCAAAGAATAGTATATTTAGGGCAAAATCCCACTAACATACCATTCTTTGCACATGTAATTCTACTAGGAGTTACAAAGGTTATCAGGTACATACCATAAAGGAACTGAGAGCACTGTACAAAACATTCTTCCATTTCCTCACACTTATCTGCTGCTGTTTCAACGTCACTGATTGTAGAAGCAAATACAGCAGCTCCAGATTCCACAAGCAGCTTGCAGAGGTGGACACTGTTGCAAGACGCAGCACAGTGGAGAGGTGTCCTTTAAAAAAATGCACGGTATGAATTAAATTCCAGCTCATTTCTAGTCTAAACACGCTCAAATATGGAAAACACGCAAACTTAGTGGAACCCGTCATTTGAATACAAAATCGGTTGCTAACGCGTAGAATTATCCTGCATTTTAATGATTAGATCTAAAGAAAAAAAAGCTCAATTTAAATCTTCATACTGCTTACCATCCGTCACTGTCAGCTGCATTTGCATTTACACCAAAATCAATAAGGAATTTCACAATATGATGGTGACCAGCGCATACTGCATTGTGTAAGGGTGTAATTCCTTCATCATTAGGTCTGCTGGGATCATCAACCTGGTCAAGACAACACTGTTTAGTACTGATTGTATCAAATAACAGTTAAAGCAGCGTACTCTAGCTTCTAGGAGTTTCAAATCCACTATCTGAGAAATTATTATGCAAAGATTAGGCAGAATGTATACCTCATAAATGATCCGCTGTACAAGATCAAATTCTCCTTCTAGAGATGCATCGAGAAGCAGAGCCAGAGGGTCAAACTTCACCCTCATCCCATGACCTGTTCGATCTGAATCTGGCTTTTTTAAATTTGTACGTTTAGCCTAAGAAAATAAAAGGCAATATGAGAAAAAAATATCTGAAGCATTTTCAGGGACCAAATACTCCCAGATCAGGTAATGGCCATTTGGCCCACAAAATGAACTTTCTCCACAGCTCACACATGATCACCTCATCATTGATTCCCCTTTGAATCACTAAATTCATGTCCCTACACTCTTATTCTAAATCCACTTTTAATCAAGCAACATAGTTAAGATAACCTTTAAAATGCCTCTCAATAAATGAGCATTCCTTTTTTTAAAAAAATCAGTGAGATTTCAATTTACTCACACCACCCACTTAGGCATCTGAGCTGCAACATCAAATAGTTTAGTGCAGGTTTGTTCTATGGAATTTCATCCTCAAGGATGTGGATTGGGACAGCCTATGCTCACAGAGGACCGTTACAGCCAGGCACAGAAGGAGACATGCATCTCTTCAGTTTGGTGTAGATCTGAAATCCCAGGTTTAAAACTGAAAAAGATTAGGTTCTAAGCCACTGGCCAACTTGCTGTAGGGAATGCAGATTAAGCCCACATAGATTGTATTGTTAATATTTCATTTATATTTACAGTCAGTGCAACGCACAACTTACAACAGGAAATGGTGGTGGTGGTACAGCAGGGGGAGAAACAACATCTTCCTCTTCTGGCGATCTAACCTCTGGTATAGGGCTTGGCAGCTGCTCAGTTTGAACCACAGAGGGGTTATTGTTATTGTCCTCTATTGTAGCAGAGATCTCATTGTTGTCTGTGTGAATCAACTCAGAGTGTGGAGGAGATGGTAATTGGTTGTCATTGGCATCTGATGATGGTTGAAGTTCAGGCTGAGCTGTTGGCCCAGACTGTAGAGAACCAGGTTCCACAAGGCTCATGTTACCATTATCAACATCAGCTAATGCACCTACATAGTCCTGTGGGTTACTGGGAAGATAAAATGGTGTATTATCCATTCCCCCAGCTAGTGTATTGAAACGTTGATACAGTAACTTCTGTATATTTGGACCACTTGGACCTTCTGGCTCAGTTATAGAACTGCGCTTCTTTAGAGGCCTTGGTGCATGGGCCAGTTTTTTCCTCAGAGCTTCAAGGTCAGCATCGCTTTGATAGCGCATTGGCGAGTGGACAATAGGCAAAAGTTTTGTGGGACTGAGAGGCCGTGGGATGTTTTCAACATTTGAGTTGTCCCTTGTGGGAGGCAAGCTTTCATGTTCTAGTTCTTTTTCACTGCTGGTTTGGTTTTCATCACTGGCCTGGGGGTGAGAACTTTGGGAAGGCTGATGAGAAAAAGGCAAAGGAGATGGGGAAGCAGAACCAGAACCAGATGGCAATACTGGCTTCCCATACACTGCAACAAAGAAGAAACCTCTTTAGTGACAATATCCATTACACATGCAACTATATCAGATTGGTACATTTCATCAAACCATAAAAAACTAAATTACTTACGTGCTTTAACAGTGTGTGATTTGTTTAGGGTATTATACACAGACTGCTGGTAGTTCTTTGGTGGAGTAGTTTGCTGAAGATACATTGAGTAAATTGAACTGGAATTCACGGTTTGAGGTCCTTTCCGTGGAGATTGAGGTCTTGACCCTCTATCTGTCAAGAATGGTCTTACAGCCACTGCTAGTGGTGGATCAGATCTGTTCTCTCCAGTTGGAAACAATGGCGAACCAGCAGGGTGATAAGTAGGACTTGGGGGCATCGAAATTCTTTGCTGAATTTGTTGTGAGGCACTAGGCTGAAATGTGTTTACAGATGGTGGAGGTTGGATGGGTCTCTGCCAGCTTCCTGAACTTATGTTAGAAACTGAACCCATACTCGGCCACGACTGAGTGGGGTCTTTCTTTCGTTCCAGCGAATTTGTAGATCCAGTGCCCATAAGTGAAGACATTGCATGAGGTCCATAAGACAGAGGCAACTGCTTTAGTACATTGGGCACAGGTGATGGTACTTTCCCAGTTTCAATGCCCTGAATCAAAGGAGACATAGTTAAAATTTGTGCATCGAGTTGGCAATCCCTAACCTACTTGTATGAAACCTAAGCATTTGTAATCATTGGCCATTTTTGAAGATATTAAAACACTGGAGAACAAAGATGAGACTTTTGGTGCAAACATATTTAAAAAGAAGCTGAATGAGTGAAAGGACATTTTAACTCAGTCTAAAAACTGTAAAGGTTAGTGACTTCATGTTCTGTAGGCGAACAATGCACAAAAGAAAACCTTTGATGTCATAGTTAATGCCGAGGCACTTCCATAATCACCTGGAACACTACTTCATGGAAAGACCAAACGTTCAGTCAATTGTACGCTTGTATTAGATGTCTTAGCATCCAAAGTCTCTAAACATTTAGTTTTGTATCATACAATTAAGATAACTTGAAGGCTTTTATCTGGAGCTAACTGTTCTTTAAAATTAGGTTGCCAAAATTAAATAGGAAAATAACCTTCTTAATAACTGAAGCATCAGAAAACACTATGAAGTACTGCCAAAACCTACCACCATCTTCTCATTGCTTGTAACAGCTGGGGAAGTGGATGTGGCCTGACTTGATCCACTTCCTGGCTTCAAAATCGTATCCATGCTGGATTCCTTCCACTCATTGTTGCCTGCTGGAGATGGTTTCCCTGTAGCATTACATCCCTGCCCGAGTGTTGGCCAATTTCCATCATTAGCTAAACAGGATACAAAACAAAATGAGTTGAACGCTTACACATTAAATTGATTTTAAAAATGACTTAATTACATTTGAAACTGCATTTTTTTTTAAATTGACACTGATCACAAATGGTTAGTAAAATCTGAAGCTGTCAAGCTTTCTTATTTGGTCACTGTGAGTGCAAGGAGAGGAAAAGAACAGAGGTAGGTTTGCGGAAAATGGCTTTACTATTGTTCAAAGTACAATCACTGCAGTCATTTTGAGGATACATAGGAAAATGATATCATTTCCTAATGCCACTAATGCAGATTACACATGCAAACAGTTGCGCTGAATAATAAATGTAATAGTTAATCTATTGAATTAATATTCAAACCCACGAACTCAATGACCCAAGAATTAGTTGAACTGCCAAGAGTCAAAGAAATGCTGGAAGATTTTTTAAAAAAAATTACAACACATTCAATTCACCATTTATTCTTCTGCCTTAAAAATCAATTAAAAAAATCAGTAGTAAATTGTATCGGTTATAGTGGTTGCAAATGTTTAAAGTTTTGTTGTACAAAATAACTATCAATCTTATTTTACAGGCACAACACAATTCTAACAATAATCCTTACATTTGATTTGACTGTATATCATTGAAACATCTCAAAGCGTTTCACAGGAACCCAGTGGAGGAAAAAGGACTGCAGGACAACAATAGTCACAAATCTTGTGCCTTTCCCAACTCTGCTTTAGAACAGTAAGTGCGGAAATTTGGGAACAAGTTATCCATTTAATCTTCTTTATGGCGAAAATAGTGCGTGACAGAAAGATGGCTAACGCTCAAGGGTAAAATTCAAAAGACGGACTTTAAAGTCAATGCTACTTTATCCTACAAAACAAACCATGAGAAATAAACAAAGATTTTCCAAAATGCAATACTAATCAGCTCAAATAATTCAGTTTCTACAATTGACTGTTTGAAAAATGAACACAAATTGGGTTGAAAGATTTTTTTTTAAAAAGAGACCGCAAAAATAAAATTGAAACATTTTAAAATCATAATTTTAGCTTTCCTCAAATTTGCTTTACTGTGGTAAAAGCAGATAGTCTGTCACAAAACCAAAGGTCATTCTGGACAAGCTTATTCAAGTCTTGGTACTGCACAAGTGTTTCAGTTCAATGATTCAGGAAAGTCCAGCACGCAAATCCACCTGTCTCAGTTGCAACAAATTTTACCATCTTGCTCTGAACGACTAGGTCTACACTTTGGACTGGGAAAAAACCTCAAGCTCATAGCTACAAAAAAAAACTTACTAGTGTGTAATTACACATTAGTTTAGGATTAGTCATAAATCAAAATCTTTATTGCCTGATTTGGTCTGTTCTACAGCAAAGACTTATTCTAAGAGATGGACACTTTTTTGTCAGATTGCAAACTCAATAAGTAAATTGAAGCCAAAGTCGAAAGTGTTTGTAGATCTAGATGAAAGTTACAATATGAAGACAATATTTTTTCAGAATGAAACATTGCTAGCTACACAATATGTAAATGTACAACACTGCTGTTCTTCCTTATCACCATAACCTCAGATTTCTTGCATTTGGGTCACAAGATGTAAAATGACAGTATTTCCTTTCTCCAAACAGTAATTTACCATTATTCCCTGGAGCGCCACCAAAGAGCTCTTAATGTAAATGGATATTTTGGGACAGAGATCAACTTCTGTAAACCTAGAAATGTTCTTTGTAATTTTCACAGGAACATTTCATACGACTTACAACTGCAATGATTTTACAGTACCATACCACTACATTTAATGACAAGATATTAGTCAAAGTGTTTCTGAATGATTGAGTTTGGGGGAATTAGAGTTGCAAAAGCTGTAGCATTTTATAAATCATATCCTCATGCAAAGGATTTATACACACACATCTGCGTTTGGTTAGATGCACCACAAACAATTTGTTTCAAAGCCCTCAAATGGTAAGTCAGCTTTTATTATGAATGCAACATTAGGAATTTGTAACACAACCAACTAGACGAGTTTACTCTTAAAAAGCAGGACTGTATGAAAACGTACAACTCAAGCATCTGCTTTCAGAGTTTTTAAAATGTAGGGAAGAGCCAAAGTCAAGACCCGCATCCAAATCAGATACCACCCAGGAACTGTTCAGCTTGCGCTCAAGAGTTTCATCTACATATGGAGGAATAGGAAAGGTAAATACAAAATCTCAACATTCAGAACTAAATAGTAAAAATCCATTTTGATTTTTCAAATAATAAATTAAAAAGATTAAATTTTTGCAAACAAAGGAATTAATGCAGTATGATGTTTTGACTACAAATTCATAAGAAATGTTTGGAGTAAAAATATTCTAATAATTTTAACATTTCTATATGCCACATCTAAGCCAAGCAGACGGGTTTTCTCAAATATGATTGAATGCTCTATAGCAGAATATTTCTTTAACAAGTTCAGAACTAGTTCCACAGACTCACAATGTAGTTTGTCAAGGATAGAGGTTGCCAAGTGGATCACACTATGATCTGGAGACTGCAGAGATGCAGTGGAAGAAGACAAAACAGGATCCACTATGATGTCTAAATCAGAAACTTTCCAAGTGCCTGGAGATTTTTTCCAACACCCATCTGTTTCGGTATGAGAAGCCAAGGTAAATCAAGTCACCCAGGCAACCAGTGAGAAAGTAAAAGAAAAGTACAAGGACACAAGAGAATAGAATGGTAATAAAATACATGTTAGATGCAATCTGTAATACTGATGTAAAGTTGGAAAATTCAATAAAATGACAAAAGAATATAAACTTTAGTATTTTAGAATCACAAAGCTTTGATAAGTCCCAGTTGTTCAGGTCTGAGATCATAAAATAAATAAGTACCAAAGTTCAGTTCAATATTTTCAACCTTTCCAGGTTAATGTTTACAGTAAAGTCACACCACTTGTTTGGTTAAAAAAACTTACCAGATTTTTTTCTAGTTGTTGATAGACTACCATTGCTCGTTACAGTTAAAGTCTGAGGCTTCACGAGCTCTGATGCTGATGAAAGGTTGCTTTCTGGTCGATTTATAGTAGAAACTTGGATGTAGGGTCCCACGGCTGCTACACGGCCTGAGGTATTAGAGACTGGTTGAGGTGATGGTGTCCCATTAATCCGATTCAACTGGAAGGAAAGTGGTCTATAGTTAATTCACACGAATATCAGACAAGTTTCAAAATAAATTCAATATTTAAAAACTATAATTAGTTATTAAGATTAATAGGCATACTGCTACCAAAATAACAACAGCTAAAATTATAAATATTATTTTACTACAGAGAAATCAACAAAATGTCTCCAGAAACACACTTATTGAATGTTTGAGCTGCTGCTTCATCTCTACAGAAGTGAATATACAGAATCAATTTTAAACACTAAAATAGAGTGAAAATCCATCGTGAATACAATTATCCTGTTGACATTCTCAGTAATTCCACCGTGTGGAATTATAATATCCTCTAGTTACAAGTTAAATTATTAACCTCCAGAACGGTGTGATTTTGCCCATGGATAAATATTTATATGGCTCAAACGCGCTAAAAACACAGAAATCAGCATCTTACAGGAATATTCTCTTTTTGACGTGCTTCTGTTTTCTTCTTCCACAGGCGTTCACGAAGTTCATGAATTCTTTTGTCCATCATAGTCACTTCCATGTTGCGTTTGTTAAGAAGATCCTTTTGCTGCTGAAGCTTAGCGTTTTGTTCCTGATTAAGCTTGTTGCGAATCTAAGGAGAAGAGACTATTTTCATTTATCATAAACACCACCAACAACACTTCATTTGTTAAGCTCCTTTCACGTCAGGACATATTGTGAAAACAATCACTAAAGTTCAACTTCCCTTAGCTGGATAGGGAAGGAGTGCAAAACTTCTTTAACATCACAATTCCACTTCACAGCCCATTTAAAGGATACATGATATGAAGATTATTCAACAGTAGCTTTTCACAAACAAGGTTTGGATGAAGAAAGTCCTTTGGCTCATTTGATCTCAGCTTACCAGAACACCAGTGCCATTATCTTCCCCATAACCATCCACCTGTGTTTTTTTTTAAAAAATGACCTGGTCTCAACAACAACATGGATTTATATAGCGCCCTCCACGCCGGACGGTGTCTCAGAACGCTTCACAGTAACGACTCCCGGGGCCGAGCCAGGGGGAGGAAGGTGACTAAAGGCGCGGTCAAAAAGAAAGGTCTTTAGCAGGGACCTGAAAATAGGAAGAGAGGGAGCGAGGCGAAAGGAGTGAGGAAGGGAATTCCAGAGCCTCGGGGCATAGTGGCTGAAGTCACGGCTGCCGAGGGTGGAGCGGAGGACTCGGGGGATGAGGAGGAGGCCAGACCCGGAGGAACGAAGACAACGGGTACTGTTTTGAGGAGAGGAGAGCAGAGGAGTGCAGGGATTTGAATACAAGGGTGAGGATCTTGAAGTCGATCCTCTATGGGATAGGCAGCCAGTGCAGTCTGCTAAGGACTGGGGTGATTGGGGAGCGAAGTTTGGTGCGGGTGAGAATGCGGGTGGCAGAGTTTTGAATGATCTGGATTTTATGGATGGGAGGGCGTCGACCAGGTGATTATCCCATGTAAAGTAATTTGCCTGGTGTCCGTCCCAAATTTGCCACTTAACTCTATGATTATTACCCACGGAAAAGCAATCCTCTAATCGGCTAGCAACCAGGTTCCTACTTACTGCTAAGTAAACAGAAGCGTGTGGAGTAAGGAAACTTGTCAAACATTTCGCCTTGCCTGGAAATTGAACCTGGGTCCTCTCGCTTGCAAGGCGAGTGCTCTAACCGCTACGCTACAGAACTCCACGCTACAGGCCTTTTACAATGAAAATACAATTAACCATTAAGTGATTTTCAAATCAGGATTTGAAAAGCATTTTCTCTGTTAAAAGTACAGTATACATTTAACATGAAAACGCTACTCATTCTAATGACAAATATGTAGCTTAAGGTTTACTTAATAGAAAAACAGCCAGACACAATTACATTGCTCTAAAACCCAATAAATATGGGTACTGACATTGAATTAAGTCAATTTCTAGACTTCACCTGCAGTTCTTGATATAGTTTCTTTAGTTCAACGGCAGCAGGTCCTGACACTTGTCCATTGTACGACTGCAGCCCATTTGTTTTTCCTTTCCTTATATCCTCCAGCTGCTGCGATAACTGATCAACTTTAAGTACAGCTGATTGTAACTCTCGCTGTTTCTCGTGAAACATAGCATTGATGTGCTCAATTTCGGCTGCTATTAGAATAAAAGAGAAAAACTAATCACCTGAAAGGAGCAAGTACAAAAAAGGAAACTGTTCAAGGAGAAATTCTAGAGTCAACATTTATTTTTCTCGATCTTTTGTAAACAAATAATAATAGCACAAATGTAAAATTGAAATAACTTGCCTTGTCTGGGAAACAATGAACTAAATAATTACAACTAATAAAACAGAATTCAATTAAGCCCCAGTATCAGAAACAAATACTCACAGAGATTGCCATTGATAATTTTGCTGTAGTCCACTTGTCCTCGCATGGCTCGGATCTTCTTCAGTTTTGCTTCTTGGCTCTCCATACGTTCTTTCAGTTTCTGTAGTTTGTCGCTTTCTGAAATAGACTGGTGCTGACGTCTCTCCTGTTGTTTCAGATAGCGTAAGCGCTGCTCCTTCGGGGAGTTAAAAGAGAGCACAAACAGAAAAGCAAAATGGCAATCACTGGTTTTGCTTTTGATATTTTTCCATTTAGTTAAGTCAATAATTGAACCTCAACTCTTAGCTCGAATTGGGTGGGGGTAACACACATTTTTACTTGTTCAACTCAGCTTAACAAGCCCCAAGATAGTGTTAAACAGTCTAAGGTGGGTGGGGGGGGGAAAGAGAGAGAGAATTTGTAAATTTCCAATCAAACTATGACATACATAATAACAATATAATGAACTAAATAATTAATCAGATCTAGTTTGTAGATCAGTTTGGCTACATGTTATTTCACCCTCTAATTCCCTTCCATTCCCTTGTGAAGTCAGTAACTGATGCATACATGCAGTGAAATCGTAGTTCTCCAGCTGCTTGCTAAAATATTCTTCATGTTTGAACCTGGGCAATGAATTATGGCAGATTAAACCAGGAGAGCATCACAGCTCACCCATCATCAGTATGCATGCAAATGCTGGCAGGCCTTTGTCTGAAACTTTAACTGTACTCAGAGCAACATTTTTGCGGCTCTACAATTCATCCTCTCTAGATGTCAATATCAACACAAGTAAAAGTAGGTGAAAACTTTGTTTTCTTTTCCTGTTTGTTCCTGTCTGTATTGAATATCCAAGCTGCAGCTTTTTCTTCTAATCTCCCTCAAAGCAGTGTTCAGCCTGTTTCAAAATGCCACCATCATCCAGATTTATCAGTTTCCCATAGAAAACAAGAAGTTCCTGTGTGGAAAACTGTGTACTCTGATAAGAAGTTCTGTACAAGTTGCTTAAAAAGTACAACTCCTCTAATTACAATCTTTACTTCCTCACCACTATGAATTTGTTGAAAAACATTAAGATTTTTTCAGAGCTAATAAGACTTCAAAAGACAGACATCAAAATGTATTTTTCGATGTTACATGCAATTCATCACAACGTTCAATGATTTAACATTCTCCTTTGGATGTTTCAGACATTTTATGCCAAGTAATGAACATTGTTAAACTAAGAACATTCTCCAATACATTGCAAACTAAAAAAATACACAAATAATTATTTGGTCACTCAATTCATGACTGTTTGTGGACCACTGCTGTGTGCAATTGGCTGTTGCGTTTCACCCACAAAATATTCAGTCAATCCATATTCAGTCATTCATGTCTCAAAGATGTGCTAAGGTGTTATATCAAATGCAAGGATTATTAAACTATAGATTATCAAAGAGTTGGAAAAAAGAGAAAAAGGTAAGCCTGTCAAAATTTAGATTCTGTACTAGTAGATTGATGTTGGGGGAGTGGGGGGGGCAGACAGTTTAAAGATATTTCCTTCAATAGCTTAACATGCTAAAGGAGGACATGCCTATATATTCTAAATATTCTAATATTCATTCAATCAGTTTATAATGCTCTAACACAAAATACGCAGTATTTTTTGTATACATTGAGAGATTCAATCTCCCATGCAACTCCTCATCCATTGTTAAAAGTAAGGCTAGCCATTTCCTGACTTGCTCCAAAACTACTAGGAAAGCTGATCACTGGAAGATCTCTAAGAGAAACCTATGACTCACCATCTTCTCTTCCTTCCTTTTCAGGAAGCACCTTGCTCTCCACCAGCGACCCTCTACCAGTATGACAGAATCCCATCACTATGCTTTAAAATATCCAAACCAGACATAGTTCCACATAAGTTTGCCACTTGCATATGGTATTTGTGGGAGGACAGAGAAACAAAATCACAAGGAACATCAGTTTAAGGAATTTTGCCAAACCACTCACTTCCTGCCAAAATTCAACAATAACATGCTGAACTCGTTTTTATCAATCTGTTGCAGCAACGGGAGTTTAATCTGCAAGCCAAAAACAAGGAAAACTCTATGGGCTTTGGGACACTGATTTGAGCCCGCTCATTCCTACACTACAAATTCAATATCTCAACCAGGCTCACAGGGAAGCAAAAAGAGGGAATATAATGTGAATTAACTTTAGCTGTTTTGAGGTATACCAAAGCAGTTTAATGCAGAATCATGAATGTGTCTGAACAGGTTGTACATCCATTCACTCAGATGGAAGAACAAAGAAAGACACATTAAAAAAAACTACTTTTTTTGCTAGAATACATGAAGCTACACTTAATACTTATTTTTTTCAAAAAAAAAAAGAAAATTTCCTACCTTGGCTACCAGCATTTGTTGCTGAGCTTCTATCTGATGTTGCTGTCTGGCTGCCATTTCTTGCAGCTCTGAAAGTGTCAGCTCCACTCGAGGATTCCCACTCTGTACAGAAAAGAAAGTTGGAATTATGTGGTCAGTGGATATTTTGCAAGATTTTCCATTTTAAATCCTAAAAAGTGGCATACGATTTTATCTATATTTCAAATGACAATAAAATCCACACTGGATTACCTAATCACCAAGTTAGAGCCAGATTTCTTGCTGACTGACTGGAGAATGATCACAACTCTCATTTCCTTCTTAAAGAGGAATGACTTACCAGTTAAATGGTTTGAGTTAAAATCAGGAACGAATCGTCACTCAATTATGAGCAGAGTGTACTGCCTTGAATCATCACTGAGTGGAATTAGTTTATCCCCCCACTCCCATTTATCCAAATAACTAAGCACTTTTAAATGGTTAGTTTATTTTAAAAAAACTCTAATGTTTACATTTGTAAGATTAAGAATCAATGTCCAATGAAACAAATCAAATTGTAATTAGTATACTCCTAATGCATTCTGAAATAACTGATGAGCGAAGACTGCTTTTCCACATCTTCACCACATCATGCGGTTCGGTTCTCAGCTCACTCTCCAATATTGCGTTGTTGAATAACTACATATATGTGTGTGTATATTATGAATACTATACAAATGCAAGTTGTTGCCGATGAAAAAATGTTGGTGGGACACAGCTGCGAGCAGTTGGCTGCTGCATTTTGCCCACAAAATGTGACACGAGTTATGTTCAGGCTTAAAGACTGAAATCTACCAAAAAAACTGCCTCTGATCCCGAAGTTGGGCTTTGTTGGGACTGATGCAGGAGGCAAAGGATAGAAAAGGCTAGAGTGAATAAGAGTGTGAGGAAGAGATGAAATGACAAACAACACCAGTCAGGATCAAAGGTCAGAACAAAGATATCCAGCAAAGCAGCAAGCCAATCTGTACCTAGTCTCAGCTCTATAGAGGAAAGCACTCTGCAACCAGCAAATACAACATAAGAGTTTGAAGGAAATGAATGTACTAAAGATGTTCTAATTCTGATGAAAATGTTAATCTTCTAAGATTCTGACTGACCTACGCTTTATTTTGAGTACTTCCGTGTTTCTTATATAATCTCGATCTATATCAGAAGCACCCATGTCTCATTCTTCAACAAGCAACCAACAGCCCAATAGATCCTGGATGGAAGCCAATCCCTAATTTCTCTTTCAAATGCTGAACCTTAATCTCAGTCGTGCTCAACCACGCCATCCAGCTCTGATGCAGGGTCACAAAAGAAACAAACAAGTTTTCTCTTTCAGATATTGATTGACATGGTGTCCATTTCCAACATTTTCTGTTTTTATTTCAAGTTCCAACATTCAGTTTTTCTTTTCATCACTAAACTACTGGAATTGAATTCTCGCATTCAAAAATTGCAATCCAAAGATTTACCAGCATCTTGGAATTGCTCTGCCAATCAGGGACACGGAGAGAGTTGCTAACATATCATCTAATGACAATTTCTAGTATGATTTTAGACAAGACAGACAGAATGTGAAACTTGACTACCAAACTGATTACAATGAACTTCAGAGATATTTAATTGAAAGTCAAAGATTAGACCTACAATGTCCATTATTTTAGTTTGTACTATTAATTTTTTGATATCCAAATCATTACTGTTTTCTCTTCACCTTCCTCCCTCACCTCCCACATTCCCATGTGCACTTGATTTTATTAAAGCAACAAGCAAACAAAGTCATTTGTTGATGACAAAAATACAGGTCAGGAGTTTTCAAACTTTCAATTCTGCATGAAACCAATCCTTTTCATCGCAATAGATTAAATCAGACAGAAATCTAGATTCTAAATGCAATATTTAGTATGTACAAAATGAAGACACTAACAAAACTCAAAAGAATAGCAAGAATTTTCAAGTATACTCCATGAAGACTTCTTCTCTCGCTCCCCCCCTCCCCCACCCATTGGTGTACTGCAACACAATCAGAGGGTATAAGCCGTTTAAATGTTCAACTGCACGCAATCACTGGGTAAAGAACAGGTCAGTCTTTACACAACAACTTCATTATAACTTGAATAAATGGTTATTCGTTTCAGAACTCTGGCACAGGCTAAGCAACATAAACATTTTTTCTGAAACCCCACACACTGATTCTCTTCCAACAATAAACTAGATATTATACATTTTACCCTTCTCCAGTTTAAACAGTCCAGGTAAAAGTAATTTGATGATTTAAACATGCACACTTTCTACAAGAGATTTCACATACATATACTGTGAATTTGTAACAATGATTATGAAAGAATCAGATTTGTAAAGAGCTTTAAAAATGTTTCCTATTCATAAACAGGAAGAGCAGAAGGGTCTAATATAAGTTAATTATTTTAATCCACAAATGCTTCAAAAGATACATTTGGATTGTGGTTGTGTGTGTTTTAACACTAACAATCTCATGACTGCACCATATTTTATTATTTTTGATTTAAATTATTTTGCTTATATAATTATACAATTACTATTTGTTTTTAAACTGAATTTTTTTTAAGCAAGACGTACTTCACTCATTCACTCCAAACTAAACACTACCGTATTTTTCCTCACATTCTTTCTGTTTAGATAACAGAACCATCTAAAAGAAAACATTTGTCCTTTGGTCATTCTCTTCATGACATACATTTTCTCTTTGCTTTGAGGAAAACAAATGAGAACTAATTGCCTGCCACGGCACACAGTTGTTTTGAAATTACAGAGAAAGACAAAGATATAATCAAAAGAGTTCTCAAAATACTAGTGATCACTTTTAAATAACATACCAGGTTGCAATATTAACATTTTATAAAGGCTATCCCAAATTTACCTAACTGTTGTTCAAAGGGCTTAAAGGGTCTAAAGTGAATAATATTAAGAGTGGAATCCTGAGGAACTATTTACACATAATTACTGCCAGCACTGATAATGCTGCCAGTACACAATGTTCTGGTATGCATTGCCAATGAGGTCATTTGACAGCCAACTGTTCGCATTCTAGAGTAGAAGATAAAGCCATTGGAATTTTTACTTCTACTGGTTGTTCAGTCACAAAAATATAACTCAGTGATAGTAATAAAAGTTTGTAAAGCCAAGTAATATCAAACTTCAAACCAATTTTGAACCAAATAAACAACCAATGATAAAGTACAATTAATAAGTAACTGTATTCCTAATAAGTAACATTTTTGCAGAAGCAAATAAAACAAAAATGCCAAGGACATTTGACTAAATGGTTTACTTATAGTACTCTAGTGTTAATACCACCGAGATTCATCTACAGTAAACACAATCCTTTAACAAATTATTTTGCTCCTGATAGCTATACGATATAATAATTGAGTTCAACGCAATGCATCAGAAAAGCAAACACACTAGTTTCAAAGCAATTTAAATGAATTACTTGAATAAACCCAATTTTTTTTTGTACATACTAAAATAAGGATCCAAATAATAGAATACACCTAATCTGTCACAGGAGCAGAAATGAATGTAGTGCTAACTAAAATAATGGACGTTATAGGTCTAATCTATGACATTCAATTAAAATGAGCAGAAATCAAACTAAAACTATTTTTTGACTAAGACAATGCACACATTGCATATAAAAGACACTTTCGGTGTAAGAGTCAAACATTTTGCATTTGATTATATATGATTACGTATAGTATTAAAGTATACTGAAAACCTGCACATGTGCCATGTCTTTCTCATATTGTATTATTATTATAGTACCTTCAGCAGGAAGGTAATACACAGCACTGCAGTATAAACTGCAAACGTTTTGAATCAATTCAGCCTTTATTCAATGTTTTTTTCTTGGGGCAGTGCATTAAGACTGCTGAAGACCATTTTAAATGTGTTATTAAAGAACTCATTGCACTGTAACATTAAAATAACTGGTGTTAGGTGCTGGTTAGCTGCGCTGTGCAGACTGCAAGTGAGTTTGGCCCCCAACCAAAGCCAATGTGATTCTTGAGCAAGAACTATAAAATCACATCCCATTGCTAGAACTGTTTTACTTTTTGAAGCGATAAATTGCTTCCAGTATTCTAAACTTGCATTAAACATCAATTATATCCCACTTATAACTATATATCATTTCAACAATGGAGCTAGGACATAGGAAACTGGTTAAAGGTTATTGTTACAGTTGTAAAACAAAGAATACTGACTGCATAATCCATCGCCAACCCATGCACTGATCATTTTACCAGCAGGCAACAATAAACCTAGTGGTTTGCACCAGCAGTCCCAAATTTGACCATCAGCTCTTGAAATTTTCTAAACCATTCACTTGATTGCAGACCAGGGCTCAAAACCATAATTGCAATAAAATCAGAAGCAGCTCGTAAATTCCTCCGAACAGCATGTTTATGAGAAATGACACTTCACTCAAGAATGTAGAAGGTTGCTGACTAAATGAAGCTGTCAGACATTTTGGGAAAAGAATCAAACATACACGCCAAAGCACAAATTATCTATTTGCAGGCTTCACTCATCCTTGATCATTTATTTTACAGCAAAAAAAAGTCCTCGACAAATTATAACATTGGGATCTGTTGTAAGTATTATATGTTGATAATCAACATTAAAAATGTATTTGGTTAAAAAAAGCTTGTCAGATTTCTACCAGCCACAGATTTTACATCATTGTATGAAAATTGCCATCAAAAATTCAAGCTACAAACTATTTGTTTGGCCACACTCATATAACACACAATTCTTAAAAAACTTTAGATTCCTGAAATTATGCCTGTGGAAATTCTTTCACCCACCAACATCATCAGTAATGCTTGCACAATTACCCAGGTAATGCGTTTCACCGATGTCAAAATTGAAAGCAAGATGTATTTCTAGCGCCCTGCGATGTGCTCCTGACGTGAAAGATGCTATATAAAAGCAATTTGTTGTTGTACAGAAGAGGATTTTATCCTTAACTAAAATAATTGAAAACTGAGAAATGGAGGAGGAAGTGGAGGGGTTACACTTTTATCAAAGAAAATGACAGACTTGAAATAGTATTC